TGTGGGTACTCCTTTGAGAATGACTGCCCAGCTTAGCTTTTCTAGGATCCTGCATTCTGTAGTCATGTTATTGTTTGCAAAGAAATCACCTTTCCATGATTCTTCTACTCTTATTGCATCTTCTTTAGATGTGAGCTCAATCATCAATGATCCACCTTTGGTGACAAATGTCGATTTTATGGCCATATCTTTAAAATATTTATTGAAGTTTCTCTTAATAGTTGCACTGTTTTTAAGATAATTTCTTGAGAGTCCTCTTGAGACTAGGACTGTCATGGAGTCATTAACAGTGGTTTCTGATGGCTGGTGAATGTAGTATTGTTTGCCCTCATATGTTTTATCTTCTGCTATGGTACTGAAAAGATCCAGGTTTGTGTGTCTTGTAGAAACACCTTGATGTCCAATTGCAGTTCTCTTGAACTCTACTCTGTTCATCTCTTTTAGGATGCTTTTATTTTCCTCCGTTATGTTATGCAGTGTGCGAAGTGCTTCATCCATACCACTGTCGGCTTGTGGGACTGAGGATACTTTGTTAATCAAGGGAACCCCCTTAGCTAACAAATTTCCCATATTCTCCGTTAAATTCGTCTTTAGATATTCAAAGTGTTTCGTTTCACTCTCTCGAAAGTCTTTCATTTCAGCCTTCATTTGGGACATAGATCTTTCGATAGAGCAGATTGCAGAGTGTTGCGATGCTAATACATCAACTTGGTCACTCAGAGTTCTGTTGATGTGGATATTTTGTTCTGAACTACTGATATTTGAGTACAATGTCAATGGGTCAACCATCTCTTTACTACAAACTAGCATATCTTGTGAGATTTAGATTTAAATATTGAGCCCTTTGGCTAGAGAATACTTTCTTAGATATTTTGGACAGTTTTGGTAATGTTAATGAATTGTAATTGATTGATGTGTAATAAAAAATAAAATAAAATTTCATCCCGGAACATAAAGTCATACATTTTTCCCCAATCTGGATAGACTATTAGATGGCTTTTGGATGGACTTACAAAGAAGCCTTATTTAAGCTCATTTTCTCGAAGGTAATTGCAAAAGTGGTGGATGGTATCTAATTAACCATCAGAAGCACTATCGTTGGAATTGAAAATCTCATTTGTATTGAACTATGTGACCCCACTCTGGTCTTTGAGGGCCTATGATTACATACTGCAGAAGGCCAAACAGTTGGAAAGCATGCATCTTCATTTTTGTCCGAATAATTTCTTGTGATATGATGAACCATTTCCTTAACCTGTGTACTGTGCCAATTGCATCATACGATTTTACTGAATGTATCATTTAATACTTTTTCTTGCATTAATATTAGATTAGATAGATTAGATAAAGAATAATTTTTAGACGGCCCCAACGTTAATGTGGCTCTTGCTATGTGTTGGTTCAGCCGAATTAATTATTATGTAATCAAGTTTATTTTTCTCTTTTAGTTAGTTGTCATCCGGCCAAACATTAAGCAACTTATATTGCAGTCCCATTTATCAATTATTATATCAAAATATGTCATTGTAATTTTGCATGGCTGAAATGTAACGCTTGATTTATATATATATAATAATTAATTGAATTTTCAAATAAAAATAAAAATGACATAAACATCATCACTAGTTTTAAACATTCTTTCTAATTTCTTCATCGTCAGAACTGTGAACATTTGATAAATTATTAATATAATGTTGATGGAAAAATATATTTATTTAAATTATTTTTCTATGAACATAACATGCTAGCTTTCTTTATTTTTGTAAGTCGCGTCGGCTGACATCTTGGGTTGTACTGGATGTAACAAGTTTATTATCGGATGTCTACTTATATTTATTATGATATCATTATTCATTGTAATGGCAATAAAATTTAAATTTTGTTTTACTTAAATTTTGTTTTACTTATTTAGTGCAATGATATTTTGTAGACACTTGTGATGATGTTATGTCATAATCTTTACTTACTTACTTACTTTCATCATTAAAAACAAACAAATTTTAACATTTAAAGGACACTGGAAAAAATGTCACATCATGGCCATTGCCATAGGATCAGGCGATTGGGTTAACACTAGATCCGCACTAGTCACCTTTTCAGATAATAATCCACATTTAAGAAAAAACTAAATTTCTAAGAAAAACTAAATTTTCATATACCACAAAACAATCAATACACATTATGTTATAAATAAAGTCAAAGTTGAAAATTCAAACATAGACACAGCCCGCAGCGCACACAGCCACACATTGTTGAGTAATCCTCAGGTGCGGGTGTAAGCGCCGCGCGCAGGGTCTATTTAATTGTCATCTTACTATTACATGTCACATTTATTAGTTACCAGCAGTGGCGTAACAAAGGGCCGCGCCATCTTAGGGGGGCGCAAAATCGTCGTTTGAATGTGGGACAATTTTGAAAAACTTAACTGAGGTACTAGCAAAACTGCGCATTTTGCTCTAGAAACACACTTTTTTAGAGATTTTACCAGCATATCCTCTAAAATCACCTAATTTGTTCAATTTAGGAAGGGGTGCCAACAGGGGAGGGGGTGCCAACAGGGGGGCGCATTTCCGGCAGGGGGGGGGGGGGGGCCAACAGGCAACGTTACGCCACTGGTTACCAGAGCCAAAATTTTAGAAGCGTTAAATAAAAACCTATTTTCACAATAAATGGTGTTTTAGTAATGTGCTGGTGCAAGAAACAATTTTGATTTCAACTCAAAATTGTAAGTCTTACATCTACCTTTCAAAGATGTATTGATCTATCTAGGATATAATAACTTTCAGTCAGTACAGACGTATACTTTCATTTTGGTTTTGTCTCATGAGAACCAACTTGCTAAAACTAAAAGTAATTGGATATATGGCATATTTCTATAAATAATACAATGATGATGAAAATCTTAAAATAACTCCAGGCTACAATGAACATTTTATTAACATGAAATAGTAGAGATCAAAAACTTTAAATTCCAACAGACTAATTTTAAATACCCACATAACAAATTATACCCACCAAAACATGATAAAACCTCAATAATTTAGTATATAAAATTAAATATCTTAACAGTTACTACACCAAAATACTAGAATAAATGTTCATAGAACAAAATATTTGACTTTACCAGTCACGTTCTCTTAGGTATATATTACAAATTTGGCAAATTTCTAAATTGTATGACTATTACGAAAATTTATTTCAAACTATTTCCATTATTGAGACGTTTTTAATATTTAATTTAGGAGGGTTTTTTGTAATTTTTATAGGACTGGTTCACAGTGTGAACAGATTCCAGATTTATATATTTTTAAACTGATATTTAATAAATAAATGATTAAAAGAACCAATTTTAAATTTGCCATATGGTAGCCTTTAGGTCCAAAAATATACCCATAATACTCACTTAAAAACAACTCTAAATCAGTAGGCTGTCACTCTATTAATGCACCACACCGCTCCCTCCACTCCTTGTAGTATAAATACAATAAATTCTAAAATCATAATTTTGTATCGTGATGGAGACCAGTGTCCATACAAAACTTTTGCCGTTTGGTGTGAGCAATAGCGAACAGCACGCACACTCCTTTGCCCGTCAACCTATATCTAATCTATTCAAAGAGTGACAGTCATACTACACATTGAATTAGGATTCCTTTAAATATCAAATTGATTTATTGTAAACTTGTTTATTCTGTAATAAATGGCAAAAATTGAAATTTTTGTTTAACTGAAATTTTATTTAACTGAAAATGAAACTGAGGTTGAAGATGCAGTTACCAAAGAGCACTGGTTCCCAATGTTTACTGAAACAAACTGTTTCCAAAATATCAATTTGAAGTAGTCCATTATACATCTGCTTTTCTGTGAACTAAACGGCTCAAATAGAAAAGCTATTGCCATGATATTACAACAATATCAAAATTAAATATGTTTGTTGTCAAATAGTCCAATATTGCATTACTGCACCTCAACACATTTGGTAGTTCATCCTATATTCTTATAGTAGCAGAATTAGCAAAAATTACATGCTATAATAACTCTCATTTCCTAAGAATAAAAATCAGTGAAACCTTATCTTTTTGAGAGATTTATCTTTCTCTTAAGATTTAGTCCCTGGCTTTCTACAATTTCAACACACACACTTATAAACATATAGTCTCTAGAACAATTCAGTATGGTGGAGTCTTGTTCAGCTGCTAAGTCGACCATGGACCTACCGTTTGCGCTGTTACACAGGGTAATGATTTGTGTAGCTTGACATTTCATATCCATGTCAACAAGTTCACAGCTTGAAAGTAGGTGCAGTGCTGTTTGCTCATCTGAGCTACAAATGCATCTGCGGAGAGGCCACTGCTCTGTCAACTCTGAAGAGAAACGAGTTTAGTAGATTGTTCTTGTACATGAGACCCATAACCAATACTTCCACCTCGTGGCTTACTCCCAAGGGGATAGGAAGGGGGCTGCAAGAGACTCTTAGAATTTCAGACCATCCGTCATCAGTAGGTTTTGTATACTTTCTTGCCAAAGAAGTATAATTAAGGTATAAATAATATATGTGTCAAATATTCATGCTGAATGTAACCGATTTTGCACATGTGGCTGATGCAAAATATGGCTATATTTTAACAGCCAAAAGACATTAATCTATGTGTATATCGATTATATGGTTGACGATTAAATACAAAAGTTGAAATCAAATCGTGTAATGTTACAAGTTTATAACCAGTTCATCATTTGGGATGGTGTTTGGTTCCGCCGTTGTATTCTCCAAACAGATATAACTTGTGCATGTGTCAGAAAATATTTGTTCCGTCAATCAGTTGGAATGTTCATTATCATGGGCTTTAAAAATGTGCTCATGTAGAGATTTCGCTACCAAGGTGTTAAAAGTTAATTGTCACGCATCATGTTATGGTATTATAATGTTACACATCGATATTCACATGATTGTATTAATCGTGGTATTAACTCACATTTACCTTACTAATCAATTCTCTTCTAGCATGGCTGGGTTTTGAGGTATGAGAAATAGTTGTTAAAAACTCAAGCTCCCTTTACAATCAGTAAGTACTTTGTAATTACAGACCTAGTGATCTATGTACATAGTTCAGTCATGATATCGTGCTTTTTGTCATTTAGAAATTATTAAAGTTTTGTCAGGTCACATAAGTTGACCTTTTGCTTTCATTAAATTCAGCCACTAGCACAGCAATTACCATAATTAAAGACGTTACCATTTTTGCTTCACGAGCCCATGTTCGTTTTAAACATACATTTTCTTAAAGTATATTCATTCACCAAGGGTTGAATTGTTGAAAGTGTTATTGAATTGAGTGACAGCTTTGTATAACCGTCAGTCTAGTCAAACCACCTCAAACTATCCTGTAACTATGGTAACTAGTAGTGTAACTCTAAAACCACCTCAAACTATTCAAACTACTCCGTCACTAGTTTCAACCACCAATTCGCTTGAGAAAAAAAATAACTGTAGAATTTAGCTTCAATTATTGATCCCTATTTTACCAAATTATCCGAAGTTACTCGAGATACTTAACATGAGCCCCCCCGCCCCCCCCCCCCCCCCCCAGATACTTAACCAACTTATCCTCTAATTTGAGCCCAAAGTTTCAGTTTCCGAATCTTCCCAACCCCAAACAATGGTTGTTGCCGAGCAGCAAGAAGCTCAGACTGAGAAATACACAAACGTTTTGGAGGTTAGTAAGTTGTTTTACTTAGTGTAGACAGCTGTGAGGTATAATGATTTCCTGGTACTTACTCGTGCTACTAACCGTAGTACTTTTAAATCCAGTTGTGAGTTTTAAACTGAGGATTAAAATAGTAACCAATCATATCCTTGGTCATTATTTTGTTTCATTATCTGCCAATTTAATCTCAAGTCTTACCCGGTAATCATACTGTTTATCGACATACACTGTTTATCGACACCCCTATTATATAATATCGTCAATCGCTATAGAGTGCGTGATGATATACAGCGTAAGTAGATCACTGTATCCTTACCATAATCAATAACATGCAACCATTAACAAAAGAAAAGCTGAAAAATAATTTAAAACAGAAATTAATAGTACATTTTCCAGACGTCCCGACTTCGTCCCGATGTCGAACCGTTCGTACCAAAATCCCAAAACGGTCAACCCTACTATGTAATGGGTAATGGTGGTTTCTCGCTTGATGCTCCGGAGTTCATCCCAAACGTGTACGCAAGCAACGGTGAGATGTACACGTGGGTTCCAAACCAGGTATGTTGGAGTGAGGATTAATTACTTTTTATCTTGTAAGCTTTATAACTTATGTATAGGCTAGCTGATAGCTAGTTAGTGCTTGAAGCCTTCCTCTTTATTATAGCAAAGTTAATGTGGGTGATTTTCATAAAACATTTTACTTAAAAGTATTATAGTGTTCTCTCCATACAGACCCCACCTTGTCCTATATTTAGAGTCATTATTCTTTCTTTTAAGTTTTATCATATCTAAAAGAACACTTAACATTGAAATGTTAATATTTCGCTATTTTTGGACGATCTTGTGAAGTATACTGCATCAATCTTGAATAGGTATAAACAGGGGGGGGGCCATTCCATACCAATACTATTAAATTACCTATAGCTACCCAGCCTTAGTCAAGGTATGCAGGACAACCTACTATACACGTTACCTATAGCTACCCCACCTTAGTCGAGGTATGCAGGACAACCTACTATACACGTTACCTATAGCTACCCCACCTTAGTCAAGGTATGCAGGACAACCTACTATACACGTTACCTATAGCTACCCCACCTTAGTCAAGGTATGCAGGACAACCTACTATACACGTTACCTATAGCTACCCCACCTTAGTCAAGGTATGCAGGACAACCTACTATACACGTTACCTATAGCTACCCCACCTTAGTCAAGGTATGCAGGACAACCTACTATACACGTTACCTATAGCTACCCCACCTTAGTCAAGGTATGCAGGACAACCTACTATACAGTGTATACAAGGTATGCAGGGTATGCAAGGTATGCAGGACAACCTACTATACACGAAACCAAATAGTACCAACTTTACACTTGGTGCTGTAACAAGAATGCGCTTCTTATATATAATGAATATTCCCCGTTGACAAATGTATTTACAGTTCATCGTAGCGCCGGCAACCAACCATCCCCGCTTCTCCATTCCCCGATTTCGGGACAAGTTCATGAGACAGCATCGTAACCGGAACAACAACAACAACAACAATAACAACAACAGCAGTAACAATAATGGCAACAACGGCCGTCAAAATTACAATAACAGTCACAATGGGAGATACGAGAACAGTGATCAAAGGGACAACAATTACCACCAGCAACACCGCACTTACAACAAGGTTACCTTTATTTGTGTACTTTCAATCGTTTGATTTTCGTCACTCAAGCCCCTTTTGTGCAGCATGTTACAAAAGATGATTTCACTTTTTTAATTCGATTTCAGACTTTGAATGATCTTTATCACGACAAATTGAGCGTAAGGTCATCACTTATACGAAAGCAAAACAGTCAAACTAACACCAACTTTGCAGATTGAACAACGCAACAACAAGTCGCGTGAGAGTAATGGTGGTCCCCCACTTACCCCAGCCGCACCCCAGAAACCAATCAAAATCGAGAAAAAGAAGGACAACAAAGATAAAACCAGTAACCAAAACAGCAACAATTATAAGGGTCAGTTCTAGCTTATATATAATATATATATATATTTCATTGCTGAACTTCTACACAAAAAAAAAGCGGTTTTGACTAGATATATATATATATAAATTGTGCAGTTGTCATGGTGTGCCTCAGAAATTATTTAAGTTTCAATATTTCGTGATGAAGTCATAATCTGTTGTTGAGTAGGCTCTAAATCTTTATTATAAAGTTACAAATTGTAAGATCTACATTATCGAGCTATCAACTCCCAGCCAAGATATATGGTCACCAAATTGGTATCTAGCTTATCATCTTCGCGGAGTGGAATCAAAAATACATAGTGTTAAAAATATGCAATGTCGACTATTGACCCGTGCAATGTTTGAATTCCGAGGGTTGTTGACATATTGTATGAGTCTGCAGATGTTTGTACTCTGCAACTATTCTAGAATATTCCACACTTTATTCACTCATTACTTCATTGACTTGAGGTACTGTGCTATAATCTGGACTGTGAAAACGTAGAATTTTATTGATCGCTGTCAGAACTTAGTTAGATTTAGTTGCAAACACAAGACTCATGATGTAATTAATTGACAAGTCTTCAGAACACATTAATCGTGCCAGATGTGTGTCTGTATTCCTTGTATTCCTTGTATTCCTTGTATTCCTTGTATTCCTTGACTTATTGTACTTCCCATCTTGCTTATATACCCATTACTCAGTATTTCTTACAATTAAACTTATGTAACGGCTATTGATTGACAATTAAGATTGTTTCTGATTGTCTCTAAATTCAGGCAATACAGAAGTGATAGATGACCTGATAACGCCTGTCGTAGTACCCGATATCGATGAAGGTGTCATGAGTTACCGGGCAGCGCTCATTGGGAACGAACCTCCAAAACTAGAAAACAGCAACAAGCCTGTTGCTGAGGTTAGTGTAGTGTTACGCAACGCAAGGGACAAATACAAATGTTTAGCTAGAATTTTGATACTTGCGAAACATGTCATTAAGTATTTAAAGTATCTTAGGGATTAAAACCGTAGGCGGTGGAATTAAAACTGAGTGAAATTCAAAATTTTCGTTTTACTGAGAGTTTCTTAGATCCTTTAAGTGGTAATTTACTTGTGTAGTATATAACCACAATCCACATATATATATTTTTATCAATAAACTTTCAAAATTGTTACACAAATACATCATTTTATTTCAAAGAAAATTTCGCCGAATGACCTTACATGCCTTGACAAGTGACCGAGTACGAGTGTAAACAAAATTAGGGACACCGAAACACCAGTTGACCAGTAAACTGGTCATAGCAATTACATCGGGCCCTATATGCACCTTTAAGTGAAGCGATGCTGCAACCAAGGCATGCTAGGTTTATTCCATTGAACTAATAAGGTTACAGCCTAAAATATAAATATAATAAATAATAATGTACATATTATATATAATACTAGAAAGCCCGTGGTAACAGGGACGAAGCTAGTAGTATTCTTTGAAAGAAAGTTTTAATCGCATCAAAAAATATCCATCCCAACCGAAGATACAGCCGATTTAAATATGAAACACTTTAAACACAACGTAATTACCACAAAACCGATCAAAATGACCTTAAAACAATCTTTGCACGTGCATGTGTGCATTAAAACACCGTTGCTATGGAACGTTTTGGTTGTTACTTAAATTCTTATTTCTCGTCTAATTTGCACGTGGGCGGTCGTACAGTGTACAGACAACAGAAATAATTCTCTGAATTATAGTAGAGATAATAAGACAAAACCCAAAACTCTGATTTGTCTTCCCCTAAGAATCCCAGTAAATCATGATTTTACTGACATTTAGTATCTAAATATGCCTCTAAGTTTATTAAATAACTGTCCCTCGACACGACACAAATTTAAAATCGCCACCATCTCCCCTTTCATTCGGAAATGAAGGGTAGGTTTGATGTAAGTGGTCGGAGTTAAATTGGATCCCAAAATTTAGGATCATAAGTCTCGAGATCTAGTTAGCAGAAACAGCATACAATTTTCGTTGTAACGAACCGCTTAAAATATGATTAGAGAGCGTGTGTATATCACAGAACCTATTTGTTATATCCGGTTCAATTTCAGCCTCTCCCGACCAAAGTAGAATCCAATAAAGCGGAGCCTGAGCAGCCCCAACTGATGGCAGATCGAGAGAGACCGTCACGCGAGCGCAGTGACAGAAGGAGCGAGAAGTTTGTCCCAGCGGAATCAGAGCGGGAGGGCTTCAATAAACCGCACTATAACGGACGGGGTGGTGGCCGGCCTAAACCTACCAAAGGCTCCGAGATTCAGCTCAACATTTTCTCGCTTGTACAGGTAAATTCTTTACATTCCTTGGCGACAAAGCAAGTGCGTTTCAAACTGTGTTCCCAGCCTCGCACATGTTTCTATGGTAACTAGTAGTGTAACTAGTAGTGTTCCCAGCCTCGCACATGTTTCTATGGTAACTAGTAGTGTAACTAGTAGTGTTCCCAGCCTCGCACATGTTTCGCCAGATTATATACATATCTAGTTTGTCACATATATAAGGGGTGCTGTGGATTCAACTTTAGCTCATACATCAAACTTTCAATAAAGTTTCCCTTTTTTGGGCATATGATAAAGTCGCCGAGTAATCTATTACAGTAGCGTGAATGAGAATTTGTCAAATATTTGTTCCTGGTGTGGAAATGTGAACCGTTGTTACTTTCTCGACAGTAATAGTACCTACACTACGCCAGGGCATTACTTAAACATTTCGATGGCAACGCCGCCACAAAACTTTAAATATTGTTGTGCTGGTTTGCTACCCGGAAGTAGCCAATTAAAGCGTTAGGTTAGACCAATTTCGAGTATTAATGTCTCATTTCTGGTATCTTAACGGTTTTTTCTTATTTCAGGACAAAAAAGTGAAGAAGAAGAAGCTTCCCAGAGCTAAGGAAGACGATAAAGAAGCTAAAGATAAGGTTTTTATTTCATCATCACACCCTCGGTCTCTTTTGACTTTTACCTTTATGCCACTTCTACATTTTATGATGAATCACACGGAAGAAATTATTTGCCAAACGTGATAGCGTGACCAATGAGTCACACCAGTCTATAGTTATTGTATCGATCTACCGCTACGCATGCTACAGTGCCGTTGTCAAAATATCTCCTGGTAACGTTTCATTAGCAAACGTGTGTTCGTTGGGACAAATCTGCGATAACTACCACCAGGACTAGCAAAATTTCAGCAGCTTTGTAGGTTAAACTATCGTTGTCAGTTTTTTCTTTTGATCGCGCGCACTTTCATTGCGCGTTGTGTTGTCGTAAAATAAGACTCGAGACTTCTGGAACGGCTAAGCGATCTGGCTGGTTGCCCGTATCTTATATGTTATAGAGGCGGAGCACGTTATCAATGAAGATTGAGGTCACAGCATTTTAGTCTCCATTAGCACAAGCAGCCAACTGTGTCGGATGTGTCATAATAATGCTTTTATGTTTCAGGCAGCAAATCAACTCGACTCCTCCGCACCTGCCGTAAAACGCGGAAAGGAGAGGGAAGAAGGCAAACCCAAGAAACTTTCCAAAATGAAGAAGGTTGGTTTCGGTTTATTAACATAGACTATTTTAAATGTCTGGCACGATTCTTATGTAAAACTAACTTTGAGGACTTAATTCCTTAGAGCGATAAGAGATCTTCTTCTTCGTAGGGGGCAGTGGTCTTTATCGCAATATGGTGCAGAATATTAATAACCGGTCCTTCTCCTCAGATAATTACGAAGGAGAAATCTGAGATTAGCGAGAACGGGTATGTTCTTATCACCACTTCCGTGCACCTTTATATCACAATGACCCCACACTTCTCGTTTTATATGTCCCTACACTCATCTAATGTGGAGATATCAGCTCTTCAGGGGAACCAATATATTTATAAAGGAGTACTTCACTGCTAATTACACGTTTCAAATTATAAGTAACCGCGCTCAACACTGGAGAACTAGCCAGGTGGACTGACACCCAACTTGATTCAGGGACGACACCAAGACCCCGATATCGCTCCCCGAGTTCTGCTGTCAGACCGTTACGACAGAACTGAACAGCAGCCTCTCAGCATTCCTTTCCCAGCTCCGCGAATACAACGACAAAGCTTACCGTACAGGCTCATCTGTAAGTATTTGTTTCCTCCGACACACCCAGAATATTCTTTATGATCTAGAAATTCTGGAAGTTTTATCGCCAGAATATCTGTTCTTAATGATTCTCAGTTTACATAGTTGTGACAATTAATCGAGTAAAAGTTCCGTTAGATTCGTTCTGGAACGTTGATAATATTCCAAAAAGCGTGAATATCACCAGATATCACAATCAGTATTGTCCGGTGCAACATAATATTACACATTATATAACATAATATTATACATTATAACATAATATAATACATTGTACACGGATGTCGGATATATTTCTCGAGAAAAGATTTCAGCTGAGACCCAAAAATTGATAACTTTTAAATGTATCAATCTCTCGAGCCGTTAGCAACTTATAAATGTATAATATACTACAAGTTTTGGAGTAAACCGTTGGGAAGCTCTTTAACACATTAACCCACACCTCATGCGAGAGGAACTACACACATTGTGTTGCTAAGTGAAGCACATGTGCACTGAAGCTCTTAGTATATCACCATTATTAGGGGCCATGTAGTCCGCACCCTCACCGAACAATGTACACGCGCCTTAAAGCCAGTACTGCTTGTGTACAGTGTACACTACAGTGGGAACAAGTGTACAAGTGTACAATAGTTCGTGTGTAACGATGCTTGTCGCTGAACTTCACTGCTGTTAATTTACACAAGCAGTTCTGCTATAAACATTAGCAAGCAGTTCTGCTCTAAACATACTCGTTCCGCAGCAATCCGCTGTGATTCTATTAGTGGACCACAATTGTCAACTTTTATCATGTCGAGAGGTACCATGATAAGGGAATTACCAAAAATTATCGTTAAGTTATCGAATGTAACCAAATAAGGCAAGTTTGCGGATTGGTCCCACAATCTAATTATCCACCTGTAGTGAGGTGTCGTCTGGCCCCCCTGGTAAATTGTACTGTTACTTTAATGTGTAGATTAGTGTCCAGGAAGTCACTAGACGGTTATCAGTATTGTTCTAATTTTAGATAATTTACACACAGAGAGGTGTAAAGCTCAACTCTCTGTTTACAAACACACTCTCACACACACTCACACACACACACTCTCTCTCAGCTCTTTCTAACATCCGGCATTGTTTTGTACACACAATGTACTAGTTGTTACAGAATCGTCCAATTTATAATCGTCAGCTCAACTTATGACTTGTTAGATAGGTATTATGTATATTGTATATGTACCTACTCTCTTTGATCTATATTTCGATTTATTACAATTAACTGATCCTTCCTCTCAGCACAAACGGCGGTACTGTTGCGGATTGAGAGAGGCCCGAAAATACCTCAAGTTGAACAAAGTCAAGTGTATTATTATTCCTCCCAACATTGACAAAATTGTATCCAAAGGTAGGAATGTGCTAATCAATATGTGTCTTTTGTTAATTTAATATTTCAACCCTGTAGAATACACTTCATAATGCTTTCTGATTTCAGACTTATTCAAGGATTTTTCGTTTTGGCATTACCCGAAATAAGATAAAATATTAATTATGGAATATTCAACTTGGTAATTATTTTTCATGTTGTTAATTAATTAAACATCATGTGCAGGTGGGTTGTACGATTGTGTACACGACATAGTCCACCTCTCATCCGAGCAAAACGTTCCCATTTTCTACGGACTAAACAAGACAAAGATCTCCAAGATCCTCGCCCGACCCAAAAGCACGATAACCAGTGCTGTTTCAGTATTCAGCTACCACGGCGCAGAGGTACATCTTACTTTTAACATAGTCTCCTATTTAACACGGCGCAGAGGTACATCTTACTTTTAACATAGTCTCCTATTTAACACGGCGCAGAGGTACATCTTACTTTTAACATAGTCTCCTATTTACCACAGCGCAGAGGTACATCTTACTTTTAACATAGTCTCCTATTTAACACGGCGCAGAGGTACATCTTACTTTTAACATAGTCTCCTATTTAACACGGCGCAGAGGTACATCTTACTTTTAACATAGTCTCCTATTTAACACGGCGCAGAGGTACATCTTACTTTTAACATAGTCTCCTATTTAACACGGCGCAGAGGTACATCTTACTTTTAACATAGTCTCTTATTTAACAAGTACAATTGTTAAAGTCTGAATAACCTTTTGACGAGTAGTGGCTCTCTTCCAAGATACTAGTGTTTTAAGATACTAGTGTTTTAAGGTACTAGTAAAAAGGGGAGTGCTTGTAAGGTTGCTTGTGTTGCTATGGTAACTAGTAGTGTAACTATGGTAGCTAGTAGTGTAACTATGGTAACTAGTAGTGTAACTATGGTAACTAGTAGTGTAACTATGGTAACTAGTAGTGTAACTATGGTAGCTAGTAGTGTAACTATGGTAACTAGTAGTGTAACTATGGTAACTAGTAGTGTAACTATGGTAACTAGTAGTGTAACTATGGTAACTAGTAGTGTAACTATGGTAACTGGTAGTGTAACTATGGTAACTGGTAGTGTAACTATGGTAACTAGTAGTGTAACTATGGTAGCTAGTAGTGTAACTATGGTAACTAGTAGTGTAACTATGGTAACTAGTAGTGTAACTATGGTAACTAGTAGTGTAACTATGGTAACTAGTAGTGTAACTATGGTAACTAGTAGTGTAAATATGGTAACTGGTAGTGTAACTATGGTAACTAGTAGCGTAACTATGATAACTAGTAGTGTAACTATGGTAACTGGTAGTGTAATTATGGTAACTAGTAGTGTAACTATGGTAACTAGTAGTGTAACTATGGTAACTGGTAGTGTAACTATGGTAACTGGTAGTGTAACTATGGTAACTAGTAGTGTAACTATGGTAACTAGTAGTGTAACTAAGTTTGCTCGCTGTTAAGGAACGTTGGAATGTAGCATGCAGTGTATCGGAATGTTCACCTGTCTTACATACTAATTGAATACCTAATTTACTATCAACACATTTTCTCTTGTCACAAACATAGAACCTAATGCAAGGCTACTTGTACATATACCGATTACCCATAATTTAACACTAAGTACTAAAACATTGCAGTGGCTACAGTACGTCATAGAGATGGATTGTCAACAATGTATAACCATTTTTTGTGAACGGTTATTGTAATTTTATTATTTATATTGATAAATCCCCTGTTCAGTTGCTGTGGCAGGACTAACTAGGTTGTAACTATGGTAACTAGTAGTGTAACTATGGTAACTAGTAGTGTAACTATGGTAACTAGTAGTGTAACTATGGTAACTAGTAGTGTAACTATGGTAACTAGTAGTGTAACTATGGTAACTAGTAGTGTAACTATGGTAACTAGTAGTGTAACTATGGTAACTAGTAGTGTAACTATGATAACTAGTAGTGTAACTATGGTAACTAGGTTGTAACTATGGTAACTAGTAGTGTAACTATGGTAACTAGTAGTGTAACTATGGTAACTAGTAGTGTAACTATGGTAACTAATTGATAACTCCCCTGTTCAGGTGTTGTGGCAGGACGTGCTGCACAACGTGGCAATAGCACGTGAGCGCTACCAAAACGAGTCAGCAGATCAGGAGACGGTCAAGGCTGAGTCAGATGAAGGATCCTCGGACGAAGGAGAAGAATTCGAGGACGACAATAACGACGAGGATGATCTGATGGTAGATCTGGTGAACGAATCAGCTGACAACGACTCAGTTTCCAGCTCGTTTGTAGACAGTGGAATAGAGAATAACGAGATCAGCTCGTTGAGTATAGAAAACGGTCACACTTCTGGGGAGGGCTGACGGGGGTTCGTGTTAGAGATACAGACAGTTATCAGGGTTTTCTAGCTACGGTAGAGTTGAGTGTTCCGGGCCGGGCCCCAGGTGCCTACCTCAACACTTAGTGAACATGTTGGGGTGTAGTGTGCACCTTAATTACCATCCAGGGACGATGTGACATTCCAAGATCAAGTTCCAATAATAACAGCCAATACTCCTTCATAATACTCCTCGAAACAAGTTTCACTGGCTCTCCAGACCACAACACTTCGGTTTTCGTAGATTTGTGTTTTTGTAAATGAAAATCAGTTGTTTTTAAAAAGAAGTTACGAATATCGTGAAAAGGATCTCTAATGGGGTTATCTCTAGAAGTTTTATCCAGACTGTAGAGTGTATACAGCCGAGCAGTAACTATGGTAACTAGTTGAATTGTGTAACTATGGTAACTAGGCTGTAGACAGCCGAGCAGTTAATAATATTGTAGCAAGTTTTGTGTCAACCCTTCTGTGAGGTAAAAGCCTTTGGAGCTCAAGTTATGGCCAGATATTTTTCAGGGACCTCATTTTGGGGGAAACTAGTAGATTCAGGGTGTTTTGATTTTTGGCTTATGTAGAATACAGTTTTTAATTTTTCATTGAGCTAAATTATAAAATCCACAAAAGTTTTCATTGTTTTTTTGGAAGATTAGACTAAGACTCATGTTTCGTAGCTTTTAACTAACTGCGTTTAGAACAAAGATTTCAAAAAGATATTTTAAGATGGGAATAAAAAAATAAGAAATTTAGAATGCGGTGTGCGCATAGTCATTAAACCTCGACCATTTTTACCCACAAGTCACCAAAAATGAACATAGTTGGTTCATTTTTTATCTGCTTTGCTTTTGATATTTAAGGAGATTTAAGTTTAAGTCGACGGTGACCGAAATTTCTGCTCTATATTAATATTTATGAATTTAATTTATGGAGGTTTCATTTTAAGGCTTTGGTTGCAGTGTCACTTTGCACAGTATTATATAGTGTTGGAGTTGGAGTTGAACTCTTAATTTTAGGCGGACAAATCTTTGTACTAGCGTTTTTTCTCTTTTTTCCTTGGCAATTGTTGACAATATCGTTAATCTTTTGATAAAGTAAATTCTAAATAAGAATTCAGTTGGTGCCATTTTCTTGGAACAAGAGCTAAGGGCTAATTTGCTAATGTAACATTCTCCAGAATTCGGCTCGGAATTATTTTAAGCTATACGTTATATCGGTCTATCTGTTTGATTCTCGATTGTTTCCAATTGTGGCCGAATTCGGATTATAAGATTTAAATTTTGTAGCTATGTATTACTATTAAGCCGTTCATGCGTACAATAAGTTTATGAATCTGGAGTTCTGATTAATATCATTAAAGTTTCTGAACTGTTGTATCGCATGGTAAATTTTAGATTACATTTTTATTCAATTTCTCGGTTTATTGGCAATGTTATCTACAGTAAAACCCTTAACTCATAAAATGGCCAGTTGGAATAGTCCCAGGATAGCACTGATTCTGTTAAAATGCGTGAAAATAATAAAAAATATGACAAGATGGTAATTGGTAGGATCAAGAGTGTAAGATTGAGAGGAAGTACTCCTTTATAAATATATTGGTTCCCCCAATTGTTGTCGCTGCTGACGGGAAGGCGAGGTGCAAATCACTTTTTAAATTTATAATTCTCCTAAAATTAATACTTAATACTTATCGTAAGAATCGATTTCTCCTGTGTGCATCGCTTCCCCGCCCGCAGCAGCACCATGTTTTTTAGTGAAGATTATGTAACTTGGTAAAAGTATGGTGTGATAAAGATGCGTTTGTTTTAAGTATATTGTTTTGTTACGAAATGTGTTGAAGAGATGTCATCATGTCCCGTCCTTGATGCAGGAGTGTTGTCATGGTAACACCCATTTGTTAACGTGTTATCTCATCAATTGTGAACTAAGTGGGCCCTTATTTTCAGCTGTACCTCCTCCTCCTCGTATATTTGTAACTATAGTAACTAGTAGTGTAACTATGGTAACTAGTAGTGTTTCACGGGGCCCACTCTGTGCATGTTAGGTTCAATTAACGGGATTTTGTTATAAGACTTAAGTGAAATCAGAATAGAAATTTATGTAATTGTAAAACATAATTATGAATGCACCCACGGTGAAATTGTTTCTTACTCATGTTAGATCTGTCAACTCTATCTCAAGGCTGGAACAGCGTAAACGAGTTTGATGCAGCTTCTTACTACGAGTTCAGATTTTCTTTCCAGTAATTTAAAAAAGCGTGTACGAATTATTAATTTTGATTAATACTGGAAAATCTGTCTGGAACATGTAAGCCGAATCTTGAAAGGAGATATTTCTTAGAGATTGCAGTACTACTATACTAGTAGTAGTAGTAGCACGAGCGGAGTTGACAGAGTTTGCTTTTTGTAATATCATGAAACGAGAAATGTTAAACTTCAACATTGATATTATTGCGTACAGATTATATGTCTATAGAGTTCCTAAAAGACAAAAGTGTTAAAATATTAAGATTTTACTCGACTCCCACGACTCATCAGATGAGCGTAAATTTGTAATTTGTCATCATATTGAGGCTGTTGTTTCTAAAATACGCCAACTTTTCTTCATTTTCTACTTTTATTTCACGTTAGTTGGTTTTCTATCTTAGTGGGTCTTAGAACAAAAAGTGGAAAATCATCGTTAAAATATTCGGTGCTCAGTCGCATTTTGAAGCATATTGCTGCGACAAATTGCGACTGAGCCCCTGTAATGTAGATCCGCTACTTTGTGCGGTATCATTCTGCAAAACATTCTTCAACTGAATCAAGCTGAACGAAGATTTTCTATTTAACGTTTTAATTATTTATATTAAAATGATTAAAAACATGTGATCATCCTGATACCATATATGTAATATAATTGGGCTGCATTAGGTCTTCACATTACACGGATTTAGTAGATCAACTCAACTCAACTAGTAGATCAACTCAACTAGTAGATCAACTCAACTAGTAGATCAACTCAACTAGTAGATCAACTCAACTAGTAGATCAACTCAACTAGTAGATCAACTCAACTAGTAGATCAACTCAACTAGTAGATCAACTCAACTAGTAGATCAACTCAACCAGTAGATCAACTCAACTAGTAGATCAACTCAACTAGTAGATCAACTCAACTAGTAGATCAACTCAACTAGTAGATCAACTCAACTAGTAGATCAACTCAACTAGTAGATCAACTCAACTAGTAGATCAACTCAACTAGTAGATCAACTCAACTAGTAGATCAACTCAACTAGTAGATCAACTCAATTAGTAGATCAACTCAACTAGTAGATCAACTCAACTAGTAGATCAACTCAACTAGTAGATCAACTCAACTAGTAGATCAACTCCTTCAAATTATCTGATTGCTGTGTTCCAGTTTAATATATGTTATAAATGTATGTTCATGGTTTATCTTTAGGAACGATGCTAAAAGATGCATGGTGTCACGATCGTGAAACTATCTTCATGATTCTAGTAACCATGGTAACTAGGAGCATCTCAGTCACAGTGATTATATTCTCTCAAAATCATGGTCCAATTTACGATCATAAAATTAGTTTGTTTTTTGAAAAGTTTGCTTTGGGTTCCCCAAAACCGACCATTTCTCATTTCTCATGTTATATTTTCTTGGATTTTGGGTATTTAAAGTAGATCCTAATGTAGGCTTTGGATGTGTGTGATGATTCATTGAGGTCTGTTGTATTAAATTATTGTGTTAATTGATTTAGCTGAAATTAGTCTTGTTTGAAGTATAAGAAGCATTCCTAAAACTTACCACGCTTACATTATCCTTCGTTTCCAGTTTATCATTTTGGATATGATTGAAAAATAAAGTTTTTGGTGTAGAACACTAAAGAACCTTTTTATAAGCAAAAGTTTTTTATTGAGAAGCTTTTTTATCAGCATTGTGACCATATACAAGTAAAATACGTCGTAGTTCATGTTTGTCGTGATATTGATACAGAGCTAGCATTGGTACGCTGATATAGCATATCTCAGTCACGAAGTAAGTTTTTGGAATGTGAAAATGAATTAGTTATGATAAATAATGAATAATAGGGACCTATAATATAAATAACGTGTGATGTGTTGCCATTAATAATAATTTTCAACAACATCCGTGTTTTATTGGTCTTGATTCTTCGATGCAAATGAAAACTCCGCTATCTTGTCCGTTTCATACGATTTAAAATCTGGCTAACTTTTTAGAGAGACAACTAAAAAACAATAATTAAAATTTAATTTTATTAGTGTATCAATTACACGATGCAATTAGTTGAGTTTGCAGATTCCTTGACTCTGCACACACCATTCAGGCTTCAGTGAGTTACCATAGATACCCCTCTGTTTCTCCATCACGGAGTTGAAGTACACTAGCCTGGGCTCTGCCTCAAACCAACCTGGGACAGTTAACATGGTTACCAAGCTGTTTCTATGGTAACTGAACAGTCACTATGGTTACTGAACAGTCACTATGGTTACTGAACAGTCACTATGGTTACTTAACAGTCACTATGGTTACTGAACAGTCACTATGGTTACTGAACAGTCACTATGGTTACTGAACAGTCACTATGGTTACTGAACAGTCACTATGGTAACTGAACAGTCACTATGGTAACTGAACAGTAACTATGGTAACTGAACAGTCACTATGGTAACTGAACAGTCACTATGGTTACTGAACAGTCACTATGGTTACTGAACAGTCACTATGGTTACTGAACAGTCACTATGGTTACTGAACAGTCACTATGGTTACTGAACAGTCACTATGGTTACTGAACAGTCACTATGGTTACTGAACAGTCACTATGGTTACTGAACAGTCACTATGGTTACTGAACAGTCACTATGGTTACTGAACAGTCACTATGGTTACTGAACAGTCACTATGGTTACTGAACAGTCACTATGGTGACTGTTCAGTCACTATGGTTACTGAACAGTCACTATGGTTACTGAACAGTCACTATGGTTACTGAACAGTCACTATGGTTACTGAACAGTCACTATAGTTACTGAACAGTCACTATGGTTACTGAACAGTCACTATGGTTACTGAACAGTCACTATGGTTACTGAACAGTCACTATGGTTACTGAACAGTCACTATGGTGACTGTTCAGTCACTATGGTTACTGAACAGTCACTATGGTTACTGAACAGTCACTATGGTTACTGAACAGTCACTATGGTTACTGAACAGTCACTATGGTTACTGAACAGTCACTATGGTTACTGAACAGTCACTATGGTTATTGAACAGTCACTATGGTTACAACGACTTTTATCTGTCAGTTACAGGGTGTTACACGGTCTAACCAAGTTGAAGCCTGCATTTTCTTAAAATGATGTCAATTAAAGTTTAAACCGATCTCATTATAATATGTACCTGTAGTTTAAACCGATCTCATTATAATATGTACCTGTAGTTTAAACCGATCTCATTATAATATGTACCTGTAGTCGGGTCGGACCAGTAGCGTTCAGCTAGAGCGTAAGATCGAGGGAATATCTTTGTCATCGCGTTCTGATCACCCGCCTGCTCTGTCCACAGAGCTGTTTCTCCACCGACTATGTTAGCCCAACTGATAAAGTAACCCTAGTAACCTAAACTAGTAACCCTAGTAACCTACACTGGTAACCCTAGTAACCTACACTGGTAACCCTAGTAACCTACACTAGTAACAGAGCTGTTTCTCCACCGACTATGTTAGCCCAACTGATAAAGTAACCCTAGTAACCTAAACTAGTAACCCTAGTAACCTACACTGGTAACCCTAGTAACCTACACTAGTAACAGAGCTGTTTCTCCACCGACTATGTTAGCCCAACTGATAAAGTAACCCTAGTAACCTACACTAGTAACCCTAGTAACCTACACTGGTAACCCTAGTAACCTACACTAGTAACAGAGCTGTTTCTCCACCGACTATGTTAGCCCAACTGATAAAGTAACCCTAGTAACCTAAACTAGTAACCCTAGTAACCTACACTAGTAACCCTAGTAACCTACACTAGTAACAGAGCTGTTTCTCCACCGACTATGTTAGCCCAACTGATAAAGTAACCCTAGTAACCTACACTAGTAACCCTAGTAACCTACACTGGTAACCCTAGTAACCTACACTAGTAACAGAGCTGTTTCTCCACCGACTATGTTAGCCCAACTGATAAAGTAACCCTAGTAACCTACACTAGTAACCCTAGTAACCTACACTAGTAACCCTAGTAACCTACACTAGTAACAGAGCTGTTTCTCCACCGACTATGTTAGCCCAACTGATAAAGTAACCCTAGTAACCTAAACTAGTAACCCTAGTAACCTACACTGGTAACCCTAGTAACCTACACTGGTAACCCTAGTAACCTACACTAGTAACAGAGCTGTTTCTCCACCGACTATGTTAGCCCAACTGATAAAGTAACCCTAGTAACCTAAACTAGTAACCCTAGTAACCTACACTGGTAACCCTAGTAACCTACACTAGTAACAGAGCTGTTTCTCCACCGACTATGTTAGCCCAACTGATAAAGTAACCCTAGTAACCTACACTAGTAACCCTAGTAACCTACACTGGTAACCCTAGTAACCTACACTAGTAACAGAGCTGTTTCTCCACCGACTATGTTAGCCCAACTGATAAAGTAACCCTAGTTACCTACACTAGTAACCCTAGTAACCTACACTAGTAACAGAGCTGTTTCTCCACCGACTATGTTAGCCCAACTGATAAAGTAACCCTAGTAACCTACACTAGTAACCCTAGTAACCTACACTAGTAACAGAGCTGTTTCTCCACCGACTATGTTAGCCCAACTGATAAAGTAACCCTAGTAACCTACACTAGTAACCCTAGTAACCTACACTGGTAACCCTAGTAACCTACACTAGTAACAGAGCTGTTTCTCCACCGACTATGTTAGCCCAACTGATAAAGTAACCCTAGTAACCTACACTAGTAACCCTAGTAACCTACACTGGTAACCCTAGTAACCTACACTAGTAACAGAGCTGTTTCTCCACCGACTATGTTAGCCCAACTGATAAAGTAACCCTAGTAACCTAAACTAGTAACCCTAGTAACCTACACTGGTAACCCTAGTAACCTACACTGGTAACCCTAGTAACCTACACTAGTAACAGAGCTGTTTCTCCACCGACTATGTTAGCCCAACTGATAAAGTAACCCTAGTAACCTAAACTAGTAACCCTAGTAACCTACACTGGTAACCCTAGTAACCTACACTAGTAACAGAGCTGTTTCTCCACCGACTATGTTAGCCCAACTGATAAAGTAACCCTAGTAACCTACACTAGTAACCCTAGTAACCTACACTGGTAACCCTAGTAACCTACACTAGTAACAGAGCTGTTTCTCCACCGACTATGTTAGCCCAACTGATAAAGTAACCCTAGTAACCTAAACTAGTAACCCTAGTAACCTACACTAGTAACCCTAGTAACCTACACTAGTAACAGAGCTGTTTCTCCACCGACTATGTTAGCCCAACTGATAAAGTAACCCTAGTAACCTACACTAGTAACCCTAGTAACCTACACTAGTAACAGAGCTGTTTCTCCACCGACTATGTTAGCCCAACTGATAAAGTAACCCTAGTAACCTAAACTAGTAACCCTAGTAACCTACACTGGTAACCCTAGTAACCTACACTAGTAACAGAGCTGTTTCTCCACCGACTATGTTAGCCCAACTGATAAAGTAACCCTAGTAACCTACACTAGTAACCCTAGTAACCTACACTGGTAACCCTAGTAACCTACACTAGTAACAGAGCTGTTTCTCCACCGACTATGTTAGCCCAACTGATAAAGTAACCCTAGTAACCTAAACTAGTAACCCTAGTAACCTACACTAGTAACCCTAGTAACCTACACTAGTAACAGAGCTGTTTCTCCACCGACTATGTTAGCCCAACTGATAAAGTAACCCTAGTAACCTACACTAGTAACCCTAGTAACCTACACTGGTAACCCTAGTAACCTACACTAGTAACAGAGCTGTTTCTCCACCGACTATGTTAGCCCAACTGATAAAGTAACCCTAGTAACCTAAACTAGTAACCCTAGTAACCTACACTGGTAACCCTAGTAACCTACACTAGTAACAGAGCTGTTTCTCCACCGACTATGTTAGCCCAACTGATAAAGTAACCCTAGTAACCTACACTAGTAACCCTAGTAACCTACACTAGTAACAGAGCTGTTTCTCCACCGACTATGTTAGCCCAACTGATAAAGTAACCCTAGTAACCTACACTAGTAACCCTAGTAACCTACACTGGTAACCCTAGTAACCTACACTAGTAACAGAGCTGTTTCTCCACCGACTATGTTAGCCCAACTGATAAAGTTCACTGGGTCAGTTGTAAGAATGCGAGCCATCAGCTTATTAATTGGTTACTGTTACAAATACAATACATAGTAACTGTTTAATTGATTCCCTTTAAATATGTTGTAATTTGTAACCTGGCTCCTCTAGACTGGCAGTTTCAAATAAAGGTAAGCTCAAGATACGGAAGATGAATACTCACAGTGTTGGATCTGTGACTCCCTGTGCAGCCAGGTACTTCTTAGGATCGTTATGGTAGATCTTCTGCCAGCCCTTGTAAGGTGAGCACCAGTTGTTACCCTCTAGTTACCATGGTAACCTACTCTAGTAACCAGGTAACTAGTAGTGTAACTATGGTAACTAGTAGTGTAACTATGGTAACTAGTAGTGTAACTATGGTAGCTAGTAGTGTAACTATACCTTGTAAGGTGAGCACCAGTTGTTACCCTCTCCTACCCAGGCTCCAAATCCGCAGTCGAGGTACAGGTCGTCATAGTTACTCATGATCACTTGGAAACCTTTCTTCACCAGGTTCGGCAGCTGCGATTATATATATAATTCAGTATATATACTATATTATATATACTGAATTATATATACTATATTATATATACCACGGTAGCAGTGATATTGGGGGTTTGTCGTTAACATGCCAGTTATTTATAATTCCAAAAATGTCGAAATATAAAAAGATTAAGTAAACATTTTTTGTAGGATCCGCTGTTTTGTAGAAAAGTAGTCTCTTCAATTTTTGGGAAGTTTTATGTGCGTGAGTTTACCAATTACCAGTATCATTACCAGTATCATTACCAGTATTATCACCAGTATTATTACCAGTATTATCACCAGTATTATTACCAGTATTATTACCAGTATTATTACCAGTATTATTACCAGTATCATTACCAGTATTATTACCAGTATTATTACCGGTATTATTACCGGTATTATTACCAGTATTATTAACAGTATTATTACCAGTATTATTACCAGTATTATTACCAGTATTATTACCAGTATTATTACCAGTATCATTACCAGTATCATTACCAGTATTATTACCAGTATTATTACCAGTATTATTACCGGTATTATTACCAGTATTATTACCAGTATTATTACCAGTATTATTACCAGTATTATTACCAGTATTATTACCAGTATTATTACCAGTATTATTACCAGTAATATTACCAGTATTATTACCAGTATTATTACCAGTATTATTACCAGTATTTTTTTTATCTAGACACTTATTTTACTTCGGTGTATTCCAACAGCCACAATGTTACACAAGTGCAACCAGCCAATTACAGGAAGCCGAAGGATCTTTTTTGGCCAGTGACGGTTAAGGTAGTGTGTACCATACTTTCTTCGTCCGAGACTTTGCTGCAATGTGCAGCTCCTCATTTAACCCTCACACCCGATTTCTCGAGTATTCGGCTGAGTAGACCGGGGGGCTGCATAGACCACTCATGATCCTTAGCTGAACGTCGACGACGCTCACCCCACGACCAGGCAGTCAGTGGGTTTCGAACTCGCAACCTAACGATTGTAAGACAGGCGTTCTAACCAACTGCGCTACCTGGCCGGTATTATTACCGGTATTATTACCAGTATTATTACCAGTATTATTACCAGTATTATTACCAGTATTATTACCAGTATTATTACCGGTATTATTACCGGTATTATTACCAGTATTATTACCAGTATTATTACCAGTATTATTACCAGTATTATTACCAGTATTATTACCAGTATTATTACCAGTATTATTACCAGTATTATTACCAGTATTATTACCAGTATTATTACCAGTATTATTACCAGTATTATTACCAGTATTATTGCCAGTATTATTGCCAGTATTATTGCCAGTATTATTGCCAGTATTATTACCAGTATTATTACCAGTATTATTACCAGTATTATTACCAGTATTATTACCAGTAATATTACCAGTATTATTACCAGTATTATTACCAGTATTATTACCAGTATTATTACCAGTATTATTACCGGTATTATTACCGGTATTATTACCGGTATTATTACCAGTATTATTACCAGTATTATTACCAGTATTATTACCAGTATTATTACCAGTATAATTACCAGTATTATTACCAGTATTATTACCAGTATTATTACCAGTATTATTACCAGTATTATTACCAGTATTATTACCAGTATTATTACCAGTATTATTACCAGTATTATTACCAGTATTATTACCAGTATTATTACCAGTATTATTACCAGTATTATTACCAGTATTATTACCAGTATTATTACCAGTATTATTACCAGTATTATTACCAGTATTATTGCCAGTATTATTACCAGTATTATTACCAGTATTATTACCAGTATTATTACCAGTATTATTACCAGTATTATTACCAGTATTATTACCAGTATTATTACCAGTATCATTACCAGTATCATTACCAGTATTATTACCAGTATTATTACCAGTATTATTACCAGTATTATTACCAGTATTATTACCAGTATTATTACCAGTATTATTACCAGTATTATTACCAGTATTATTACCAGTATGATTACCAGTATTATTACCAGTATTATTACCAGTATTATTACCAGTATTATTACCAGTATAATTACCAGTATTATTACCAGTATTATTACCAGTATTATTACCAGTATTATTACCAGTATTATTACCAGTATTATTACCAGTATTATTACCAGTATGATTACCAGTATTATTACCAGTATTATTACCAGTATTATTACCAGTATTATTACCAGTATAATTACCAGTATTATTACCAGTATTATTACCAGTATTATTACCAGTATCATTGCCAGTATTATTACCAGTATTATTACCAGTATCATTACCAGTATCATTACCAGTATTATTACCAGTATTATTACCAGTATTATTACCAGTATTATTACCAGTATCATTACCAGTATCATTACCAGTATTATTACCAGTATTATTACCAGTATTATTACCAGTATTATTACCAGTATTATTACCAGTATTATTACCAGTATTATTACCAGTATTATTACCAGTATTATTACCAGTATTATTACCAGTATTATTACCAGTATTATTACCAGTATTATTACCAGTATCATTACCAGTATCATTACCAGTATTATTACCAGTATTATTACCAGTATTATTACCAGTATTATTACCAGTATTATTACCAGTATTATTACCGGTATTATTACCAGTATTATTACCAGTATTATTACCAGTATTATTACCAGTATTATTACCAGTATTATTACCAGTATTATTACCAGTATTATTACCAGTATTATTACCAGTATTATTACCAGTATTATTACCAGTATTATTACCAGTATTATTACCAGTATCATTACCAGTATCATTACCAGTATTATTACCAGTATTATTACCAGTATTATTACCAGTATTATTACCAGTATTATTACCAGTATTATTACCAGTATTATTACCAGTATCATTACCAGTATCATTACCAGTATTATTACCAGTATTATTACCAGTATTATTACCAGTATTATTACCAGTATTATTACCAGTATTATTACCAGTATTATTACCAGTATTATTACCAGTATAATTACCAGTATTATTACCAGTATTATTACCAGTATTATTACCAGTATTATTACCAGTATTATTACCAGTATTATTACCAGTATCATTACCAGTATTATTACCAGTATTATTACCAGTATTATTACCAGTATGATTACCAGTATTATTACCAGTATTATTACCAGTATTATTACCAGTATTATTACCAGTATAATTACCAGTATTATTACCAGTATAATTACCAGTATTATTACCAGTATTATTACCAGTATTATTAACAGTATTATTACCAGTATTATTACCAGTATTATTACCAGTATTATTACCAGTATTATTACCAGTATCATTACCAGTATTATTACCAGTATTATTACCAGTATTATTACCAGTATCATTACCAGTATTATTACCAGTATTATTACCAGTATTATTACCAGTATTATGACCAGTATTATTACCAGTATTATTACCAGTATTTCACCTGTTTGTTGGTGGAGCTCTCCCAGTATTGAACAGTGTAGATACTAGGATCCAAATAATGGAGGAACTCAGGCTCCGTCATGTGGCTGGTCCACAGCACCATGTCCTTCAGCTTACCTAGTGTTACTAGTGTAGGTTACTATGGTTACTAGTGTAACTAGTAGTATAACTATGGTAACTAGAAGTGTAACTATGGTTACTAGTAGTGTTACTATGGTTACTAGTAGTGTTACTATGGTAACTAGAAGTGTAACTATGGTAACATGTGGCTGGTCCACAGCACCACCTCCAGCTTACCTCCGTTAGCTTTCTTGAACCTACTCAGAGCTTCTACTTGGTACTCGTTCCACAGCTCCATAAAACCTTCCTCGGAGCGTGGGATTCTAGAATCAAGGGATATTAGTTAGTTAATTAATTAGTATCCCCCACCCCCTAATTAATGTAAACACGTGATATGAGCGCTGAAAAGATCCCACTGTCATATTACTAAGTTGGATAATATTTTCCATTTCCACTTATAAGGGATCCTAATTATAGTAACTATAGTAACCAGGGTTCTGATAACGTCATTACTCACTGCTTGCTGTCCATGTAGTCAGTAATCTCTTGAGTTGTATTCCAGCAGTTAAAGTTGACCTCGTCCCCTCCAATGTGGAATGCAGATCCTGTAAAACTGTCCAGCATGTCTTTGTAAATATCCTGGAAAACAGAAGACCTACAAATTGTTGATAAAGAACCTTACCATGACCCTGACTACTACTACCCTCTGGTCTATACCCCAAAATTGTATCGAACAGTACGTTGATTGAGTGAGTAGACCCCTAACCTAACTATGGTAACTAGTAGTGTAACTATGGTTACTAGTAGTGTTACTATTAGTAACCAGTGCGTTGATTGAGTGAGTAGACCCCTAACCTCGACAACATCGTACAAGTTAGGATTAGCCAGGTTCATCTGTCCGCAAGGAGGCTCCACACAGAACTTCTCCCAGGGGTCCTTGTTGATGCAGACTGCCAGCTTGCCCAGGCCTTCCTCCTCTCCCCATTGGTACCCGTTACCACTGTGTGCTGGAGCATCTAACTCCGGAACAACTCTCACTCCCCGGATCTGTCATGTCATCAATTTTATAATTATAATTATAGATACAAAGTTATCATCTCCAGACGTGCCTACATTTATACTTCATAATATTCAAACATGAAGAGGGGAAATCGCTTTTAGATCTTTTAATAATTTTCAATTATATTCTATGCCCTTACGTCAGCGTAATGTACGATGTCTTTAATATCCTCGTCAGTGTAAATCTGCTCAGGACTATAGGCTCCCCACTCTGTCATCCTTGGTCGTCGTTTGGAGTGGAATGGGAAACTGTGTGTGTCCGTGATGTGCCAGTGAAAGGTGTTCAGTTTTGAGGCTGAGAGTCCGTCTATCACCTTTCTGAGGAGATATTTTACTGACTTTGTGTATGTACTATGTGTGGGTAGTAAATAAGAAGTTGTATTGAGTCTTAAGTCTTTTTTAATAAAGAGTGTATACGGAACCCGCGAGAACTATTCCCCGTGTAGTGTCCGTCACTTAACTTATTCCCCGTGTCCGTCACTTAACTTATTCCCAGTGTCCGTCACTTAACTTATTCCCCGTGTCCGTCACTTAACTTATTCCCCGTGTCCGTCACTTAACTTATTCCCCGTGTCCGTCACTTAACTTATTCCCCGTGTCCGTCACTTAACTTATTCCCCGTGTCCGTCACTTAACTTATTCCCCGTGTCCGTCACTTAACTTATTCCCCGTGTCCGTCACTTAACTTATTCCCCGTGTCCGTCACTTAACTTATTCCCCGTGTCCGTCACTTAACTTATTCCCCGTGTTCGTCACTTAACTTATTCCCCGTGTCCGTCATTTAACTTATTCCCCGTGTCCGTCACTTAACTTACTCCCCGTGTCCGTCACTTAACTTATTCCCCGTGTCCATCACTTAACTTATTCCCCGTGTCCGTCACTTAACTTATTCCCTGTGTCCGTCACTTAACTTATTCCCCGTGTCCGTCACTTAACTTATTCCCCGTGTCCGTCACTTAACTTATTCCCCTTGTCCGTCACTTAACTTATTCCCCGTGTCCGTCACTTAACTTATTCCCCGTGTCCGTCACTTAACTTATTCCTCGTGTCCGTCATTTAACTTATTCCCCGTGTTCGTCACTTAACTTATTCCCCGTGTCCGTCACTTAACTTATTCCCCGTGTCCGTCACTTAACTTATTCCCCGTGTCCATCACTTAACTTATTCCCCGTGTCCGTCACTTAACTTATTCCCCGTGTCCGTCATTTAACTTATTCCCCGTGTTCGTCACTTAACTTATTCCCCGTGTCCGTCACTTAACTTATTCCCCGTGTCCGTCACTTAACTTATTCCCCGTGTCCGTCACTTAACTTATTCCTCGTGTCCGTCATTTAACTTATTCCCCGTGTTCGTCACTTAACTTATTCCCCGTGTCCGTCACTTAACTTATTCCCCTTGTCCGTCACTTAACTTATTCCCCGTGTCCGTCACTTAACTTATTCCCCGTGTCCGTCACTTAACTTATTCCTCGTGTCCGTCATTTAACTTATTCCCCGTGTTCGTCACTTAACTTATTCCCCGTGTCCGTCACTTAACTTATTCCCCGTGTCCGTCACTTAACTTATTCCCCGTGTCCGTCACTTAACTTATTCCCCGTGTTCGTCACTTAACTTATTCCCCGTGTCCGTCACTTAACTTATTCCCCGTGTCCGTCACTTAACTTATTCCCCGTGTCCGTCACTTAACTTATTCCCCGTGTTCGTCACTTAACTTATTCCCCGTGTCCGTCATTTAACTTATTCCCCGTGTCCGTCACTTAACTTATTCCTCGTGTCCGTCATTTAACTTATTCCCCGTGTTCGTCACTTAACTTATTCCCCGTGTCCGTCACTTAACTTATTCCCCGTGTCCGTCACTTAACTTATTCCCCGTGTCCGTCACTTAACTTATTCCTCGTGTCCGTCATTTAACTTATTCCCCGTGTTCGTCACTTAACTTATTCCCCGTGTCCGTCACTTAACTTATTCCCCGTGTCCGTCACTTAACTTATTCCCCGTGTCCGTCACTTAACTTATTCCCCGTGTCCGTCACTTAACTTATTCCCCGAGTCCGTCACTTAACTTATTCCCCGTGTCCGTCACTTAACTTATTCCCCGTGTTCGTCACTTAACTTATTCCCCGTGTCCGTCACTTAACTTATTCCCCGTGTCCGTCACTTAACTTATTCCCCGTGTCCGTCACTTAACTTATTCCCCGTGTTCGTCACTTAACTTATTCCCCGTGTCCGTCATTTAACTTATTCCCCGTGTCCGTCACTTAACTTACTCCCCGTGTCCGTCACTTAACTTATTCCCCGTGTCCATCACTTAACTTATTCCCCGTGTCCGTCACTTAACTTATTCCCTGTGTCCGTCACTTAACTTATTCCCCGTGTCCGTCACTTAACTTATTCCCCGTGTCCGTCACTTAACTTATTCCCCTTGTCCGTCACTTAACTTATTCCCCGTGTCCGTCACTTAACTTATTCCCCTTGTCCGTCACTTAACTTATTCCCCGTGTCCGTCACTTAACTTATTCCCCGTGTCCGTCACTTAACTTATTCCCCGTGTCCGTCACTTAACTTATTCCTCGTGTCCGTCATTTAACTTATTCCCCGTGTTCGTCACTTAACTTATTCCCCGTGTCCGTCACTTAACTTATTCCCCGTGTCCGTCACTTAACTTATTCCCCGTGTCCATCACTTAACTTATTCCCCGTGTCCGTCACTTAACTTATTCCCCGTGTCCGTCATTTAACTTATTCCCCGTGTTCGTCACTTAACTTATTCCCCGTGTCCGTCACTTAACTTATTCCCCGTGTCCGTCACTTAACTTATTCCCCGTGTCCGTCACTTAACTTATTCCTCGTGTCCGTCATTTAACTTATTCCCCGTGTTCGTCACTTAACTTATTCCCCGTGTCCGTCACTTAACTTATTCCCCTTGTCCGTCACTTAACTTATTCCCCGTGTCCGTCACTTAACTTATTCCCCGTGTCCGTCACTTAACTTATTCCTCGTGTCCGTCATTTAACTTATTCCCCGTGTTCGTCACTTAACTTATTCCCCGTGTCCGTCACTTAACTTATTCCCCGTGTCCGTCACTTAACTTATTCCCCGTGTCCATCACTTAACTTATTCCCCGTGTCCGTCACTTAACTTATTCCCCGAGTCCGTCACTTAACTTATTCCCCGTGTCCGTCACTTAACTTATTCCCCGTGTTCGTCACTTAACTTATTCCCCGTGTCCGTCACTTAACTTATTCCCCGTGTCCGTCACTTAACTTATTCCCCGTGTCCATCACTTAACTTATTCCCCGTGTCCGTCACTTAACTTATTCCCTGTGTCCGTCACTTAACTTATTCCCCGTGTCCGTCACTTAACTTATTCCCCGTGTCCGTCACTTAACTTATTCCCCTTGTCCGTCACTTAACTTATTCCCCGTGTCCGTCACTTAACTTATTCCCTGTGTCCGTCACTTAACTTATTCCCCGTGTCCGTCACTTAACTTATTCCCCGTGTCCGTCACTTAACTTATTCCCCGTGTCCGTCACTTAACTTATTCCCCGTGTCCGTCACTTAACTTATTCCCCGTGTCCGTCATTTAACTTATTCCCCGTGTTCGTCACTTAACTTATTCCCCTTGTCCGTCACTTAACTTATTCCCCGTGTCCGTCACTTAACTTATTCCCCGTGTCCGTCACTTAACTTATTCCCCGTGTCCGTCACTTAACTTATTCCCCGAGTCCGTCACTTAACTTATTCCCCGTGTCCGTCACTTAACTTATTCCCCGTGTTCGTCACTTAACTTATTCCCCGTGTCCGTCACTTAACTTATTCCCCGTGTCCGTCACTTAACTTATTCCCCGTGTCCGTCACTTAACTTATTCCCCGTGTCCGTCACTTAACTTATTCCCCGTGTCCGTCACTTAACTTATTCCCCGTGTCCGTCACTTAACTTATTCCCCGTGTCCGTCACTTAACTTATTCCCCGTGTCCGTCACTTAACTTATTCCCCGTGTCCGTCACTTAACTTATTCCCCGTGTCCGTCACTTAACTTACTTGATAGTTTCTACGCGGAAGTAGTTACGGCTAGTGTCCAACAAAACTCCCCTCCAGGGGTACTTAGGAGCATCATTGATAAGGACGTCACTAGCCATGTAGCAACTTTGTTCTTCACACTGGATCAGCTGAGAGAGGGTCTCCAACCCATGTCTACCTCCCTGAGTTTAGGAAAATAGATTATATTTCTGGTGCATTGGGAATTTGGGGGCGCTATCTTGTCAAAAGGATAGTGGGTTATACTAGGATTACAGATCTTATCCGTCTATTTTATCTATTATCCGTCTATTTTATCTATCACTAAAAATAAAGTGCAATTGTAGATTTGGCCTGAGTTAGAATCCTGACCTGGAAAGTAAGGGCAGTGACGACCACAATAACATTTCCATTGTAGGTCTGGATCCAGAGTCTGTAACTTTCGTCAGTTTTCAGGTCCAGTTCACTGGTCTCGTCTGAGATTTGGAACTGAACTTTCACCTAAACAGAGAGCATCTGTTAAAGTATAATATGTCATATTGTTTTCCTGATCATTAGGAGTTTGGTTCTTACATGATAATATTTAATATTGATATGAAACCTGTTTTGCGTCTCCAGCAGCAGTGAAAGGTTTGTAGTGGTTCTGGAACACTGCCACAGCTTCTTGTAAACGAGTTGTTCTGGCCGCTACGATTCTGAGAGAAAGAAATCGACTTCTCAATAATTGTGCAATAACTATAATAGGTATTCGTCGCTGGACGCTGTTGCGAATCATTTTGAGAAATAATCTACTTCAGATGATAGTGATACAGTTAGAAATAAATTAATGCAATATTATATGGGCTTCTTACTCGAAGTTGGCGACATTAACAGAGATAACACCAGACCCGATGTGGACACTACCCGTAGGATATGGCCACAGGGTTCCACCTGCTTTGCAAGCCAAACGACACTTTGGTAATGGGGTGTACTCTCCGTTCGTTTCTGTAGTGGTTTACTCGTTATTGGACAATCTAACTCACTAAACTTGCTAAAGTTCAAAGTGGCCAAGGCACATTTGATCTTGTAGTTGTAATAGATGGTTTGATCGAGAGTTAATTAATAGTAAGCAAAAAGTCGTGTGCACTAGTAGATTATTAATACAATTACATCTTGAGTCTTCCTGAGTCTAAATTAACAATAAAAGTTAAAGGTTTTTGGTATTTGAATACCTGCTAAGGGGACCCTCTTACAAACAGAGTCCTCGCCACATTTGTAACTCCAAGCGAATTCAGCTTCAATGAGAGCTGGAATACAAGCCAATACAAGGATCAACTTCATTATCTCAAGAATATTAAAACTGAAAGTGGGATCGGGATCGGGACTCTCTCCGAAATTTATCCTGCGGCTAATAATTAGAGACAGCGAGTTTAAATCCTCTTGAAGGGTTTGAAACTTAAAGTACAGAAAACTAATTCGATTCAAAATTGTAATAGAGTTCTGAATCAGCTACTTAAATCGAGTAAATTAAATTTTGCAACCGAGCTCGACACCGAATAATTGAATTTTCCTTTTGCTCGTCAAACTTTACTTATTACTTAATTGATTTAGTAGGGCGTGAGTAAATTAAATTATGAACGAGTTTAAGTTTGACTTTAAGAAGCACTGACAACTTTTTTATAAGCACTAAGGCACAAGATTAAATCCTAATTACATTGTCATCACTACTCAAATAAAGACCAAGGCTAAATTTTACAGGGTGCAATTGCAATAAACAATAAAACTAAAAGTGGAAAGAGTATTTATAATACTTTTATCGAAGTGTGTCTACTGTCTATCTCGAAGATATTCCAAAATCAAACTACGAGGAGTAATTCAAAGTGAAAACCCGGAGTTTAACATAATCCGCTCTGATATGAAAAAGACTTGTATTCGTTCGGATGATGATTAATCACTCTAAACTCGACTGTCACGTGACTTCTTCAACCCGTTCTCTAGCTGACCCTGAACGACTATTCAAAACCATAACACTCTATAAATCTGATCCCGATCCCAAACCTAACCCTAAGTCCTAACCCAATCCTTAACAAAAGCATATGCTGAAACCTTAACCCTAACGAGAAATTAGACTAACTTCCTTATACGGTCATATCACGTGATCGAGACAGTTTTTCGCCAGGGGAGCATTTTAACCCTATTATATATGTCAATGTCATGGGGGGTGATTCGGAATCAGCGTCCGAAAATACATCGTCTCAAGTTGGTTTCAACTGACGGGGGCCCTTTTAGAACAATCTCGAAGATCGACTGTAGAGTGATACTGATTTAGCACGCTCGTATTTGCTACAATTTCATCGCATATTATCCTCAATGATCACTTTGTCATTTGTGCTATGGGATAAAAATAATTATAATAATAAACTTGCGATAGGGTGTTGTAGCGCGATGCACTACTGGGTCGCGCGCGCATCAAATAATGCTTCTCGCAACCACAGTTGCAGATCGGCGAGATGCGAAGGATTGACATCGTGAATCAAGATAGGGTGTAGGGAGTGCACGATAAAAATAAACTTGCACGGATTTTCAAAATTTTTGTACCATAATTGTTTTCTAGAGACTGTGAGAATTTTCACAGTACCAAATTTGTCATACTTTTTTGGAATGATCAGTGAGTTTCGCCTAGGTGCCATATTTGATGGTGCGCGGCTTTTGGAGCAAAATTAGGTGTAAAAGTCGCGTTATTTGACGAAATTCGTTGATTTTTGTCGTATTATTTTATCATATCTTCGGTTCCTGGACATGAATCATGCTGAAAATTTGTCAGAACCTTCCAATCATACTTAACTACTGAACCTAATGTAGTTGGGAGAGATTGGCCTTGATTAAGAGGTCTAAAAATATGACAAAATAGGTATAAATTCGTTGATAACTCAAATTCTGACCATCGAAATTGCTCAAACTAATTTAGGTTCAGTAGAACATAAGTGTTTACGTACGCTGACCAGATTTCAACAAAATCGTTATATGGGAACTGGGAAGTATTATAACTTTTTGATTGTTTCCGAAATAATGTGCTGGCCGAAATACGAGCTAAAAAACCATTCAATGGTCAGCGCGCGCGTCTTACGGTCGATGGCGCACTGCCTATAGGGTGGAAAATTTACATTTGAATAAAAATGCAAATTCAAAATGCGCCATGAAAATAACTGAAGGACGCCCAGCCAGGTTTGCTGGGGACATAACACGCCCGCCATTGTTAAACGGGTGATACTCGTAAAATATTTGTTCCAGGACCATGTCGACGAGTCCAACTCGGCGCGCGTCCTGGTAGGTTATAAATGATAAACCTACAAGCCATTGTCCGAATGTCCGCTAACCGCTTATCTCATAGAATCTAAAAAGGACAGGACATTAGCAGACAATTACTAAATTAAATACCTGACAAGATCGTTGACAGTTGAACGTGAACATTGTTAATGATCTGGCCCGGCGCGCGCTACTTCGTAGCACTTGCCATTTGTATCACGTTGCGACCCCCACGGTCGTTTCACTATGTCGTCCTGACGATTCACCTTTATCGTCCTGACGATACAGGGGGAGCCGCGCACTCGTGCGCGGCGGGTCATACAACGTATAACAACTTGCCATCGGGCCAACATTTCGAGAAGAAAGCGGCGCGCGCTATTTTGAAGAATTTTAGACGAGTAACATCCGTCAAATTATTTGCTTCTCTCTGCTCTCTAGGAGAAGAAATTATATGAATTTAATTAATTTACGCAAAGGAAATTGTGCATCAGATAAATTCTTTAAAAGTTGACGGATGTTACTCGTCTAAATTTCTTCGAAGTAGCGCGCGCCGCTTTCTTCTCGAAATGTTAAAAGCTACGAAGTAGCGCGCGCCGGGCCAGATCATTAACAATGGTTAAGTTTAAAAGCTTTTATTCCCGGACGTGCCGCGCACATTTGCTTCAACATTCATCGTACTTTCAGAATCGAGCGCTATACAAAATATAGATTTTCAAACAATATTTATTGTATGCATTAGATTAAATCAAGTGATGCAATTGGCAGAGCACAATACACAGGTAACGGAAATTGTCCACTGCTACCAATATTATATATGAAATATCAACAATCAAGTATATACACATCTACTCCATCATAAGGGGCAGGAATGAGGTTGTAAGAGACTTTTGATAAAGGGGACAATAGTAAGAAATTGCAGCGATCATCAAGTCTGCGTGGTGCCGCATTACGACAGATCCTATTCAGATAAATGATTGTTGATAAATGACAGTTTTGATGTTGAATTATGCATGTTTAGAAATTGTTGTTTCTTGACCAACATTTTGAATATACTTCTTCATGCTCAACTCTCTTGGTCACTCGTTCGGTCACTCATTTCCAATATCATCCACCTTATGGGGCAGTGGTTGGTTTGATTGCTTGTGCTGTCTTGCTTCTTCACTTTGTAAGTATAGTAGGTCTGTAAGTTGTGGCTTTGTTATATTAATTACAGTGATGTTTTAAAAAAATCAAATACAAATCTTCCTCAGAGATATGTTTCTCGATCTGCATTTCTTGTTAATGGTCTTGACAAACAAGTCTTATGATAGTGTTCAGTTAGCAAATAACTTCAATATTTCAGTCCTCAGGCACCCAGGTTACCAATTGAAGTGGTCCAGTTCTTAACTATAGCCATGCAGTCAGAATCAATAAGAATCCATTTTTACCAAATTAGACTGGAACGGTAGCATACCTTAGTTGACTTAAAAATTGCCCCCTAGGGGTCGTTCACATATTACGTAATCAGCTGAGGGGGGAGGGGGGGTTTCCGAATGATTACGCTAGTGTAATTATGACACAATAGCTGTGTAAAACTGATTAGGGGGGGGGGGGGGGTTAAAAATGTTCCAAAAAATGAGTACATTATATGTGAACAACCCCCTATTTAGTATGATTTTCAAGTGAAGTCTGGGGTCTGCACCATTACATAATTCCTTTTATCATCAGTGAGCAGAGCCATGAATGGTAGTATGATCCGCCAGACCCCGATAACATGTACGGGGCACAGTCGGCCAGTGGTGGATATCGAATTCAGTGATATCACTGATGATTTGTCCTACTATCTGATTAGTGCCAGTAAAGATGGCAAGCCTCAGCTTAGAGAGGGTGGCACAGGTAAATTAGTTGTTGTTTTTTAGTGTTATATATATGGACACGTTCATTTGAGTTTGAGGATATTGGTAAATATAAGTGACCCTATTAAAAGGCACAGTGTAGTTGACTTTGTCACACTATGAAATTACTTAAACCCTTGATGGTTAGGATAATCGTCTCATCCTCTAGGCTAACTTTGTCACATAACGATATCTTAATCAGGTGATAAGATATCGCTTAAATACGGCCGGCACGGAAATGGTTACATTGTCACACTATAAACATGTGACGGAGTAAATATGGACCCCTTGCTACCGTTTTTGACCAAATTTTTGAGTGTCCAGTTGATTGGATGGGTACATATGACCATTACCTACATATTTGACGACTTTTTTCGTTAGATGGTGCACTCAGGTTTACTCTGTCACACATTAAAGAAAATATGTGATGAATGTTTAGGGCACCCTGATAAGCAATGCTGAGTAGTGTAAGTTTATTTGATGGCCTGGAAGTGCTGGGAATTGTTATTATATCATATAGTCGTAAGGAATTAAAACACAGAAGGCACAACCAAGCTTACTTTGTCACATAATCTTGATAATATCTGAACATGTGTGAAATTGAACAAATAATGATATACCAGCTTAAACCCCTTATATTATACGTACTATGGATCAAACAACACTGCTAGTACCATGCACCAGTCACATAAATCATTATCAAGTGGTAATATGTTAACAGTGTCACAATTAAACTACCGCTACATGGTCAAAAATAGGGTAATTTCGTCACAAAAAATTATTATAACTCTGTTAGCTCCTTGCTGGCAAAATAACTAGTTTATCGAAATTTGTTTGATGATAAAGTTACATAGTATTCTAATAGAAGTATAGTTCTTCAAAATAGGGGCAAGACATGTTTACTTTGTCACATCAGTTATTATAAGAGTTAGGTAATCGTCATCAGATTAAAAGATATTTTTCGTAGTTTGGATCGATTAATACTTTAATATACCTGTAATAAATCCTATGTCAATTTTAACACACTATCTTGATACTGTTGGGGCAGGGAAAGTTAATTTTGTCACATTTTCAATGTCTTTGACAAATTAATCTAAATTTTAAAAATTGAGTTCTTATGTTCTGGACAATATTCTTCCAATCGTTTCTGAAAGAATGTTGAATTCTAATAGAGTTATAGATCTTCAAAATAGGGGCAAGACATGTTTACTTTGTCACATCAGTTATTATAAGAGTTAGGTAATCGTCATCACATTAACATATATTTTTTGTAGTTTGGATTGATTTACATAGGTAATAAAGCAGCCTATGCTAATTTTTACACACTATCTTGAAATTGTTGGGGCATGAAAAGTTAATTTTGTCACATTTTTAGTGACTTTGACAAATTTAACCTAAAATTGTTAAACTTAAGCTCTGATGTTCTGGACAATATTCTAATAGAGGTATAGAATATAGATCTTCAAAATAGGGGCAAGACATGTTTACTTTGTCACATCAGTTATTATAAGAGTTATTATAAGAGACTATTTCATTCTATAATCATTGTTTTTAATATATTTACGATTTCGTATAATTTTTTGTGACAATGTAAACATCAACTGATAAAATTTTCCCGCCTTTCAAACCAAAATCAGATATAAATTATTCGCCCAAAATTTTAAATTTCATATATTGTGACAGAATTAACCTCATTTCCCAATAACCAAGTGCCTGTATTAGCTAACTATTCAAAACAACATATTTTAGGGCTATGCTTGGTAGAGCAACCATAAAATAATGAGTTGAAAGGGTTTTTAGGACACCTCACAGTAGAATAGAGGTATGGTATCATGAGTGTGACAAAGTTACCCAAATATTGCTTTGTAACCGTTCGATCCGTGCCCATTAACCAATGTTGTATCATAATTGTTAGATAGACCTAATTTACTATATTTCAGACCAAGGAATGATAATTAGACAACTGCAGTTAACTAAGTCACACAAAATGTGACATTTGAAACATTATAGTGCCTAACAACAATAGATTTTCTTTCTGAGCGGTGCATATGGGAGTATGGGTTACGTGGCTAATGTTCAGAACTTCTGAACGTGCTAGGTTAATAAATGTCAAAATTAAGCCACTATCGTCAAAAACGCTATTATTTTTGTTTACCAATATCCTCAAACTCAAATGAACGTGTCCATATAACAACTGTATCATATAATATATTTTTAAAATCTATGTGTGGGTCAGTAGATAGAGTCTTGTGATAAGGAAGGCAAAACTTGTTAAAAACTACATTACCAGTTTATAATTAGGGACTACCGGTGGGTGATGAATAATTGAGAATCCAACAGGATCTTGTTCTCTTCATTGTGCTGATTCCGGGAAGCATTCGTTTTACGCTCTAATCCTATTAAAAATCGAGATATCGGTCATTGAAAAATGAGTAATTATAGGCCTGTCAATGATTGCAGCCCAATTAAGAGCTGATCAGTTGCAGCTACTTGTGCCATATAAGGGATAACTGAAGTCACGTGACCGCCAATCCTATCACGTGACCTTGATTCGTAAATCCTTGGTCACGTGATCACATTCGTAACGTGTCGAATGCTGACTAGGATATCTCGTGACGTCACCAGAGCTCAAGCTTCCTGACCAGGCCTTATATGGAATAATATAGTGTATCACGTGTAATTGGATCCAATTAAGATGAGCTGCGCAATTATCGCAGCATCTCGATCTGGTATCACCTTTTGAAACCCAGCAGGCAGCTGGGCCAGAGATTTTAAAATAGAAGGATTTTTTGTTGATGAAAATCGAAGCGAAAATCATGTAACCCTATGTTTCCGAGGACGCCGAACACGATAAAACTGGTTATAATTATCATACTCAAGGGCAAATTGCTTTAAAATGCACTTGAATGTCATCTAGATGTTATTATAAGCTAAGCGCCTGAGCGGCTTATCGGGTGGCACCAGTCTCTCTGCCGAATCTCAGTAATTGTAAACAACGACGCTACTAGTTCTCAACTAATAATCGGGCTTATGAAGGAAAGATCTCAAGTTCAGAAGACGAAAGAAATTTATTCAAATATTTGCTTAAGATTAACGAATACGATTTCAACCAATATCTTACAATTTGAGTTACCATTAACTTGTGCCTTACATTTAGAGTTAACGTTACATTATACCTTATATCTGGAGTTAACGTTACATCAGTAATCGACCGGGATTCCCGGCGCCGTGAAATCCCGGCGCCGGGGGAGCTATTTCTTCCCGGCCCCGGCCCCGGCCGATTTTCAATTTTTGCCGGGAATTTGGCCGGGAATTTTTGATCGAAATCGGCCAAAAACTTTCATATAAATCTTAAAATGGATTTTCAATTTTGAAAGGATGATGTCCAGAGTGCCAACTTTTATTTACTGTTTCAGCTGAACAAAATTATTTTACCAAAATATATATGAAATCTAATTACCTTCTAAACTGTTCAATTGATACGAACATTATATTGTCATGTAAAAATAAGTTCAGATCCTAAGTCCTGAAAAGTTCTAACTTGGCCGTGGATTTATTAAATTCACGGCCCCGGCCAAATTCCAGAACGGCCAATTCCCGGCCCCGGCAAAATTTGGACATTCCCGGCCCCGGCCCCGGCCAAATCCTACCCCCGGTCGTTTACTGCGTTACATTATACCTTTCATCTAGAGTTAACGTTACATTATACCGTACATCTAGAGTTAACGTTACATTATACCTTTCATCTAGAGTTAACGTTACATTATACCTTACATCTAGAGTTAACGTTACATTATACCTTACATCTAGATTTAACGTTACATTATACCGTACATCTAGAGTTAACATCTAGAGTTAACGTTACATTATACCTTTCATCTAGAGTTAACGTTACATTATACCTTTCATCTAGAGTTAACGTTACATTATACCTTACATCTAGAGTTAACGTTACATTATACATTCATGTTATTTTCTTACCTTTCTTTTGACGTATTACCAAGAAATCACTGGACCTCGTTAGTCGATAAGGATCCAGTTAGTGACGAGCTATGAAGTAATCATTCGACCTCATTAATACTGATTCTGTCAGTTACGAACTATGAAGTTATTATTCTACCTCTTTAATGCTGATTCTGTCAGCGAAGAGTTGTGAAGAAATTAATGAAGACCTCGTTGATATCCTCGTTCAACAAATATACTCATCTGGTAACCAAATCCCTTATATGGCCTTCTTCTGAGGATCCGAAAACTAAATCTACCCATATCAGAACCTACTGACTTCATTAAACCAATCAATAAAAAGAAGAAGAACTCTGGATACAACATAAGGTATAATGTAATGTTACAGTTAACTCTGAAGTAAGGTATACGATAATCTTAACTTTACATGTGGCGTGGAAGGTAATGTTAACTCACGAATCACGATGTAAGGTATAATGTAACGTTAACGGTATAATGTAACGTTAACTCTAGATGTACGGTATAATGTAATGTTAACTCTAGATGTAATGTATAATGGAACGTTAACTCCATATATATAAGGTATAATGTAACATTAATTCTAAATTTAAGGCACAAGTAAATGGTAACTCAAATTGTAAGATACAAGGTAATATTAACTACATATGCTAAGTAAAAGGTAAGGTTAACTCTAATTGTAAGATACAAGGTAATATTAACTACATATGCTAAGTAAAAGGTAAGGTTAACTTTAAATTTGAGGCAAAAGGCAATGAGTAGTGTACAACGGAAGGGGACCATTCTCATAACAGGAGCGTCAACTTATCCGTAAGTAGCCCTAGCACAATCCTTAAATACCGTTAGTTCATCCTTAAACCGTTATAAAGACTTGAAATACCGCTTATAGAAGTCCTGATACAATCCTTGGTAGTCCTTTTCGATATTGGTTGAAATCCGTATTCGTTAATCTTAAGCAAATATTTGAATAAATTTCTTTCGTCTTCTGAACTTGAGATCTTTCCTTCATAAGCCCGATTATTAGTTGAGAACTAGTAGCGTCGTTGTTTACAATTACTGAGATTCGGCAGAGAGACTGGTGCCACCCGATAAGCCGCTCAGGCGCTTAGCTTATAATAACATCTAGATGACATTCAAGTACATTTTAAAGCAATTTGCCCTTGAGTATGATAATTATAACCAGTTTTATCGTGTTCGGCGTCCTCGGAAACATAGGGTTACATGATTTTCGCTTCGATTTTCATCAACAAAAAATCCTTCTATTTTAAAATCTCTGGCCCAGCTGCCTGCTGGGTTTCAAAAGGTGATCGAGATGCTGCGATAATTGCGCAGCTCATCTTAATTGGATCCAATTACACGTGATACACTATATTATTCCATATAAGGCCTGGTCAGGAAGCTTGAGCTCTGGTGACGTCACGAGATATCCTAGTCAGCATTCGACACGTTACGAATGTGATCACGTGACCAAGGATTTACGAATCAAGGTCACGTGATAGGATTGGCGGTCACGTGACTTCAGTTATCCCTTATATGGCACAAGTAGCTGCAACTGATCAGCTCTTAATTGGGCTGCAATCATTGACAGGCCTATAATTACTCATTTTTCAATGACCGATATCTCGATTTTTAATAGGATTAGAGCGTAAAACGAATGCTTCCCGGAATCAGCACAATGAAGAGAACAAGATCCTGTTGGATTCTCAATTATTCATCACCCACCGGTAGTCCCTACAGTTTATTTCTTGACTTAGGAATAATTAAGTGTAATACAGCACAACAAAATTGGAGCTGGAACATTGCCACTTTAAAAAAATACTCAGGTATGAAAGTGGTTTGCACTTCATTTATTAATATCACAATCACGACCTAATGAGATTTGTGGACTCTCAAAGTGAGGGCTGTTGTAAAGTGGAGGACAAGTATTATCATAGCAATAACATGTCATGTTGAACATGTTGAACATGTTGAACATGTTGAACATGTTGAACATGTTGAACATGTTGAACATGTTGAACATGTTGAACATGTTGAACATGTTGAACATGTTGAACATGTTGAACATGTTGAACATGTTGAACTTGTTGAACATGTTGAACATTGACTTTGTATTTAATAAATAAAGGTCTTCTTTGAGTGATGTTAACTTTGTCTATATTTTATAACGACATGGTTTTACCTGTACAATTTACTTCCTTCTCCCAGGAGATTGGCTGGGAACGTTTGAGGGTCACAAAGGTGCAATCTGGGCAGTGGACATCAGCTATAACGGTACCAGAGCTGCTACTGGTGCTGCTGATTTTACCTCCAACTATTGGGATGCCGAAACTGGAAACTGTCTTGCATCCTTCACTCACTCCCATATTGTGAGTTTTGTTGAGATCATCTCAATTGTATTTTCTCCTTCTTCAATATCTAGTAACTCAAAACTAGTAACTTAAGCTAGTATATTAAACCTAATAATATTCCCCCTTATCCAGGTAAAATCGGTGTCAATAAACCGGGACACGCATTTATTACTCACTGGTACTTCAAGATCGGTACTGAGTATCTGGGATGTCCGACAACCGCAGAACTCCATCGAGGTATTTGATTAATTAATGTTGATATAAGCCAAAAATTGTTTACAAGTTGTAGAAAAATGCATTTTAATGATATTATATTATGTTGATGAAAACATTTTTGAAAATTTTGCCTTCCATAGATTCTTTAAAATCTTCAAGAAAATTAAAACAGTTTTGTCAGGAGTACGCAGGACATAACGGAGGCATCAAAGGATGCAAGTTCTTGGGTAATGACAATTACTTCATAACTACTGGTGAAGACAAACTGATGAAAGTGTGGGATAGACGAGCTAAAAAGGAGCTGAAACAGCAGTCTTTCGATCAGCCTCTCAATAGTAAGTTAGTAGTAACACCTTAGTAACACCTTAGTAACACCAAGTAGTAACACCTTAGTAACACCTTAGTAACACCTTAGTAACACCTTAGTAACACCTTAGTAACACCTTAGTAACACCTTAGTAACACCTTAGTAACACCTTAGTAACACCTTAGTAACACCTCAGTAACACCCTAGTAACACCCTAGTAACACCCTAGTAACACCCTAGTAACACCCTAGTAACACCCTAGTAACGTACCTTCGATCAGCCTCTCAATAGTAAGTTAGTAGTAACACCTTAGTAACACCTTAGTAACACCTTAGTAACACCTTAGTAACACCCTAGTAACACCCTAGTAACACCCTAGTAACACCCTAGTAACGTACCTTCGATCAGCCTCTCAATAGTAAGTTAGTAGTAACACCTTAGTAACACCTTAGTAACACCTTAGTAACACCTTAGTAACACCTTAGTAACACCTTAGTAACACCCTAGTAACACCCTAGTAACACCCTAGTAACGTACCTTCGATCAGCCTCTCAATAGTAAGTTAGTAGTAACACCTTAGTAACACCTTAGTAACACCTTAGTAACACCCTAGTAACACCTTAGTAACACCTTAGTAACGTACCCTCAATAGTAAGTTAGTAGTAACACCTTAGTAACACCTTAGTAACACCCTAGTAACACCTTAGTAACACCCTAGTAACACCCTAGTAACGTACCTTTCTGCAGGCATGGTGTTGAAGGATGACGTTAAAGTGGTCACAGTAACGTACGGTAACAACGTGGCGCTCTACGACGTTACAACGTTTGATCTGTTACGCACACACAGTTTACCTTGCGTTGTGAACAGTGCTTCTCTTCACTTAGACCAGGTTCTTATCAATATTACAAGAGAGAGTAATGTACTTTTACTTAGGCCAGTTACGACTTTAATTAGTGATAAACCTTTAAATTTTTAGAATTAGAATTATAATCAAATTAAATCAAGCAAATTTGAAGTTTATATAAGCTGAGCTGCTGTTCTCGGTTGTTCTAAATTTTAGTAGCTTTCATTTTCCGCACAGCCTACTAGAAAAATAATTTTTCCGTAGATTTTATCAATATTAATTGTCGTGTTCAACACAAGATACAACAACAAGTTACCTTATATCATGGAGCCCTGCTACTTTTAAGTCTGTTTTTTTAGCTGCATTTCTCCTTCTTTGGTCACTGTCAATTGAAGGTTAGGTTAGAATGGAGAAATTATTGATAATTATTTGCAGTAAAATGTCATAATGCTTCTTATCATGGATAATGCTAGGAATAAATAAATCATAAATTATGATGTTTACCAGGCCACGTACCGTAACTTCTTTATGACAGTTATTATTTATCAACAGAATGGCAGCAGTTAATCAACTGATTTGGCCCAGCAATTCATAACTAAAAGATAATATTATGAAGTCTAAAATTACCTTTCTGTACTTTGTAATCCCAAATATGGCATGATTACCGTCTCAAAGTACACGTTGAGGTGATCTAAGCAGGTCTTGAAGTCTTATAATGGTTACCATGGTTACTTACTTATAATGTCCGGTCTTATAGTTGTTTATTAATAGTCAGGATCACAGTCTACCCTCGGATAATTATTAAGAAGGGTTGTATACCATAGAGGGTTATAACAGTATTACGAACTTCATATCAGGGCTGCTAAATAGTTTCAATAATAACCTTGGGTACCCACCCTAACCTTGCTATTGTTGCCGAGAAAAGGTCCCTCCCCCCGGCATTAGTGCACTTCACAACATCATCCCCAGCTGAAGACAGCATTAGTGCACTGTGGTGGTCAATGTTATTTGAACACTGTTTTCAATGTTTAGAACGTTTGCGTTTCTCTCTGGTGACTCCATATTAATCCAGTTACAAGCTCCTCGATAGTGGAGTCTAATTTGGATGCTATCCTAGATGTACTGTCAGAGTAAAGGTGATGTGACAATTGTGAGTTCCAAGTACCCGGCCAACTGCACAAGTGAAGTTCAAATTGTTCAAATTTAATCATAAAATGGCACGATAATTCCTATCTGTAGTTTTAATGACAGTGCTCTCCTGATCACGTGACTTGAAATATTCATACTGTGAGACACGATTATGAGCATTGATCGGTTTCTATTAATAAAATGTATTACAAAGAAAAAATGTTGGTTATCTGATAATATTAAAATTTTGAATCAAATGCTAGGTAATAATTTTCCGCCCAACTGTCAGAAGTCCAATTTCTTATCAAAGTTTACATTGAGTTGAGATCATAGCCCAGAAACTTCAGTCTTACGGAAAAGTATAATTTTGTAGTTAAAGGGTTGAAGTTGCCAACCTTCTGATAGAAACAAGCCCATAGACGCAGTATTGTCCTTTTTGGCACAAGAATGTACACGACATTCCACTCCATGGATGTCCTGAATTGTCTTCAGAGTATGTCTTACGAGTATTCTAGCTAACCCTCTTCTTCTGTGACTCTCCTTTACATGCAACTTCCCTACACTTCCCCCACCATTTACAGTAAGCCATGCAATCGGAGTCGCTGGATCACTTTGAGAGAAAATCCCAAAGCACGGTCTTTGAGTAATCTCTGCCAATACCATCGAGTGAAGAGTACTATCGTCTTTGTTTTTGAATCCAATATCCAAAGCCCACTGAGTCGTAATGACCGCAGTATGGCCCTCTAGCAGTGGGCCAAGTATATAGCCTTGTGGTACAGAAATTTGGTCAGGTTTTGATGCGGGAGCAGCGAACAAGTTGTGGTTCCACTTTGTGGGGTCTCCTTCAAAGTGGAAACCAAGTCTTTGGTTAACACCCGTGACGATGTAATCAAAATATCTCGTCTGGAAATTCATAACGAACCATTCACCGAAATTTGACTCATTCTTACCACTCAGGACTTTATTTAAGAAAAGGTCGATATCCTTCAAGGTAGCATTATCATCGATGTAAAAGTCAATTTTTATAATAATTTTCTTTTCATCTTCGTGGTGAATGATGCTAGAATAAATTTGTCCCGTTGACGATTGAAAAGATTCCACGACCACGTTTCCGTCCAATGGAAGCCAACCTTTTTCAATGAAAGTTAAATGAGTCTTGAAAATAAACAGCTCTTCTGGAATCTCTGACGAGTTTATAGTCCGCGAAATTTTTTCCATTATGATGCAGCCACTAAAGATAACGAAACGATCCGATTTTACATTTACACAATAGTTACAAATGTAACCAAGTTAAAACTGCAAGCGGGAACCGAGAACAGAAAAAAATGTATTGAGGAGTTTTATAATTTAAGGTGAGAAATATTACCATATTATCATAATATCATATTTCGCTGCATTATCCATAAATATGAGTTTAATTGATTTAGGGGGCCGCAATAGAATTACGCATACTGTAAAACTTGGAATGTCGAACCAACAACATACCGAACCAATAAATTGGCGACGTCGCTATATTCGCGGCATTTTTTAATCCGGCTTAGTGGCTCAGTTGGTTAATCCGCCTGGTATTGCTTGAGGTACCAGGTTCGATTCCCGACTCTGTCACTAGCCGTGGGGTGAGCGTCATCGACGCTCAGCTAAGGATCCTGAGTGGTCTATGCAGCCCCCCGGTCCACTCAGCCAAATACTCGAGAAATCGGGTGTGAGGGTTAAATGAGGAGCTGCCCATTGCAGCAAAGTCTCGGGCGAAGAAAGTATGGTACACACTACCTTAACCGTCACTGGCCTAATGTATAATTGAATCCTTCGGCTTCCTGTAATTGGCTGGTTACACACTTGTGTAACAATGAGGCTGTTGGAATGTCCGAAGTAAAATAAGTGTTGAGAAAAAAAGCGATTACTTTACATCTTCAATTTTGTCCAAACCCCAAAAATCGGTAGACTTGACCGTTGCCTTCGCTAAGAAATATATCACCATTCCCGACGAAAATGCTTTTTTCTTCCTTGCTCCTGCAGTCTGCACCTTCGAAATAGCCTTAACTTTTGGAAAGTAATAACAGTACTCCGCAGTAATAACAGTACTCCGCACACCTGCAGTCACTTTAATTGACCACTCCAGCGAAGTGGTACATGTCATGTACCTCCGTCCTCCCTGTTTCTACTAGGGGTGTCCTCCCTCCACCAACTCGAAGTTATTTAATTGTACTTGTGGCACCACTTAAAATATGGGCAGCAAAAGATTCTGAAATCTTGATAGTTACTCCTTTACTCGTATTCTTAATCAACTTTGGAAATTTCCACTTTGACTATGACATACTCTAACAATGCTCACTAAAAACCTCAGAGATATTGTAACTAGTGGTAACTAGTGGTAACTAGTGGTAACTAGTGGTAACTAGTGGTAACTAGTGGTAACTAGTGGTAACTAGTGGTAACTAACAAGTAACAACCTCAGAGATATTTCGTGTGCGGGGGAGAAGACCTATACGTTTACAAAGTGAGTATAGAGACAGGGCGGGTACTAGAGTCCTACAAGAAACACTTCGGTCCGGTCCACTGTATCCGATACTCCCCGGACGGAGAGCTGTACGCGTCAGGCAGCGAAGACGGCACCATCCGTCTCTGGCAGAACTGTGTTGGTAAAACATATGGACTGTGGCAATGCCCAGACCTTACTAACAACAGCCCGGCTAACCAAGAGTTTGTTATGAGCTAATGACGTGAGTCACGTGACAGGGTAGTGTGTCACGTGACAGGGTAGTGGGTCACGTGACAGGGTAGTGTGTCACGTGACAGGGTGTCACGTGACAGGGTAGTGGGTCACGTGACAGGGTGTCACGTGACAGGGTAGTGGGTCACGTGACAGGGTAGTGTGTCACGTGACAGGGTATTGTGTCACGTGACAGGGTAGTGGGTCACGTGACAGGGTGTCACGTGACAGGGTAGTGGGTCACGTGACAGGGTAGTGGGTCACGTGACAGGGTAGTGGGTCACGTGACAGGGTAGTGTGTCACGTGACAGGGTAGTGAGTCACGTGACAGGGTAGGGTGTCACGTGACAGGGTGTCACGTGACAGGGTAGTGTGTCACGTGACAGGGTGGTGGGTCACGTGACAGGGTATTGTGTCACGTGACAGGGTAGTGAGTCACGTGACAGGGTAGGGTGTCACGTGACAGGGTAGTGGGTCACGTGACAGGGTAGTGTGTCACGTGACAGGGTAGTGTGTCACGTGACAGGGTAGTGAGTCACGTGACAGGGTAGTGTGTCACGTGACAGGGTAGTGGGTCACGTGACAGGGTAGTGGGTCACGTGACAGGGTAGTGGGTCACGTGACAGGGTAGTGTGTCACGTGACAGGGTAGTGGGTCACGTGACAGGGTAGTGTGTCATGTGACAGGGTGTCACGTGTGCTGGTGACTAAACAGTTATCTGCCTTATCTTGTGTTGCAATGTTTCATCGAGTTGACCTCGTTCAGTCCCTGCTCCGGGCTCCAGCTGTCGGGTCTGTCACATGTTATTATGATACCTTGTCAAACTGGCTAATTGTTCTAAATTAATGTTTATATTTGACCAGCATTTTGTCAACAATTTGTTTTGTATGATGGACACTTTTGTTAAATAGATGATTTATTTATGATAATTGATTTTTATCAAATTTTATGAACTGCTTGTTTCACTGATTGACTACTCATTCTTTGAAGTTTGACCATTTTATCATTAAACAAGCTTATTCAGGTACGTACTTTGACATAGCGAGGTAAATGTAAAGACCATAGCTTTTGTACATGTTTGTATTTCACATCAGGGTTTCAGCGCAGCAAATAGATACAACAGCCCCCTAACAGCCCTCTAACAGCCCCCTAACAGCCCCCTAACAGCCCCCCTAACAGCCCCCTAACAGCCCTCTAACAGCCCCCCTAACAGCCCCCTAACAGCCCCCTAACAGCCCTCTAACAGCCCTCTAACAGCCCCCTAACAGCCCCCTAACAGCCCTCTAACAGCCCCTAACAGCCCTCTAACAGCCCTCTAACAGCCCCCTAACAGCCCCCTAACAGCCCTCTAACAGCCCCCTAACAGCCGCCTAACAGCCCTCTAACAGCCCCCTAACAGCCCCCTAACAATCCTCTAACAGCCCCCTAACAGCCCTCTAACAGCCCCCTAACAGCCCCCTAACAGCCCTCTAACAGCCCCCTAACAATCCTCTAACAGCCCCCTAACAGCCCTCTAACAGCCCTTTAACAGCCCCCTAACAGCCCCCTAACAGCCCCCTAACAGCCCTCTAACAGCCCTTTAACAGCCCCCTAACAGCCCCCTAACAGCCCCCTAACAGCCCTCTAACAGCCCCCTAACAGCCCTCTAACAGCCCCCTAACAGCCCTCTAACAGCTCTCTAACAGCCCCCTAACAGCCCCTAACAGCCCCCTAACAGCCCTCTAACAGCCCCCTAACAGCCCCCTAACAGCCCTCTAACAGCCCCCTAACAATCCTCTAACAGCCCCCTAACAGCCCTCTAACAGCCCCCTAACAGCCCCCTAACAGCTCTCTAACAGCCCCCTAACAGCCCCCTAACAGCCCTCAAACAGCCCCCCTAACAGCCCTCTAACAGCCCTCTAACAGCCCCCTAACAGCCCTCTAACAGCCCCCTAACAGCCCTCTAACAGCCCCCTAACAGCCCTCTAACAGCCCCCTAACAGCCCCCTAACAGCCCTCTAACAGCCCTCTAACAGCCCCCTAACAGCCCCCTAACAGCTCCCCTAATAGCCCTCTAACAGCCCTCTAACAGCCCTCTAACAGCCCTCTAACAGCCCTCTAACAGCCCTCTAACAGCCCCCTAACAGCCCCCCTAATAGCCCCCTAACAGCCCCCTAACAGCCCCCTAACAGCCCTCTAACAGCTAGGCCCAGCTATTTTAGGTTCCCGTACAGGGCAGTGTGTCACGTGATTATTTTTACTTGGGTAGTCACTTGATTTGATTGATCGTTTACTGAAATCCAATGAAATTGAAACAGCTTATGTTTTTTCACGTGACCGTCTAATGAGACTAGATCTGACTCAGTGATAACGCTCATACCCTGGCTCGGAGTGGCAATTTTATTGATCGCTTCATCTTAAATACTGCTCATTGCTTGTTTACTCCTATAGCTCACATATTCAATTTATATTAATAAAATGCTGGTAATCTGGTATATTTCCCACACAATAATGTTTCATCTAATTTAAGGGCAAGATGGTTGAAATAGGTGGAGACCGGCTGTTTGGTCAGCAGTATAACCCGGCTGTGTTTGTTCTTCCTGCCATTGTTGTTCTTGCAATGTTTGGTGAGGAATTTACTGTTCATTTTAAATGTTGTTTCTTGGTATTATATCGATGATGATTTATAACATCAAAATATTAAATAATGATGTTAAATCTTATTAATTTTTAACAGTTTTTACTTTTCTACTTTGATATAACAAATTATTATTTACAGGGTTCGTTGGTTATAAGATGTATAGTTGGAACAGAGCCAAACTTGCTGTTAAACAAAAGAAAAAGAATAAGAAGAATTAAGACTGTAAAAACATCTGATATGATGTTAAATTGTAATTATGTTTATTAGTATCTAGTACCTCAAACTCCAGGATGTTTATTTAACTTTTATCAGACACATTTGATTGTAACTTTATTTTAAATATTTCATGGGAATCGTCATTAGAATCTGAGTCTTGATTTTTCGTGTTTTCATAAATTATACGGTAGAAATAAAACCTTGATCTACTGTGAGATACTCTACATTCAGGAGACAAATCTTTATAGTTACCATGGTAACCTACACTAGTAACCAGGTAACTAGTAGTGTAACTACAAATCTTCCTATTCCTCCTAAATTAGCCTCATTCTTCCCTCTACCGAACTTCTCAGAAACAGACTGATTTTAGGCAGCTGAATATACCACACACACTCCACAGTTAAACTTTCTCCTTGGAAACAGCTGGTCCATTAACTAAAGTAGTATCGACCATTTACTACGTGTACACAATCTGTTATAAAACTCTGAATAATTAAACGATCAACAAATCGCCACGTTAGCTTCCCCCGCTAACATGTATTTAGGTAAGCCGCGACGACATTATATCATCAAAAGTCTATCGTACTATCAGTGTGTAAAATAAGCGCGCGACGTATTGGTTACGAGATGATTCGATACGAAATTGCATGCTCCGTGCCCGCGTCGTATCCATAATATTAATAATATAATGTGCCTCAGTAGCTCCTAAATCCAGCTGGTGGACTGCAGTTAACTGGTTCACCTTGTACCAGCTGGTGGACTGCAGTTAACTGGTTCACCTTGTACCAGCTGGTGGACTGCAGTTAACTGGTTCACCTTGTACCAGCTGGTGGACTGCAGTTAACTGGTTCACCTTGTACCAGCTGGTGGACTGCAGTTAACCGGTTCACCTTGTACCAGCTGGTGGACTGCAGTTAACCGGTTCACCTTGTACCAGCTGGTGGACTGCAGTTAACCGGTTCACCTTGTACCAGCTGGTGGACTGCAGTTAACCGGTTCACCTTGTACCAGCTGGTGGACTGCAGTTAACCGGTTCACCTTGTACCAGCTGGTGGACTGCAGTTAACCGGTTCACCTTGTACCAGCTGGTGGACTGCAGTTAACCGGTTCACCTTGTACCAGCTGGTGGACTGCAGTTAACCGGTTCACCTTGTACCAGCTGGTGGACTGCAGTTAACCGGTTCACCTTGTACCAGCTGGTGGACTGCAGTTAACCGGTTCACCTTGTACCAGCTGGTGGACTGCAGTTAACCGGTTCACCTTGTACCAGCTGGTGGACTGCAGTTAACCGGTTCACCTTGTACCAGCTGGTGGACTGCAGTTAACCGGTTCACCTTGTACCAGCTGGTGGACTGCAGTTAACCGGTTCACCTTGTACCAGCTGGTGGACTGCAGTTAACCGGTTCACCTTGTACCAGCTGGTGGACTGCAGTTAACTGGTTCACCTTGTACCAGCTGGTGGACTGCAGTTAACCGGTTCACCTTGTACCAGCTGGTGGACTGCAGTTAACCGGTTCACCTTGTACCAGCTGGTGGACTGCAGTTAACCGGTTCACCTTGTACCAGCTGGTGGACTGCAGTTAACCGGTTCACCTTGTACCAGCTGGTGGACTGCAGTTAACCGGTTCACCTTGTACCAGCTGGTGGACTGCAGTTAACCGGTTCACCTTGTACCAGCTGGTGGACTGCAGTTAACCGGTTCACCTTGTACCAGCTGGTGGACTGCAGTTAACCGGTTCACCTTGTACCAGCTGGTGGACTGCAGTTAACCGGTTCACCTTGTACCAGCTGGTGGACTGCAGTTAACCGGTTCACCTTGTACCAGCTGGTGGACTGCAGTTAACCGGTTCACCTTGTACCAGCTGGTGGACTGCAGTTAACCGGTTCACCTTGTACCAGCTGGTGGACTGCAGTTAACCGGTTCACCTTGTACCAGCTGGTGGACTGCAGTTAACCGGTTCACCTTGTACCAGCTGGTGGACTGCAGTTAACCGGTTCACCTTGTACCAGCTGGTGGACTGCAGTTAACCGGTTCACCTTGTACCAGCTGGTGGACTGCAGTTAACCGGTTCACCTTGTACCAGCTGGTGGACTGCAGTTAACCGGTTCACCTTGTACCAGCTGGTGGACTGCAGTTAACCGGTTCACCTTGTACCAGCTGGTGGACTGCAGTTAACCGGTTCACCTTGTACCAGCTGGTGGACTGCAGTTAACCGGTTCACCTTGTACCAGCTGGTGGACTGCAGTTAACCGGTTCACCTTGTACCAGCTGGTGGACTGCAGTTAACCGGTTCACCTTGTACCAGCTGGTGGACTGCAGTTAACCGGTTCACCTTGTACCAGCTGGTGGACTGCAGTTAACCGGTTCACCTTGTACCAGCTGGTGGACTGCAGTTAACCGGTTCACCTTGTACCAGCTGGTGGACTGCAGTTAACCGGTTCACCTTGTACCAGCTGGTGGACTGCAGTTAACCGGTTCACCTTGTACCAGCTGGTGGACTGCAGTTAACCGGTTCACCTTGTACCAGCTGGTGGACTGCAGTTAACCGGTTCACCTTGTACCAGCTGGTGGACTGCAGTTAACCGGTTCACCTTGTACCAGCTGGTGGACTGCAGTTAACCGGTTCACCTTGTACCAGCTGGTGGACTGCAGTTAACTAGTTCACCTTGTACCAGCTGGTGGACTGCAGTTATGTCCTTGTAGTTTCTGTTAAAAAGTGACATGCAACGTGTGGTGTGGCAAAGTTCACCGTGGACTGGATTTTATTTCTAGCAATGAGGGCAAGTGCTTATCATCATCACAGCCTATTATCGTTTATGGGCATTATATATAAACCTCGTAGGATGGTTCACATGTTACGTGATAAACCAGTTGTTGGCCTATTTAACACCATTGTCATTACGTACCCCTCATTTAACCACGTATTACGTGAACGAACTATGAGCGTTTTGTTGAGCATAATTTGTTTGACAAATCGTAAACTAAATAAATCGTTGTTACATAAAATTTAAGGATAATCGTCAATAGAACTAATAATGAACAATGAAAGGCTGCATGAAATAAATCTACATAAATAAAGAAAATGAACAAAGACCCACAATTCTGCTTGATTAGCTGGCGATCAGGAATTTAATGCACTCACATCCAATAAAAAAGGACTCAACCTATATCCTGTTGCCAATAAAATTCAATCCTAAAACCTTAACATATTCCAATAAATATATCTGATAAAAGAAACAAATTAAATGTAAAATTGATTCAAAGCAAAGAGAAGCATTCGTCTACTATTTACTAAGGTCACTTCTATCAAGTAAAATTTAAATAAAACTGTCTATTTACACACTATATATAGTATAGCTATATATAAAGTAACACTATACTTTATATAAAGTAACACTATACTTTATATAAAGTAACACTATACTTTATATAAAGTAACACTATACTTTATATAAAGCTACATTTTGCAACAATCGTCATCATAAAATTAGAGTCCTACTCTGTTTCCGTCTTCTGGGTTGTTTTGCAAGTAGTCCTAACTGAATCAAGACATCATCCGGACACTTCTTCCATGGCACACAGATCTTTGCGTTCTTGTTGGTCGACCAACGCATCAGTGTCCTAAAATTACATACAAACCGTCAAATTACAAGACTGAAGGATACACTAGCTGCTAGCTAAGATAATGAAAAAAGGAATATGAATTATGTACAAAAGTTTAGGAAGATTATCTCAAAAAACTGACCGCTCTCTCTTAGCCTGTAAAAGCCACTGTTTGCCAGTTACCGCGTCATGCCTGTAGCCAACTTTCTGAAGATAAAAAGTTTGTCTAACAAAATTATAAGTTTCAACACAACGACTGAATTATTACCAGTTTGTCAAAGCATTGAATTTACATTGTAGATAACTAGCTGCACGGTACGTACATCTGCAGATAGCTCTATGGCCCTGTACCCATCAGCACATCGTTTGATCTGGCATACTTTCTTCCGCAAAAATTTCATCGTCTTCTTATCGATACCGTTCTCGTCCAAGACTGAGGATAAAATGTCTCATCATCTGATCGATATACTTCCAAAACAACGCGCGTAACGCGCAAATGTTACAGTCGACAATGACCATTGTGGTTTTTAGTCTTAGACATCTTAAAATAATGCCGAAATTGTTTCCTTTTGGAGCGCGCAGGATGAAAAAAACGTGTGCATGTTGCTCCAGATTTTCTAAATTCTTTAATAACTTGATTATGCACAAGATATTGAAAGAAATGCGAGCAGTTTTCGCATGGTACTGCAGGCGACTCAAATATACTCCATGTAATACTGTTATGGAACTAAAATAGCTAGGTCCTCACTTCTTTAGGCCAAAACTCACCTTTAAACTACCATTATTTACGGTAGAGGTATTATTCAGACTAAGTAATCTCTGAAAATAACCAACAATTTGCCGTGCTGCATCATCACCAAATTTGACGAACATTCTCGGCGACCGATACCAATAGCAGTAACGCTCTAACGTTGAAATTCTATTCGATTTGTCCCAACGTGATACAAATTTAAGAACAATTATCCTAACACCGGAAGGAATTTCTCTAACTATTTGCAGTAGTGTCGTATTGTCTAATTTAAACTAACTATTTGGAGTAGTGTCGTATTGTCTAATTTAAACGTATCGTCCAGAGTATTTGAGGTTATTGTTCCACAAAACGCCTTTACGCCCGTCTAGATGACATGTTGCATAATGAGCTGAGCACACAGCACTCTGGTGCACACAGCACTCTGGTGTACACAACCACAGCACTCTGGTGTACACAGCACTCTGGTGTACACGACCACTGACCCTACGGTTTCATTAGCAAACTACATATTACTAATATTACATATTACTATACCGTGTGGCTATCATACTCTAAACACATATAATACAGTGCACCTCGTCACTTATTTATTAATACAATCAGTATGAGGCGGGAGGCCTGTGATCAACATCAGCAGGCCACATACCAGCAAGAGACAAACATCAAGTCCAGTATTATAATTAGTCACAGTATTCCGATGATGCACTTAATTAAATCTGACTGAGGAGGTACACGCTTAGTTTCGTGTTACCTACACCAATTAGGAAATTACACAAATTTGTGGGCCTCAATTTTCAGGGTCCTGTTATATGTGTGTCATGGCAGCTAGCCAATTTAACATGGCAGCTAGCCAATTTAACATGGCAGCTAGCCAATTTAACACCAGTTTGAATACTGGTATTAGGGACCGTTAACATATTACGTCAATAATATTTTGAAGATGCTATAATAGACTGTCCGTTAGGATCTAGTCAACAGTGTCCGTTAGGTCCTAGGACGGTGTCCGTTAGGATCTAGTCAACAGTGTCCGTTAGGTCCTAGGATGGTGTCCGTTAGGATCTAGTCAATAGTGTCCGTTAGGTCCTAGGATGGTGTCCGTTAGGATCTAGTCAATAGTGTCCGTTAGGTCCTAGGATGGTGTCCGTTAGGATCTAGTCAACAGTGTCCGTTAGGTCCTAGGATGGTGTCCGTTAGGATCTAGTCAACAGTGTCCGTTAGGTCCTAGGATGGTGTCCGTTAGGATCTAGTCAATAGTGTCCGTTAGGTCCTAGGATGGTGTCCGTTAGGATCTAGTCAACAGTGTCCGTTAGGTCCTAGGATGGTGTCCGCTCTATTTCAATTGTCATCAGGAGATACATTATTAGGCCTTATCTAGGGCGTGGTCCTCCAGAACGTATGACTAGTCACGTGACACATCTACCTGAAATCATGCATTTCCCTCTTACTACGAGCTCACGTGTCACACCAGTAGTAGTAATGGTTACTATGGTAACTAGTAGTGTAACTATGGTAACTAGTAGTGTAACTATGGTAGCTAGTAGTGTAACTATGGTAACTAGTAGTTTGCTGAATCTCTACCACACCAGTAGTAGTAATGTTTACTATGGTAACTAGTAGTGTAACTATGGTAACTAGTAGTAGTAATGGTTAGGGAATTAAGGAATTCAGTTAGTTAAGGTTTCAGTCCGCTTACCGTGCAACCCGACTAATTAACCTTAGCCTATAACAACCTGCTAATATGATAACTACCATACGAAAACATACCTAGTCTAGTTAACATACCACACTAGTTACTATGGTAACAAGTATACCACACTAGTTCTATCAAACCTGAGCCATCTTATCATTAACACGCCTTTCAGTAGCAGTCAAAACCTACAAAAAGCAGTTGAACCTACATTAGTACATTGTGCACCGCCCAAAGGCCTTCTTCCGTTAGTGACAGTCCCCGACCTTATTTTAAAACTGATTCAACTCTTAAAAGAACCATAAAAATCATAAAAGGAAAGGATTCACCCCGGATATTGCATTATCTAATAGCACACATAATTATTTTAAACCTGATCGTTTTTCAGAGTCACAGTTATGCTCTACTCTATGATATATAGTATATTTATATGTATTTCTAATTTAATACTCATGATACTATATATAGTATATACTAATGATATGGAATCCAACGGCAAATGGAGAAGACGCCGGTTTATTCCTTTAGTGTAAGAAATTTATTAAAAAAAGAGAGAGGTACACAAAGCTACAAAGGATGAAATTAGTATGCTAACCATCCCATGACGCGTTAGAACCACAGTTTATTCGATAAAAAGTCGGCAGGACACCTAAAAACTTAGGAGTAATGACCACATTGCAGCTGAAGTACCAACAGGCTTGCATATTTAACCTTCTAGAAGATTCCGTGCATTACTAGGATTGTTAAGGAATATTTCCAGCAAATAACTAGTGTAACTATGGTAACCAGTAGTGACTACTTACAAATAACTAGTGACTACTTACTAATAACTAGTGACTACTTACTAATAACTAGTGACTACTTACAAATAACTAGTGACTACTTACAAATAACTAGTGACTACTTACAAATAACTAGTGACTACTTACAAATAACTAGTGACTACTTACTGTTGATAACTAGTGACTACTTACAAATAACTAGTGACTACTTACAAATAACTAGTGACTACTTACAAATAACTAGTGACTACTTACTGTTGATAACTAGTGACTACTTACAAATAACTAGTGACTACTTACTGTTGATAACTAGTGACTATTTACAAATAACTAGTGACTACTTACAAATAACTAGTGACTACTTACAATTAACTAGTGACTACTTACTAATAACTAGTGACTACTTACAAATAACTAGTGACTACTTACAAATAACTAGTGACTACTTACTGTTGATAACTAGTGACTACTTACAAATAACTAGTGACTACTTACAAATAACTAGTGACTACTTACAAATAACTAGTGACTACTTACTGTTGATAACTAGTGACTACTTACAAATAACTAGTGACTACTTACTGTTGATAACTAGTGACTATTTACAAATAACTAGTGACTACTTACAAATAACTAGTGACTACTTACAAATAACTAGTGACTACTTACAAATAACTAGTGACTACTTACAAATAACTAGTGACTACTTACAAATAACTAGTGACTACTTACTGTTGATAACTAGTGACTACTTACAAATAACTAGTGACTACTTACAAATAACTAGTGACTACTTACAAATAACTAGTGACTACTTACTGTTGATAACTAGTGACTACTTACAAATAACTAGTGACTACTTACAAATAACTAGTGACTACTTACTGTTGATAACTAGTGACTATTTACAAATAACTAGTGACTACTTACAAATAACTAGTGACTACTTACAAATAACTAGTGACTACTTACAAATAACTAGTGACTATTTACAAATAACTAGTGACTACTTACAAATAACTAGTGACTATTTACAAATAACTAGTGACTACTTACTGTTGATAACTAGTGACTACTTACAAATAACTAGTGACTACTTACAAATAACTAGTGACTACTTACAAATAACTAGTGACTACTTACTGTTAACTAGTGACTATTTACAAATAACTAGTGACTACTTACAAATAACTAGTGACTACTTACAAATAACTAGTGACTACTTACTGTTGATAAAGTTTTGTCGAATAACAGGACGGTTTGACACCAATCTTCTTTTTCTGAGACACTGTGATCTGGCGATTTGTTTGGAATGTTCTTCTTCTTTCTTTTTCTTCTTATTGTCATCACTTTTCTTCTTGAATTTCTGTCGTAGGTGTGTCGACAAGTGTATTTGGAGATATTTGTCTTCTTTAAATCTGCAATAATGTTAAAATTCACGCTCATTTCTTCAGATTGATTCAATGTCCATGATAATTATAAGGGGGGAGGGGGGGGGGGGGGGTTGGCTGACATGTCCGCCTATGTCCTACATTGACGGACATTAACGGACAAACATTATGAGAATTTTCGCACATGATTTGGACACAATATTTTCGGCTCATAATGATCAGGGTAGCATGAAACACGGACAAAAGTGGTTTCTAGAAAAAATAATGTTTGGTCCGAGTCATTCTCGTCTCTCGATACGTATCGAGAATGGCTCGGACAAAAATATTTTCTATCAGAGTGAAATTGTGTGGAATTTGAATTAAAATATTGTCAAACTGTTGTTATTCTAGAGGGTAAAAAATAAAATGTTGATTATGCCCATTATGTAATCAAAGATCAAACCCCCCCCCCCCCCCCCCAAATCAACCGTAAGCATTTAGAAACCCCTTCCCCCTCGGCTGACTACGTAATATGTGAACGATCACTTACAAAGGGGAACCCTCGAGTCCAAAATCGTATATCGAAGAGTAGGTGTGGACTTCGAAAAACGAAAAAATATTTGACTCACAAAATCTTCGGTCCGAGTATTTTCCCTAAATTTTTAGAAATCTAAATAAAAAGTTTGCCCTTTTTGGCCCCTTGCCCAGGACCCCCCCCCCTATTAAGGAGCGTTTATTATAAGTAAATAATGGTACAGGTAGTAGGTAAGGAGTGATGGAATTATTTTATGATTTGGGGTACTGGATGCAAAAATACAACGTTATAGAGGGGAAAACTTTATCCCCAAGCAGTACCACACACAACAACCACCACATCACACACCCACACCCACACACCCACACCCACATGACACACACACCCACACCCACACCCACACCCACACCCCACACCCCACACACCCACAACGCACCAACACAGACTAGCTCCACTATGTGTAAAGTACAAGGCTGTACACTATACAAGGTAAATGGTTGCACCGATATGGATTACCTCTCTGCCTGATCTGTCACCAGCGACTGTTAGAGAAGTGCCAGATCTACGGCACTACTTTAATGACCTTTTACATGCTGGAAACCAGTACCCTGACAACCAGCACCCTGGAAACCAGTACCCTGGTATCCTGGAAACCGTTACCCTGGAAACCGGTACCCTGGAAACTGGTACCCTGGAAACCGGTACCCTGGAAACCGGTACCCTGGAAACCGGTACCCTGGAAACCGATACCCTGGAAACCAGTATCCTGGAAACCGGCACCCTGGAAACCAGCAACCTGGAAACCGGTACCCTGGAAACCGGTACCCTGGAAAGCAGTACCCTGGAAACCGGCACTCTGGAAAGCGGTACCCTGGAAACCGGTACCCTAGAAACTGGCACCCTGGAAACCGGTACCCTGGAAACCAGCACCCTGGAAACCGGTACCCTGGAAACCGGTACCCTGGAAACCGGTACCCTGGAAACCGGTACCTTGGAAACCGGTACCCTGGAAACCAGTACCCTGGAAACCGGCACGCTGGATACCAGTACCCTGGAAACCAGTACCCTGGAAACCAGTACCCTGGAAACCAGAACCCTGGAAACCAGCACCCTGGAAACCGGCACACTGGATACCAGTACCCTGGAAACCAGTACCCTGGAAACCAGTACCCTGGAAACCAGTACCCTGGAAACCGGCACGCTGGATACCGGTACCCTGGAAACCGGTACCTTGGAAACCGGTACCCTGGAAACCAGCACCCTGGAAACCGGCACGCTGGATACCAGTACCCTGGAAACCAGAACCCTGGAAACCGGTACCCTGGAAACCAGTACCCTGGAAACCAGTACCCTGGTACATACCGACTCGAGCACTATATCTCCTAATCTGTACATTTCCTGTCGGCATACCAGACATATTGTCCAGCTTGTAAAATAAGAAAATACACATGTCGTGCAATTAATAACTGCTGTCATCTCAACAGCTCACTTTATCTTCTTAATTTCTCAGCCACGTGACTTATATATAATAATACAGTAGCTGAGTATATTTTTGTGGATGATGGAATATGTCGAGAATTTACACCTTCAGTCTTAAACGTGAGCACAGAAGATAATAACACAATACTGGAGTCCTGAGTGTTGTCCTGACAACATGCGCAGTGAGCCAGTGTAGTCCTGACAACATGCGCAGTGAGCCAGTGTAGTCCTGACAACATGCGCAGTGAGCCAGTGTAGTCCTGACAACATGCGCAGTGAGCCAGTGTAGTCCTGACAACATGCGCAGTGAGCCAGTGTAGTCCTGACAACATGCGCAGTGAGCCAGTGTAGTCCTGACAACATGCGCAGTGAGCCAGTGTAGTCCTGACAACATGCGCAGTGAGCCAGTGTAGTCCTGACTACATGCACAGTGAGCCAGTGTAGTCCTGACAACATGCGCAGTGAGCCAGTGTAGTCCTGACAACATGCGCAGTGAGCCAGTGTAGTCCTGACAACATGCGCAGTGAGCCAGTGTAGTCCTGACAACATGCGCAGTGAGCCGTAACAGTGGTAGAGATTAATGGAAAATATTGTGAACTTAGGTTAAGATAGTTGCAGAAGCTGAGATTCTAAGATTGAGAGTGTGGCTGAAAATGAGGGTTGAGCAGGTATAGTATAGTATAGTATAGTATAGTATAGTATAGTATAGTATAGTATAGTATAGTATAGTATAGTATAGTATAGTATAGTGTATAGTATAGTATAGTATAGTATAGTATAGTATAGTATAGTATAGTATAGTGTATAGTATATTATAGTATAGTATAGTATAGTATAGTGTATAGTATATTATAGTATAGTATAGTATAGTATAGTATAGTATAGTATATAGTATAGTATAGTATAGTATAGTGTATAGTATAGTATAGTATAGTATAGTATAGTGTATAGTATATTATAGTATAGTATAGTATAGTATAGTATAGTATAGTATATAGTATAGTATAGTATAGTATAGTATAGTATAGTAGAGTAGAGTATAGTATAGTATATTATAGTATAGTATAGTATAGTATAGTATAGTATAGTATAGTATAGTATATAGTATAGTATAGTATAGTATAGTAGAGTAGAGTATAGTATAGTATAGTATAGTATAGTATAGTATAGTATAGTATAGTAGAGTATAGTATAGTATAGTATAGTATAGTATAGTATAGTATAGTATAGTATAGTATAGTATAGTAGCTACTCGCTAGACTAGGTGACTCTGGAGTCTGGGATGTATAAACTTCTACATGCTTCTCAAATGTACATGTAAGTAATAAGTACTTCCTCAATTAAGTGCTTATGACCTGACTATATCTTTACCCATCATCTTAAGCTGGAGACTTGGATTTGATTTATGTACATAAATGACAAAATCTTAAAAGAGGGCAATAATAAGCCCATTTAAAGTAAAGTGAGCCTTAAATAACTCTCATTATTCTCAGCTAGTACCTACCTGACAGGTGACAAATGAGAAAATTAATTATTTACAGGGAATATAAATTAACCTGGTTCAATCGACCATACATCGACCCCATGTGTATTCCTGTTAGTGTATATAATAATAATATGCTTAACTGACTCATAATACGTTACCTCACTTCCACCTCAGTAATCTTACTTATCCGCCCTTGCTTTAAAACACCTCTATATTATTATTTTCTAACTCCGAAATCAGGCACCTCAGAGTACCTCACCACAGAGCACCTCAGAGTACCTCACCACAGAGCACCTCAGAGTACCTCACCACAGAGCACCTCAGAGTACCTCACCTCAGAGTACCTCAGAGCACCTCACAACAGAGCACCTCACCACAGAGCACCTCAGAGTACCTCACCACAGAGCACCTCAGAGTACCTCACCACAGAGCACCTCAGAGTACCTCACCACAGAGCACCTCAGAGTACCTCACCACAGAGCACCTCAGAGTACCTCACCACAGAGCACCTCAGAGTACCTCACCACAGAGCACCTCAGAGTACCTCACCACAGAGCACCTCAGAGTACCTCACCACAGAGCACCTCAGAGCACCTCACCACAGAGCACCTCAGAGTACCTCACCACAGAGCACCTCACCACAGAGCACCTCAGAGCACCTCACCACAGAGCACCTCAGAGTACCTCACCACAGAGCACCTCATAGTACCTCACCACAGAGCACCTCATAGTACCTCACCACAGAGCACCTCAGAGTACCTCACCACAGAGCACCTCAGAGTACCTCACCACAGAGCACCTCAGAGTACCTCACCACAGAGCACCTCAGAGTACCTCACCACAGAGCACCTCACCACAGAGTACCTCACCACAGAGCACCTCAGAGTACCTCACCACAGAGCACCTCAGAGCACCTCACCACAGAGCACCTCAGAGTACCTCACCACAGAGCACCTCAGAGTACCTCACCTCAGAGTACCTCACCACAGAGCACCTCAGAGTACCTCACCACAGAGCACCTCATAGTACCTCACCACAGAGCACCTCAGAGTACCTCACCACAGAGCACCTCAGAGTACCTCACCACAGAGCACCTCATAGTACCTCACCACAGAGCACCTCAGAGTACCTCACCACAGAGCACCTCAGAGTACCTCACCACAGAGCACCTCATAGTACCTCACCACAGAGCACCTCAGAGTACCTCACCACAGAGTACCACAGAGTACCTCACCACAGAGCACCTCAGAGTACCTCACCACAGAGCACCTCAGAGTACCTCACCACAGAGCACCTCAGAGTACCTCACCACAGAGCACCTCAGAGTACCTCACCTCAGAGCACCTCAGAGTACCTCACCACAGAGCACCTCAGAGTACCTCACCACAGAGTACCACAGAGTACCTCACCACAGAGTACCACAGAGTACCTCACCACAGAGCACCTCAGAGTACCTCACCACAGAGCACCTCAGAGTACCTCACCACAGAGCACCTCAGAGCACCTCACCACAGAGTACCACAGAGTACCTCACCACAGAGCACCTCAGAGCACCTCACCACAGAGCACCTCAGAGTACCTCACCTCAGAGCACCTCAGAGCACCTCACCACAGAGTACCTCAGAGTACCTCATAATCCTCACTGAGTAGGCAGTAGTTTCAGGAATATTCTATAGAGTTTGTAGCGTATGAGTTTACGTGTAGATATGTTTTATAGTTTAGAATTACAGACCCGTGTATGTCATTGATCAAGTCAGTGTTCCTCGTAATATGCTAAATCCACTGTTCTTCAATCGGTCCCAGGGGATGTGTATTTAATTCAACTGCTGTAGTTAGTTCCGACATAGTAGTTTATATCTCATCACAACAGTCATAGTTAAATATAATGCTATTTTTATAATTTAACATTAGACTGAGTGAATGTAGTTCGAACAGAAAGCTTTTAAATTTGCGTAGTTACCTTAACAGTATGATAATATCATCTAAATAACAGTTAGATTTTTAAAATTTGACGAATAAGTTCTTAACATAAGGTTCACAATTCCTACCGTTAGCGACAAATTTAATTCTTAATTAATACAAAGAAACAAATTATCTAACTCCGTGTAAGTTTTGACTTGAGTCTTGGAAGAAAGTGTAATTATTATCATGTAATATAAATATTATGAGGTAAAGTGTAGGAACACTCTGAAACCTCTACCTTAGGAACACTCTGAAACCTCTACCTTAGGAACACTCTGAAACCTCTACCTTAGGAACACTCTGAAACCTCTACCTTAGGAACACTCTGAAACCTCTACCTTAGGAACACTCTGAAACCTCTACCTTAGGAACACTCTGAAACCTCTACCTTAGGAACACTCTGAAACCTCTACCTTAGGAACACTCTGAAACCTCTACCTTAGGAACACTCTGAAACCTCTACCTTAGGAACACTCTGAAACCTCTACCTTAGGAACACTCTGAAACCTCTACCTTAGGAACACTCTGAAACCTCTACCTTAGGAACACTCTGAAACCTCTACCTTAGGAACACTCTGAAACCTCTACCTTAGGAACACTCTGAAACCTCTACCTTAGGAACACTCTGAAACCTCTACCTTAGGAACACTCTGAAACCTCTACCTTAGGAACACTCTGAAACCTCTACCTTAGGAACACTCTGAAACCTCTACCTTAGGAACACTCTGAAACCTCTACCTTAGGAACACTCTGAAACCTCTACCTTAGGAACACTCTGAAACCTCTACCTTAGGAACACTCTGAAACCTCTACCTTAGGAACACTCTGAAACCTCTACCTTAGGAACACTCTGAAACCTCTACCTTAGGAACACTCTGAAACCTCTACCTTAGGAACACTCTGAAACCTCTACCTTAGGAACACTCTGAAACCTCTACCTTAGGAACACTCTGAAACCTCTACCTTAGGAACACTCTGAAACCTCTACCTTAGGAACACTCTGAAACCTCTACCTTAGGAACACTCTGAAACCTCTACCTTAGGAACACTCTGAAACCTCTACCTTAGGAACACTCTGAAACCTCTACCTTAGGAACACTCTGAAACCTCTACCTTAGGAACACTCTGAAACCTCTACCTTAGGAACACTCTGAAACCTCTACCTTAGGAACACTCTGAAACCTCTACCTTAGGAACACTCTGAAACCTCTACCTTAGGAACACTCTGAAACCTCTACCTTAGGAACACTCTGAAACCTCTACCTTAGGAACACTCTGAAACCTCTACCTTAGGAACACTCTGAAACCTCTACCTTAGGAACACTCTGAAACCTCTACCTTAGGAACACTCTGAAACCTCTACCTTAGGAACACTCTGAAACCTCTACCTTAGGAACACTCTGAAACCTCTACCTTAGGAACACTCTGAAACCTCTACCTTAGGAACACTCTGAAACCTCTACCTTAGGAACACTCTGAAACCTCTACCTTAGGAACACTCTGAAACCTCTACCTTAGGAACACTCTGAAACCTCTACCTTAGGAACACTCTGAAACCTCTACCTTAGGAACACTCTGAAACCTCTACCTTAGGAACACTCTGAAACCTCTACCTTAGGAACACTGCTGAAACCTCTACCTTAGGAACACTCTGAAACCTCTACCTTAGGAACACTCTGAAACCTCTACCTTAGAAACACTCTGAAACCTCTACCTTAGGAAACACTCTGAAACCTCTACTCCTGTACATACCTTAGGAACACTCTGAAACCTCTACCTTAGGAACACTCTGAAACCTCTACCTTAGGAACACTCTGAAACCTCTACCTTAGCAACACTCTGAAACCTCTACATTAGGAACACTCTAAAACCTCTACCTTAGGAACACTCTGAAACCTCTACCTTAGGAACACTCTGAAGCCTCTACCTTAGGAACACTCTGAAACCTCTACCTAAGGAACACTCTGAAACCTCTACCTTAGGAACACTCTGAAACCTTACCTTAGGAACACTCTGAAACCTCTACCTTAGGAACACTCTGAAACCTCTACCTTAGGAACACTCTGAAACCTCTACCTTAGGAACACTCTGAATCCTCTACCTTAGGAACACTCTGAAACCTCTACCTTAGAACACTCTGAAACCTCTACCTTAGGAACACTCTGAAACCTCTACCTTAGGAACACTCTGAAACCTCTACCTTAGGAACACTCTGAAGCCTCTACCTTAGGAACACTCTGAAACCTCTACATTAGGAACACTCTAAAACCTCTACCTTAGGAACACTCTGAAACCTCTACCTTAGGAACACTCTGAAGCCTCTACCTTAGGAACACTCTGAATCCTCGACCTAAGGAAACACTCTGAAACCTCCTTCCTTAGGAACACATCTGACACCTCTACCTTTGGAAACACTCCTGAAACCTCTACCCTAGGAACACTCTGAAAACCTCTACCTTACGGAACACTTGAAACCTCATACCTAGGAACACTCTGAACCTCTACCTTAGGGAACACTCTGAAACTCTACCTAGGAACACTCTGAAACCTCTACCTTAGGAACACTCTGAAACCTCTACCTTAGGAACACTCTGCAACCTCTACTTGAGGAACACTCTGAAACCTCTACCTTAGGAACACTCTAAACCTCTACTCCCTGTACTACAGGTTTTCGAGACTCGTGTCCAAATTTGAAATTACAATTCATTTATTTTATAAAGGAGCAAATTAAATGAAATTGGTTTTCAAAATTCTTTTTGTGGGGCTATCTTAAAGAACGTGTTTATTTAGACCCAGTCCCAAAAACGATAGAACAGCTGAAAAACAATATCAGAAGGGAGGCTAAAAAGTTTTAAATTAACATGGTAAAACGTGCAATAGACAATATGATTCCATGGGTTCAAAACCTTCTATGCAGAAAGGGGGCTTGGTTCGAAAAATTGTTAAAGGATTAGATTTATTTTTGTTATGTATTGTAAAAAGTAATAATTTCTCTACAATTTAAAACAAAAATTAAACCGTTTGATTCATTTGTTAGATTTTGAGAGCTATTCAAAATTTGGACACGAGTCTCGGAACACCCTGTACACTGAATGATCCAGGATATTTCCTGAATTTAAATGTGATAACAAGACAAATTATTGGGATTATTTTACATAATCTGCATTATCACGTACATGTAGACTGTAGAGTGTAGACGTATAATTGTAAACTAACGTGTAGTACCTACCTTGGGAGTAAGTATTACCTAGTATAGAAAGCGAGCTATTTGATACCACACATTTCTCGGGAGCAATTAAATTAGTGTCATTGCGTCAGAAACAGGAATACACCCCAGACATAGCTGTAACCAGGTCATGACGTCACCAGCCAGGTCATGACGTCACCCCCCACCAGGTCCTTCCGTTGTTGTTAACAGCCCTAATATTAGGTGTGACCTAGCCAGTAAAGGTGGTCAGTATAGGACTGGCAGTCTGGTGCGGACTACACTGTAGCAGCAGTGTGTATGTAGTGAGGTAGTGTACCTACAGTCAACAGGGATGTGCAGTTTCCTTTTAATCTAGACTACTAATTTGCAGCTGTGAGAAAATGTAATTTGCCCCCGCGCCGAGGGAGTGACGGGGTTTTAGAGGGATGACATGTTTAAGTTACTATGGTTACTGATGACATGGCCCCTGGGCCCCTGCAGGCAGGAAATAGTTGCTTGCTACACACGGAAACTTGACAAGTGAGTGTGTAATGTGGCGTGTGGTGGGATTGTGTTGTTTTTATTAATAGTCTGTTAAATACTATATCTAGTCACACTGCCTAGTTACATGCACTAGTAACCATAGTTACCTACACTAGTAACCATAGTTACCTACATTAGTAACCCTAGTTACCTACATTAGTAACCCTAGTTACCTACATTAGTGACCTTAGTAACCTACATTAGTAACCCTAGTTACCTACATTAGTAACCCTAGTTACCTACATTAGTAACCCTAGTTACCTACATTAGTGACCTTAGTAACCTACATTAGTAACCCTAGTTACCTACATTAGTAACCCTAGTTACCTACATTAGTGACCCTAGTTACCTACATTAGTAACCCTAGTTACCTACATTAGTGACCCTAGTTACCTACATTAGTAACCCTAGTTACCTACATTAGTATTAGTAACCCTAGTTACCTACACTAGTAACCATAGTTACCTACATTAGTGACCTTAGTAACCTACATTTGTCACCCTAGTTACCTACACTAGTAACCCTAGTTACCTAAATTAGTGACCTTAGTAACCCTAAGTAACTTTAACACTCACCTCTCACTACACCCCTCCCAGATACAGGCGAAGTTGAGAGCCCCTGTGTGGGTCTGTACGTGTCTTCCGAACAATGCTACGTTCCGGAACTTCTTGCCGTACACTGAGCAATCAGCCCACCCGCAACTCATCGCCTCCCTGTATAAGGTATAAGTATTCACCAACAATATGTCGTAAACATTAGTTACTCTCGCAATCAGCTCTGAGCGCCAGTCACCTACTAAGCTTTCATATTGCATCTTCATTTAAGCTGCACCAAAATGGTAAAATTATCAGTAACAATAGCATTGAGCATTGGTAGTTCCGATAAGCCGGGTGGTAACAATAGTTTAGTTAGGGGGGGGGGGGATCATACACTTAGTACCGTAACAATAGTTACTTTAGTACTTTAGTTAGTTTACCATCCGAATCAAGAGGTGTGTTAAAATAACAATAGATTAGAATAAGATTAACAATTAACATACACGGTGGCGTGAAGGGATAGGATGTGTATATGTAGCGACTCAGGAGTCTCACACGAGGTGTGGCAGTCACGCCAGTGACAGGGGTGCACTCTCAGATTACTTGGTATCTCATCACTCTCCCTAACCGTCGTTACCTGAACAGAGACATTAGTAACCATAGTTACCTACATTAGTAACCATAGTTACATACATTAGTAACCATAGTTACCTACATTAGTAACCATAGTTACCTACATTAGTAACCATAGTTACCTACATTAGTAACCAAGTAACCCTAGTTACCTACACTAGTAACCATAGTTACCTGAACAGAGACGACTTGTAGTGACGACTCCTCTCTCACACACGAGAAAATGTATGTCATTATGATGATTATACCAGAGCAGAGAGCGCATAATATACACGTTTATATCGAGCAGTATAAGTTATTTTATTATACACATAATATTATAGCTGATCTCTTTATTATACACATAATATTATAGCTGATCTCTTTATTATACACATAATATTATAGCTGATCTCGTCTTGATGGTCACAAGTTTTACAAGTTATGAGAGTATATATAACGTAACTAAACATTAGTTCTGGTTATGATGATACGTTGTAGAACTTGTACAGTGTACACCATCATATGATGCAAACAACACATATTACTTGTACAACAGATCCATATCATTACCTGTAACTGATGTACACGTAATATGGCTCTCAAGTCTCATGTAATGAATAAGACCGTTACGTAACCGTATACCTTAATGACGATCACATATCATACTGCACTTACTAAAAAGAAATAGTAAAATTAGCAAAGTTGGTTGATTTTGTAGAGTTAAAGGAAATTTACAAATGCTAAGGAAGAACTTACTGATTTGACGGTAGGAATGAGGACTAAACTCCGGTTATCTAGACCGTTATTTCTACAAGTTTCACTTAACGATGTCACCTGAAAATTAATGTCCAGTAAGATTTCCAGTATGCAATATTTGTGTGAACTTGGATCGTTGAGCTGAAAAGTTTTGCCATTGGTGATTTTACACTGGTGCTTTTGTTAAGACGTGCATCTCAATGTTGATTGTAAGCTATTTATAGACTATTGAGCCCACTCAATGATAATAAAAAATTGTAATTATTAGAAACACTAATAGAAACAACTGGACCGTGTGTGGAATCACATCACATTATTGACTCAACTTCCTTATCAGTTTAATCACTTATACAAACTGTTATTGTCAAATAACTGATATATTGTTTACACACCGATTTAACTTTAGGTAGGCAGGAGAGAACAAAGAGGTCGTCACTGTCGTCACTGATAGAAGGAGTGGGCGGAAGCGAGTAGGGCTCTTCCACATCTGGGATATCATCTAATTGTAGTTGTAATTAAGTTTTAATTACTCTCAAGAAGGTTTGTGACCAAAAATTCGAATGACTATTGAAATGGTCTAAGTCTAAGTAATATGTAAAACCACTGCACCTGAATCGTCACTGATTACAGTGACCTCTGGTTTGCTGGAGGGAAGAAGGCGTTCAGGACTGGGCGTCAGTACAGTGACCTCTGGTTTAGTGGAGGGAAGAAAGCGTTCTGGACTGGGTGTGAGCACGTTTACACGTACTGTATTGCAGTTGTCTCCTGTAGCTTTTAACCTCTCCATTGTGTTGAGACAAGGGTAAGCGTTGGATTTACGTGCCGTGTGGTTTTTGAGGCTTCTGAAACGGTTGTTTGCAAAGTTGGGCAACTTATATGTTATATAGATATTTCTAATTAATTGTTCAAGGTCGTAATGTTGTTAAAATTTCATACATCTAGTATCCACAGTTATTATAATATTATGTATCTTTGTCTATAGAAACTTAAAATATAAAATCTGGTCTTTATAATTCTCAGGGATGGGAGACAAACGAAAATGAAAATTGGTTTTAATACGAGTGTATCATTGAACTATCTTTACAATGACAATAGAAATAAAATGTACATTCTCTACATGGCACATACATACTAGTTATCAAATTTGATTATAAATTATTACCTCAATGAAAAACAGAGAGGTTGAACAATTTTTGGCATCATTGGCTTGTCAGACATTTTAAACCTAGTGGATGTAATGGGATTGTACTAATATGGGCAGTAAAATTGAAAAATGTTTTATGAAATTGAGAACACAAGTTTATTAAGGGGGCAGGGGGGTTATTTTTGAAATTTCTCCTGAAATTGATTTTTTAAGTGTTTCCAACAGAGGGGAGTAATATCTATCTGCTGCTTTTGGTCCTATGGAAAAATGTTATTCCTAGCCGAAGTTATCGCCAGTCAAAGGTCAGCACTCATGTGTACCGAAAATCTAGTCTAAAAATCGATCTTCTTCGACAGTTTTTGAGCAATCGCCCTCAAACTTTCAGGATATGTTCAGAGGATAATTTAAAAGATTCTGGTTGGACATAATTTTGAGATAGGCCCCTTAAAATTTTGTATTCGATTTTAGAAATCTCGGACCTGGAAAAATCGTCAAAAAATCAGATCCAAGATTTTCAAATTGAAATAAACATTTTTTCGAGGCCTATCTCAAAATTCTGGCCGATCAGAATCTTCTAAATGATCCTAAGAACATATCCTGAAAGTTTCAGGGTGATTGCTCAAAAACTGTTGAAGAAGATAGATTTATAGACTCGACTTTCGGTATGCATGATTTAAAATCGCTCGCGCAATACAATTACACATAAGCGCTAACATTTGACCATCAATAACGTTGGCTAGGAAAAATATTTTTTTTAAAGAATATAATTTCTAAATGTATTGTAAATGACTTTCATTTTTGGAATGTTTCGAAAGAAGTTTTAACAAGAATTGAAGGTACCAGTTATATCAGTAATAAGGTAAAACACAATGATCATCTGTGGTTTCATCCTTATGTAGCAAAGAAACGTGTTATAAATCTTTATTCCACTGGGAAGTATGAATAAATTAAATTTTTTAATGTTGTTTTTATTCGTGATTAATATTTGATAAATTATTACCTTTAAATTTGATGGAGAAATAGTTATTTTTCCATGTAGTGTGATGATACTTTGTAGACATTAGTGATGATGTTATGTCATAATTTTTACTTTACTTCTACTTTACTTAGCGAGAAAAAAAGCAGCAGATAGATATCACTCCCCTCTAGCTCTATTAGAAACACTTAAAAAATCAATTTCGAGAGAAATTTCAAAAAGACCCCCTGCTCCCGTAATCTTTTGCATTTTGAGAGTTGATGAATGAGATTATTATATTGTTAAATCTAAAATAGCTAATATAATTTAATTGATTGATTCAAAGCCCCCGTAAGGGGATTGTCTCTATAATGGACTAATTTATTGGCTACATCATAATCAGTTAAAAATAGTGAAACAAATTTTTTAACGTGGGCAATGCATGACATACGCTTTAAAAATTAAATTATATAAAAAAACAAAAAACACAAATACGAGTCTATTTTCCGATTCTGTTACTTGTCTAATGTCTTTTTAGATCTGTGTTGTATCACATCGTGACCCCCACGGTCGTTTCACTATAGTACCCCCTAGTGTAGAGTTTGAACGATACAGGGGAGCCGCGCACTCGTGCGCGGCTGGTCATACAATGTATGACAAGATCTGTGGGAGTGTGGGAACTCCTACAAATACATATATAATTTATATCAAAATTAAATAGAAAAGTGAGGTCAACTGTGATAAATCATAACAAACTGCAATTATTGGCATGTAAATTTTGAATTTATAATTTAATTTAATGGCACAGCAAATTATTAACAAATGTAATAAAAGTCAAGCAAAAATTTTCTTCACTAATCACAATTACAATGGGTTTAAGTTTTGAATTAATTTCACTGTATATGAAAAACAGAGTTTTTTAAAAATTACAGATTATAAACATAATATTGATTTGGATAGGTAAAAAGAGATAGGAATTGAATTAAACTTATTTGACGATGTCAATTCTTCGCAGCTCGGCGAGGCCCAGTAGCGCATTTGGCCGATCTAACGACAGCGAGAAGTATTATTAAATGCGCGGCTCAGTAACTCATCGCGCTACAAAATTTAAAAATTAAAAACTTAACTCTGGACGTTGAATTTGGCGCGCGACTGCCGAAGGCTACGAGCTGGTTAAGTTACAAACTGTTTACGAGATGTTCACGAGCGGTGTACGAACTATCTACGAACTGTAAAATATGGAAATCTTCAATAGTCAATCAAATTATTAATAAAATAAACGTGGATTGTTTCATTTTTAGAATTCAATCAAAAATTGGTTTTGGATTAATTTTATTATTAAAAATACGTTTATACTTTATTTTATTTTAATATCTAATAATGTATTCAAACATTTAAGTAATGCTTTGTAGTGTTAAAATATGGAGCCGCGCTTGCTCTACTATCCAAAGCTTGCTTTAACCAAAGTCCTTGATCTTGCAGCGGCGCGAAAGCACAAGGTTAGGTGAAGGACGCGCCGCGCATAAAATAATTTTTCTCACAATCACTTCGTGGGATCGCAGTGCAATGCACCACTGGCCCATGCCGAGCTGCGAATGATTAACATTGACGGATGTTACTCGTCTAAATTTCTTCGAAGTATCCTGCGTCGATACTTCGAAGTATCATATGTCCAAGTGTCCGACCTTTCCATGCTCACTGTTACCTACAAGTGCTCGTTCAAAACTTATAACCTTGTAGTAGTACTCGAACAATTTTTTACATACACTTGTATGTAACAGTATAGTACACAGTAGTATAGGGAGACAGAGGTGCGAGAAAGAACTTTGTCAATATAGATAGTCTAGATCTGAACTTGGAGCCACAAAGCCAAGGGTGATTTTAATTTTATATTGAGGTGATTATCTTTTATATTATTTTATAAAGGGTCATTGTGATATTATGTGTATATTGTTTGAATACTTTTTTTAATAAAAAAAAAGTAGTATAGGGAAGAAAAGGATGCTTAGAGAATATTTAAAGTGAAACAAGTTTAAGGTTAAACCTCAGATACACTGAGTACAGGGTCAGATCATGGCCCGTATTATAGTACTCTAAAGGGGATCCCTTATTCAACACCTTACAAAATATTTAGCATTGACTGGTATGACATCTTAGAGCAGTGGTGCCGAGTGAGGGCTCCCCCTTTGGGAAAAACCTCTGAATTGAAAGTACATAAAATGCACCACAAGTTAGCTACGGATCTTCTCCCTGAGATCCCAAAGATTTTGGCTATAACCTTAAAGACGAAAGTATGATAACTGAATGGGACAAGGAATACAGTATTACTGAATTCCTTGTCCCATTCAGTTATCATACTTTTCTCATACATACAACCACTGCACTCCAACCAAAAACATTACTTACACCATACTCCACAAATGATATATATATATATATACACAAACACACTAGTACCGAGCAATCGCACTGTAAAACATGCTCACGATACACTCAAAATTGGAAATATTCAACGGCTTGTATATGAAACTTACACTTACACTCAGTGTACACCCAGTGTTAACTAGTATTACACACTGGTAAACTCTACGTAACGCGCGAAAATAATAATTCTATGGCGTTTTCATTGTCACATCTCACGTCGACGGGATTAAACGCGCGCGCGCGAAACATCTTATCTTACTGCTATCTCAACGAATAAACACACAACGACTCTGACAATTGACCGACGACTTAACGATTGTGAGTTATGACGGACTTAACTGTATGGGTCAACTACTAAAACTGCATTGTATACTATCTTAATCATTATACTGGACATGAGATGACGAAGTATCTTGAGCAGCACTTTATACCTCCACTTAGAACTTGATTAGTCACGAACAATAGAATCATTATAAATCAATACAATAAAACATCTTGATCAATAAATGCCTAGCAGCTCCAGACAGCAGCCGTGTACCTTTTTCGACTCCACGGAGTCCCTGATGGACTTTTGTTTACTTTTGTTAATAATTTGACCGCAACCTTTCTTTCTCGAAACACAAATCCTACTGTACTTCATTACAGTATTAAGATAATATAAAGCAAATCATGTGAATATATGACTACGAAATAGATCTATAGATTTGTCCATAATATTTAATACCGTATTGATGGTTTTGAATTTTGTATATTGAATTTTAATGTGAAGCGTTTACTCTTCCCCCTCGGCAATTAATTAGAAAGTTAGATTAATGACAATAATTGCCAAATGACGTAGTAGATATAGATGTTCAATGTTGTAGAGTGATTTCAAGAGTAGTGGTCCACAGGGGTCCGAAAAAGCCGTACAGGCACTTGGGTCCTTATCCTTGTCACTAGTCCCAATTGGATTCACTTTACACAAAACATGAACGTTTACAATTTAGACGTACACATTGGCACGATATTTATTAGAAAGCAAACAGTATAAAATAATACGTACGTGCGCGGCTTGAGCCGCGCCGCATAACAATTTATGCGTTTAGGGGCTGGAGTACGCGTGTTTACAGATTAATGAATTTTTGCATTGTAAATATTTAAAGTTGATGATATATTATGATTTAATAGTAAATTTTTCAAAGCTGGCTTTGGACTTAGGTAAAATAATAACGTATTTATTTAAAAGAAAAAACCACGGATAGTTTTAAATTTACATACGGGTATCGGCCTTACAAAATGACACGAAAAAGGAGATGGCTCTGAAATGCACAAAAATGAGTTTTGTTCATGTTTTATTATCCAGATAGGTAGTTCAACAGGTATATTTTTCTTCCCGGGGGTTGATTTGATTAGTTTCATTGATTTATTAGTTTCATTGATTGAAAAACCGTAAATTTTGCGATAAAAATTGTCATCTTTGAAATCTTCCAAAAAAACATGCCTTACAAAATGACAATTTCGTCACGGCTGTCATTTTTTAACAGCAGCCTATAGAAATTTGATTTCACCTAGGACAGTTAGATAAATATAATAGATTGAAGATTGGAATAGCTTTTACAGGAAAAAGGATGATTAAAAAAAGTTGGGCAATTTCGCGTGAGATAGTGCCTTACAAAATGACAACCCAAAACGGCATCACTTCAAATCCGATTTGGGAAAAAGTTTCATTATTCTTTCACGTGTCTTACTGTTAGATATATATGTTGTTTATATTATACCAGTTCTGTTTTTACCAAAATATATTTAAAAAGGAACATTTTTTATACTTTGAAAAGATTAAAAAAATGTCATTTTGTGAGGCGTAAAATCATTTTTTGTTTTCATACTTGAACACAGTATTTGGTTATATTTGATATTTTCTATGACTGGATATATCACTTTTCAGTGTTTAGTTAACGTTTGACATGTTTTAGGAGTTGTTATTACTCTCTGCTTTCACAAAATAGAAGCTTTATTTCGTTGAGTTTTGAAATCAGAGTTTGAAATCAAAGAGTTTGAAATCAAAGTTTTGATATCAGAACTGCACTGTTTTAATGCCACTTGATTGTTAACTGTCAGATTATGATTATTTTTAACTCCTTCTTGTATTGACTGTCTCTGATCCATTTTAGATGATGAAAATAATTCAATCTGAAACATTGTCATTTTGTAAGGCTTTTCGGTGTCATTTTGTGAGGCATTTTGATCAAAATTGATGATCAAACAAACACATTTAGGCTCATCATGAGCTTATTGGGTTTAAGAATACCAATAATTAGGCAAGGGGCATCCAATATAAATATGCCATCTTTGTATCATAAAATAAAACTGTCATTTTGTGAGGCATAACACTGTCATTTTGTGAGGCTAGGTCATTTTTTTGTCATTTCTTCTACCAAAGTCACTAAATCAGTTTTTTTATTTGACCAGAGTAGTCTTTGATTGACATAAGTCATGGTAGTACATGGTTTTCTGGGGTTAAATTCAAAACTTTGGTCTCCATTCTGGGTAACAGTTAGGCGGGGCAATGACTGAACAGCAAAAACGTCCATATTTATGTAAGAAATATAGATTCTATGTCATTATCATTCCTTGGGAAGTGTTAATTAATGCTTTTCTCTTTCATACAGTAAAAGGAATAGGGTTCAATGTATAGGGAACCTAAGCTACAGCATGGTCTATGTGGGCTGTCATTTTGTGAGGCCTGTCATTTTGTAAGGCCGATACCCGTAGTCGTATAACTATAATCAAGTTAATCCTGTTTTCAAGAATGCGCGGCTTTGGCGGCCAGTTATTGACTTGTACATAAAATTGAATTTTAAATAGAAATGTGAATGTATTAAAATTTAAAACTTTCAAAACGGAGGCTTATAAATATTATTATACTATGATTGTAAAATAAAGGATAAAATTTTAAATTTGTTTCACTAAAAAATTTGTTTCACTAATTTCAGTGACAAATCTGATACCGAGAATCGAGTTTGTTGAACAGAAATGAGCAAGAGGTTCTTTCTTTATCACAGCAAAGCCAACCTAAACAAAGCTATTTGTCCCAATTATCAAATTTAATAGGGACAAACTCTCAAAAGGAAATGTTTTCCCTGTCAGGGACATATTTAAAGAGGGTTTTCTCTAGTGATAGTAGTATTAACAGTTCTTAACCACAATTCTTTTCAAGTTATGAAACACCATTTGCAGCATTGAACACGTCAAACAAATCCCTCAAGTTCGGTTCTGGTAGTAAGAATTCAAAATATGAATATTCACAATACACTGGGCTCACTCCACCTTCAAAACAGGGCTCCAGCTTCCACAATCATTACTAAGAATTCAATGTGTTTTTTACAGCACACTCTTGTAAGTTTGCCATGATGCCTTCTGTCCTCTGGTTACCTGATCGATTTACTATTTTACTAGTAGTATGGAAGATTAGCCAACTACAATACATGGGTGGTTGCCTGCAATTGCAGTGCAATCATTACCAAACAAGTTTGTGCCCCAATTTTCATTGGATGCAGACCTGGAAACTCCTCATTACACTACTCACAACTTGCAGTTGCGAGATCTTGAATTCATGAATTTAGTAACGTTATTGCTCAAAAAAGGAAGGAAATAGGATACACTAACCACGACCATTGTAATAAATCCCTGGAAACTAGAAGCTTGCAAGTACGCAGGGAAGTTTCCTAACAAGATTGCCTTAACATGGAACAAATTTATGTTATGCACGCCAATGCAATGCTTGTTTTCTTAGGAGATGTTATTGATTGGATGTACAGAGCATTACCAGATGGAAATGAAATCTAGCTGGTGGAATACAAGGGTGAAAGTGCTGGAGAACAATTAATTTTTAAAGGGGTACTGGGGAGGAATTATACCCAGCTCGTATTTAAACGAGTGCCATTTATACGAGTGCCAGTACTACCGTAAAAAAAAACTGCTTATAAGCAGTTTTTTTAAACGGTAGTACTGGCACTGGTAGCATCAGCTTGGATTGGTCAGTGGGGCTGTTTTGTTGCACCACTGACCAAGTATATAGTTGAGTGTATATTGAGATTTTAAGTTTTGAAGTCTGTAACCAGTTGCAGTCTGCAGAATATGCTTGAGTGCAGAATTTCTTTGAGATTGCTATCACTGTAGTGTAAATGAATTAAAAATCAGTTTTCGAACTCATTAGTATTAAATAAAGATCACTATTTCTAGGATTTATTCCCCAGGCAATATGTTATGACCTGTTCATGTCATCCCTCAACAGAGATAAGATACCCTCCTCAGACTCTGCACTCATTGACATCTCCGGAGGATCTAATATTGGGGATGTCAACCAATCAGTGACAGAACTGACATCCACGGAGCTTGAGCAACTCTGTCATAGCTCTGATTCGGCCTCATCTTCAAACTTGGTACAGTTTTTAAAGAATTTACTTAATGCTTTTTGCCTACTACTTTATTCTACAGACCTCCAAAATGTTGACTAATTTTACTTAATTCTTTGATATCAACCACAGATTATGCATTAGGATCTTGTAGCACATCCATATATTATGGCAATGAAATGCCCTGTTGGAGTTATAGGTTGATTTACTATTTCTAGCTATTTGTTTTTCAGATCCCTAGCTTTCTATCATTGGGACAATGTATGTTCCCAAGTGCTTCTGAGTCACAGGTCACAGTGGACGACAACAACGAGATCCAATTCCTTCGAGAAACCGGTAATTTAACTATCAGTCTACTATTGCTACTTGAGAGGTTTTGATATTATATATTATGTATGATGTTCCAAATGAACAGTTCAGGTGTTTGATAAATTAAGAATTCTCAGGAACTCCTGGTCCGGGGAGGACGAGTAATGATCCCATCGTAATATCAGATTCTCCAAGTGGCGATGACGAGTCAGCCTCATCCTCCAACATGGTAATAACTTTCAGACCTTCTGTTGCTGTTTTCTTCTGTTGCTGTTTTCTTCTGTTGCTGTTTTCTTCTTAATCACGTCACTTTCTTTCCTTACTAACATTTTACTTTTTAAAGTCACAGTATTGCCATAGGCAAACTTCTAAAATATGGTCCGGAATGCAGGATGCTAATGATGTGTTGCATGAACAATGAACATATTCTTCTCCCCAGGAGGCACAGACGGATGGTCAGAGCATGCTCCATGTAGACGTAGTAGGAAGTCAGTACTCAGGTAACCCCTACATGCCTCACACACACTCTCTGCTGCACTCACCTGAGCCCAACACACAACAGACTAGTTTGAGTCACGTTTACACTCTCCGACATCTTCCTCCCCAGGGAAATTTCCCCTTCCCTCATCTATCATATCAGATCAGGGTAAGTTTAATGACATGATAGAATGATAGATGTACCAGACATTCTGAAGGGAATAAATCTCTCTTAAGATCAGTTACGTAAGTCACGTACAAAGCGTGGCTGTTTTTACTTGAGCTTATTATTTGTTTAATTATGCATCGATTGTATGTTAATAATTATACTACTATAATACTACTATAATACTACTAATACTACTATAATACTACTATAATACCTCATAAACTCACACTCTCTCCTGCTCAGCTATCAATTCCCCAACCTATGACAGTGGTGCGACCTACCCCTGTTTACCGGCCTATAAACCTCCATCCTCCCTCCTCGGGTCCTTTACTGCACTGGGTTAGTTCTTCTTGTTTTTACTAAGATGTTAGCGTTGAGCTGCTTTTAATAACAACATGTTTTTACTAAGATGTTAGCGTTAAGCTGCTTTTAATAACAACATGTTTTTACTAAGATGTTAGCGTTGAGCTGCTTTTAATAACAACATGTTTTTACTAAGATGTTAGCGTTGAGCTGCTTTTAATAACAACATGTTTTTTGTTACGCTAAAGAAATCATGGAAATTAATGATAAGAAATCATGGAAATTAATGATAAACTGATCAGTTGCAGTCGTCTCCGCTCGAAGCAGATGGGTTCCTAGATAGTAATACAGGTGCCACGCAGCGACTTATTGAGGACTGTACAACTAAAACGCGTTTCATCAAGGTAATCCGTCGTCATTATGCAAAGCTTTCAACATTTCTATTTATTAACGAGGTTTACTTACCTTAGTATTGCTGTAAAATTCCTGTGTGGTCCTAAAGTTTAGGATCTGAACACTGAATATGACCTTATTTCAGAGAATGCCATCGAAGAACAAGGCCCTAAATGCAAAAAGGCAGACCCCGAAATGTCCCATCTGTTTAGAAGAGTTTTTAGATAAAGTCAAGATTAGGTTAGTAACCATAGTAACCCCCTGTAACCCCTAGTAACCAATAGTAACCACTAGTAACCATAGTAACCCCGAAATGTCCCATCTGTTTAGAAGAGTTTTTAGATAAAGTCAAGATTAGGTTAGTTGAAACCAACTTCCGCCGTACTGTATCTGCTATCATTTATCACATATTTCTAGTACATTGGGTTAGGCATATTATCACATATTATCACATATTTCTAGTACATTGGGTTAGGCATATTATTGGCGTCAAAATCAAATATATAATGTTACCACGCTAAAACGATTATTATTACCATATGCATTTCAAACCTAATTATTAAAGGTCTGTAGAATTCTCATTTGTTCAAATTTCCAATGAAGTTCTAAACTTTTTCCGTCTTTGAAATTTGTAAATTTAATAGTTTAAGGAAGTTTACATCCTATAAAATCTATTAAGGTATAACATAAATCTGACAATATAACCTCTTCAGACGGCTGCGGTGTATCCACAACTTTCACATCAAGTGCATCGATCAGTGGTTAAAGAAGAACATGATATGTCCTGTGTGTCGCAAATCCATTCTAGCCATATAAAACCTCCAGGGTCACTTTTTTACTTTTCTATAATCTATTGCTGCGATTAAGACCCATCAGTTCCAGTGCCGTCAGACAGATTCATTGTGTTAAATGCGAATTTCCTAAAAGTCGAGGACTGATTTTAGCTGAGCATGACTTGTAACTAGTAGTGTTACTATGGTTACTTGATGAGGACGATGATGAGGTGATCAGTTGCAAGTGCCGTTGATAAAGTTGATAGAATGCTTGCGGAGGATACTATCAATTAATTACAAACCAATTATTATAATTGGATGAGAGTGCGGGCACATACCTTTCGCAGATCAGAGTTGAACAAAAGAGAAACTTACTGAGATTAAAGTATTTTTCCATTTTTTTAACTGTTAAAATTGAAAACAAGTATTTATGTATTTGAAAATGTAAAGTATATGGATTGTGGACATTATTGCTGCCCTAAATTTATTTTATATTGCATGACAAGCAAAATATAAATGCCATGATACTTAAATAGCAGAACATATTTTAACACTAATAACATTTTATAACGATTATCCGGAAGGAGCATCATGATACTTATTGCTGGAGTAGTAGATGTGATCGTGTTCATTGTTGGAAGATAAGAGTGACCAGAAAGCCATCACGGTGTCAGTTGTCACTGGATTTTAGGTTTTAATAAAGTTGATATCGTATTCAAAGGGCACACTGCTTTAAGTATAAGTTGGAATAGTGATTTCCAGATTTACGTTGACACGTGGTGTTTTGATTTAGTAACTGTGGAAACTGTACGTTACCAATAGTAACCACTAGTAACCAGTAGTAATCATGTTATTGTATCTGCATTTTTAAATGGAATTTATCAGTCATGTGACATGATGTCATAAAACATGTTTAAAATGATTCAAATTCACGTTCATTTTTCGTTCATATATTAATGTCAGATAAATGTGTTATCTTCATGAGTGTGTGGAATGTTACTGAAACTGATCCAGGACCACAGGAGATTTTGACTGGTTGAAAATGTGGTCTTATATTGCGTTAAATTTCCAAAAACTAGACGTAGTGTCAATGACCATGGTAATTGACACTACGCATAATAGAAGTGATACAATGACTATCATATCAATATCGAAAAATTACAATGTTTTGAGAAATTTTACATGGTAGTCACATGATAATTTTTCTGATTTTAAAATGATGATCACAATTTCAACTATTTACGTCTGACAAAGCTGTTAAAAGACACGAGTAGGTAATGCGAAACAGTGTCCGATCATCACAGCAAACTAATGGGTTTCATAAATTATATATCATTAAATTGTACAATGTACATAATATATTTTAGATGATAGTCACGGGTACTGTTTCACTTAATTAAAGTCCCCAGTCAGAGAGAGAGAGAGAGAGAGAGAGAGAGGTCACTTAAACAGGTCACTTAAAGCACTCTCCCGGCCGCTCTGCATATTTTCATAATAATGCTATAAATTTGCACATCCTTCTGCGGAATGCATTAGAAACAAATTCTATATACCCAACTTTTTACTCTTCCAGAACCCAAATGTATCGTATACTTTAAAGTGTTTTACCCTGAAAAATATAACATCGTCCAAAATGCCAACTAAAAATCACCCAAATTCCCTCAAATTCCCTCAAATCCCTCTTAAAACTAAAACTTTTAAATTTACTATTCGTTCTGCTAACACTGCCCCCTAGAACACAGGTCAGGATGTGTGCTGGTGGGGATGTAACCATAGTAACCCCCTGTAACCAATAGTAACCAATAGTAACCAATAGTAACCAATAGTAACCAATAGTAACCAATAGTAACCACTAGTAACCAATAGTAACCTCTAGTAACCACAGGTCAGAATGTATGTAATGAACCTTGGTAGAGGATGTGTGTTGGTGGGGATGTTGATGGTACTGCACGCGGGACTCGGCTCTGCGCACCACCGCGCTAACCTCAGACTCTCCGAGCAGCCCTATGATGGTATTAATAACACCTCCTTTCATTTTATTTCTTAATTTTATTTCGTGTTAACTCCCTTGTGTTGATTACAGAGTTACAATCAACTCATCTTATCTCTGTGCAGGTTTACCAGTCGATATCACCACTCAATGCGTTATTGGATTTGTTATAGCCTGCTTTGGTATTTCCAAGGTGAGTGAGCATACATAAATTAACAATTCATTAAATTTGAAAATTCGATTAATTATTATATTATGTATTGAGAATGAAGATTCAAGCATTACATTTCAGCCATTCAAAATTACACTTACATTATTTTGATGTACAACTAATAGAACAAATTGACTAATATAAGTTGCATACTGTGAGGCTGGATGACAGCTAACTCAACTAGATAAACCTGATTATACAATAATTAATTAACCAACACAAAGCAGGAGCCACATAATCACTGGAACTATTTTTATTAGATAAGGACTATACGTATAACTTAATTTTAATACCGGATATCTATTACTAAAGGCGTATTATAATCCTATTCCATTTTAAAAGACCCCGGGACAGGACACATATACTAATATTTAAATTATATAGTCATTAGAATTTTACTTTATCAAAATATGAATCCTTGGCATATGCTAAGTTTTCAAGGAATTTAATGACGTAATAAGAAAATAGCATATCCGTTACTCTTCACTTAATTCAATACCTTACTTTCAATTTTTAAAAGAATTTGCTCAGCCATGCAATGTCAAAGCAAATGTAGCTCATCCAAAATTGCATTAATATCTGGCCTTTTCTCGACGAATACCCAGCATACATCGGTTCTGAGCTCATTTAAAGTTTACACTTTACATGGAATTTGAAATACTTAACTTTCTCGTTAACTAACTTTCTTCTTAACTAACTTTCGGAAAATTACCGCGCAGATGACGTATTTTTCGGTACTTAGTGATAAAACACTGCTAATTCTATAAAAAATAATTGCGTGAAAGTTTAATAACACTTGTACATAATATATATATATATAATATAGTATGTACAAGTGTATAGCAAAGTTACACTTACTAGGATTAAAAAAGTTTGATAGTAAAACTAAGAACAATAAGTTATATCTAACTGAATTGCAATAATTAGTTGTCTATTTGCAGGTAGCGGGAGAGTTTAAAGACATCAGCGCAACTAACGACTTGAACAGGAAGACTCTTGATAGTATTACTAACGTACCCTCATTTTACCACTTTGCCCACCGTGGCAGATCTATACACTCCATCATTTATAGCTGATCTCTCAACAAAACGGTCGCTTGGGAGTTCATACCTTAATCTGATTTTTGTGTGTTTTTATTTGGGTAAAACTGGTTTGATATTATATCAACTTATGAGTATGTATCGTGATAAACTGAACATTTCTAATTGGATGATTTCAGATTTGTCGCGATTATTAACTGTATTGTTATAAGATTTTGAGTTTTTTGTCCGAACTCCTGAGCCCAATAGTGATTGTTTGACCCTGTTGAACAGAAATATTTTTATTTTTACTTGAACTAGTTTTACTTCTAGATAGTCTATATTTACAATTTCTATTCCTCTTTAGTCAGCTGATTTTCTGATTTATAGTGAGTTGTATCATGATTAATATTACTTAAGTTTATCAACTGAAATTCGGAACTTCGTATCACTATGAATTAGAATTAGGAATTAAATCTTAAAATTTGGGTCTAATGCTTTCGTCCAGTTTCAAGAAACCTGTAATTTATTTGAATACCGATTTGTATTTATTCCTCCTTGACTAAATAGCTATTAATAATTCAAATAATTGTCATTTTGACAGCGAAGTATTCTTATTCCGAGCACATGAATTTAAAATGACGATACCATGATAATCTCGAGTATCTGAAGGTAAGCCAGGCTCTCCCTGCTTGCTAAAGTATACACTAGCAGGTGTTGCTAAGGTATACAGTATACACTAGCAGGTGTTGCTAAGGTATACAGTATACACTAGCAGGTGTTGCTAAGGTATACAGTATACACTAGCAGGTGTTGCTAAGGTATACAGAATACACTAGAAGGTGTTGCTAAGGTATACAGTATACACTAGCAGGTGTTGCTAAGGTATACAGTATACACTAGCAGGTGTTGCTAAGGTATACAGTATACACTAGCAGGTGTTGCTAAGGTATACAGTATACACTAGCAGGTGTTGCTAAGGTATACAGTATACACTAGCAGGTGTTGCTAAGGTATACAGTATACACTAGCAGGTGTTGCTAAGGTATACAGTATACACTAGCAGGTGTTGCTAAGGTATACAGTATACACTAGCAGGTGTTGCTAAGGTATACAGTATACACTAGCAGGTGTTGCTAAGGTATACAGTATACACTAGCAGGTGTTGCTAAGGTATACAGTATACACTAGCAGGTGTTGCTAAGGTATACAGTATACACTAGCAGGTGTTGCTAAGGTATACAGTATACACTAGTAGGTGTTGCTAAGGTATACAGTATACACTAGCAGGTGTTGCTAAGGTATACAGTATACACTAGCAGGTGTTGCTAAGGTATACAGTATACACTAGCAGGTGTTGCTAAGGTATACAGTATACACTAGCAGGTGTTGCTAAGGTATACAGTATACACTAGCAGGTGTTGCTAAGGTATACAGTATACACTAGCAGGTGTTGCTAAGGTATACAGTATACACTAGCAGGTGTTGCTAAGGTATACAGTATACACTAGCAGGTGTTGCTAAGGTATACAGTATACACTAGCAGGTGTTGCTAAGGTATACAATATACACCTGTTAGCAGCACTCTATACATTTCATTGTACATTACACGCCTTAACCTAAAGTACATTATACACACAGCACTGTAGAATGTAAACTCTGATGACTAGTGCAAGCCAGAGAAGGGATCAGGTGGTTCTCGGACCTCTACCCCCTTCCTTCCTCCGACTGGAAACCAGAACCAGGTCCACTAACTTACTCATTAATTAGTTAATTAATTATTTAATTAGTCTATCATATATCCGGTCTAGTACTTTAACACTGATTACAGCTGTTATAGCTTACTGTACACATTGGCTGAAGTATCTCAGTACTGTGACGGTATATTAAATGTTTCCCTGAAGTTCGCTCTGAAGTTCGCTCTGAAGTTCGCTCTGAAGTTCGCTCTGAAGTTCGCTCTGAAGTTCGCTCTGAAGTTCGCTCTGAAGTTCGCTCTGAAGTTCGCTCTGAAGTTCGCTCTGAAGTTCGCTCTGAAGTTCGCTCTGAAGTTCGCTCTGAACTTCGCTCTGAAGTTCGCTCTGAAGTTCGCTCTGAAGTTCGCTCTGAAGTTCGCTCTGAAGTTCGCTCTGAAGTTCGCTCTGAAGTTCGCTCTGAAGTTCGCTCTGAAGTTCGCTCGACCAGTCTATTATTAAGATATCCTAATTAGTCTTCCATCTTTGACATCTATAATATTAGTGTCAAGAACATTTCGTCAGGCTTTTTAAAAGGTTTCAGTGACGTATCATGGTTTCCTCTAAATATTCTGTCAACTATTGTAAAAGCACTATAATAGAGCTATACTTTAATATAGCTATATAGTTAAGTTATATAGCTATAGCTATATAACTTAAGTTAAGTTGTATAAGTTAAGTTATATAGCTATAGCTATATAACTTAAGTTAAGTTGTAGTTAAGTTATATAGCTATATAACTTAACTATATAGCTATACTATAATATAGCTATATAGTTAAGTTATATAGCTGTATAGTTAAGTTATATAGCTATAGCTATATAACTTAAGTTAAGTTGTAGTTAAGTTATATAGCTATATAACTTAACTGTATAGCTATACTATAATATAGCTATATAGTTAAGTTATATAGCTGTATAGTTAAGTTATATAGCTGTATAGTTAAGTTATATAGCTGTATAGTTAAGTTATATAGCTGTATAGTTAAGTTATATAGCTATAGCTATATAACTTAATGCAACTTAACTATAACAACCCCACTACCCTCAGTGATGGAGAGACCGTTACCACAGTAACAGCAGACCCAGCCATAGGACGACAAGTTGAGCTCCCTCCAGGAACGCAACCCCGTCCTAATTATGGGGCACAACCCCCTCCTCAACCCCGTCCTAATAATGGGGCACAACCCCCTTCCCAACCCCGCCCACACTCACAACCAGCAATGCAGCAGCCCGGTCAGCCGTATGTGCCCCAAGCTGGTCTCAGTATAACCATAGCTCAGGTTAGTAGGACACCACGTGACATGCCTGCAGGTTAGGATAGGACACCACGTGACATGCCTGCAGGTTAGGATAGGACACCACGTGACATGCCTGCAGGTTAGGATAGGACACCACGTGACATGCCTGCAGGTTAGGATAGGACACCACGTGACATGCCTGCAGGTTAGGATAGGACACCACGTGACATGCCTGCAGGTTAGGATAGGACACCACGTGACATGCCTGCAGGTTAGGATAGGACACCACGTGACATGCCTGCAGGTTAGGATAGGACACCACGTGACATGCCTGCAGGTTAGGATAGGACACCACGTGACATGCCTGCAGGTTAGGATAGGACACCACGTGACATGCCTGCAGGTTAGGATAGGACACCACGTGACATGCCTGCAGGTTAGGATAGGACACCACGTGACATGCCTGCAGGTTAGGATACGACACCACGTGACATGCCTGCAGGTTAGGATAGGACACCACGTGACATGCCTGTAGGTTAGGATAGGACACCACGTGACATGCCTGCAGGTTAGGATAGGACACCACGTGACATGCCTGCAGGTTAGGATAGGACACCACGTGACATGCCTGCAGGTTAGGATAGGACACCACGTGACATGCCTGCAGGTTAGGATAGGACACCACGTGACATGCCTGTAGGTTAGGATAGGACACCACGTGACATGCCTGCAGGTTAGGATAGGACACCACGTGACATGCCTGCAGGTTAGGATAGGACACCACGTGACATGCCTGCAGGTTAGGATAGGACACCACGTGACATGCCTGCAGGTTAGGATAGGACACCACGTGACATGCCTGCAGGTTAGGATAGGACACCACGTGACATGCCTGCAGGTTAGGATAGGACACCACGTGACATGCCTGCAGGTTAGGATAGGACACCACGTGACATGCCTGCAGGTTAGGATACGGACACCACGTGACATGCCTGCAGGTTAGGATAGGACACCACGTGACATGCCTGCAGGTTAGGATAGGACACCACGTGACATGCCTGCAGGTTAGGATAGGACACCACGTGACATGCCTGCAGGTTAGGATAGGACACCACGTGACATGCCTGCAGGTTAGGATAGGACACCACGTGACATGCCTGCAGGTTAGGATAGGACACCACGTGACATGCCTGCAGGTTAGGATAGGACACCACGTGACATGCCTGCAGGTTAGGATAGGACAACACGTGACATGCCTGCAGGTTAGGATAGTACACCACGTGACATGCCTGCAGGTTAGGATAGGACACCACGTGACATGCCTGCAGGTTAGGATAGGACACCACGTGACATGCCTGCAGGTTAGGATAGGACACCACGTGACATGCCTGTAGGTTAGGATAGGACACCACGTGACATGCCTGCAGGTTAGGATAGGACACCACGTGACATGCCTGCAGGTTAGGATAGGACACCACGTAACTGTCACTAAAAATAGGGCAGCTGGGGTTTTCTTGTACATCTGCAGCTGCAACCTGCTCATAACTCTTACATTTTCTACCAAACACCTCACTTTTAACGGATTATGCTTAATTTCAGAGCATGTGTATTAAAAAGCAGCATTTCTCATTTGAAAAGTATCAAATTTTGTTTAATGAACGTGATATCAGCTCATTACGAGCGTGATGTGTGTTTAGTGGTAAGTTGACAGTGAGGCTGAAGTAATATTACGTGATGTTTTGGTGATTTGTGTACATTACACTGTCAGAGTGGAGCTGATGAGGTCACCAGGCACTACATACACACCACCAGATGTACAAGCCAATTATCTTAACGATATAATGACTCGCGCTGTAAATCTTGAGGGATCTGGGTCTAGCTGGGCCCGACATCTGCTCTAACATTTGCTGTGTGTATAGTCGGTATACACTACATTTGCTGTGTGTGTACACTACGATAACTACGCGCTGTGTACTCTGTACGCCGTGTATTCTTGGCTATACCAACGTGTACAAGTTACAACATGCATATTTATTCCAAATACACACATGAGTATGACAAGAATGTCAGCTGTACTCTGACTATTCGTCCCCCTCTCTCTCTCTCTCTCTCTCTCTCTCTCTCTCTCTCTCTCTCTCTCTCTCTCTCTCTCTCTCTCTCTCTCTCTCTCCCTCTCTCTCTCTCTCTCTCTCTCTCTCTCTCTCTCTCTCTCCCTCTCTCTCTCTCTCTCTCTCTCTCTCTCTCTCTCTCTCTCTCTCTCTCTCTCTCTCTCTCTCTCTCTCTCTCTCTCTCTCTCCTCTCTCTCTCTCTCTCTCTCTCTCTCTCTCTCTCTCTCTCTCTCTCTCTCTCTCTCTCTCTACACTTCTGTGTACTTTATCTGCTCGTTAACCAGAGTCTGGTAAAGTGTACTGCAAATGTACTACAAGTATACTATACATGTACTACGCACTGCGGAGTATATAATTATTGTGTATTATATAGTGTAGGACACTCAGACACTGCCATGACAGCTTGTGATTTCTTATACACTCCCAATGTACGTTCTATATAATACAACTGTATTATATAGTTCAATATACAGTTATTTCTTGGAACTGAGTTCTGGATACAATCAGTTGTATTTAAAACCTGTAGCTATCTTTCTGAGCGGATGGTTCACTGTGAAGGTGTTGCTAAAGGAGTATGAGGAGCACAAGATGAGACAAATTACAAGAGCTGTATTTCTAGCGGGCCTAATGAATTTCCTGTTCACTAATTTTAATTTGTCATGACAATTTATATCAAGAATATTTTAATAGAAATACAATGGATTGTACAATGTTGAGTGTAGTGTCTACACTCAGTGTACATTATCTTATCACAATTAATGTACTTACTCAAATATTAATGACACAGACATCATCACACGTCATTAAGAATATTTCTACAAACATTTATAAATTGAAATAAAATGGTAGGTACAAAGGACCACTAAAAATGAAATTAATTATGCTTTCCACTATTATGTAAGTTAGTAAAACGTTTTTTAGCAACATGAAGATTAAGCCTAAGATATTTATTATGTTTCTCTTTATATATTGGTTCCCTCAATTCTTCCTAATACTTTATTCGAAACATTCCAAAAATCACAATTATTTACAATACTTTTAGAGCTGTCTCATAGTAATCTCTGAGGAAGTTTGCTCCAATACGGAATACTGTATAACTCTCTCTCCGGAAGAAAAGAACTATCGAGATTCTTGATCTTAGTACCACTCTACTGTTTGACACCAGATTAGGACCGGAATGTAGATTGTGCTAGGTGTATCGTTCTATAGGAGAGATCGGAACTCACATAATATGTGATTACGTAATTCAAATGCACGAAACTTAAACAATTTTACTATCAATTTGGTGAGAACCTCGCAAATTAGTCATAATTAAGATTTAAGGATAACCCTGGCCCTGACTTCAAGGAAAGATGAATGTTTTCAATAATTTCTGTAAACAATTATGACGGTCCATGATAATGGATCTATAATTTAATTTTAATCCTGTGTAATCCTATGACGTCATAATTAAGGAGGGGGGTGGAGGATCGAAAAATGAGGCTAATTTAATTTGTACACAATAGCGTAAGTCTGCTGAGAGTGGGAGGGTACATAATTTGTGACGGCACTTAACTATAATATAAGAATCTACAACAAAGAGTTGGTGTATTTACAAATATATTAGGGTTACACATCACAGCATCATTCCATGAGGTAAGAAAGGATTAATTCCAGTAGCCGACAAAAGGGGGCCTTTTATTAGGGGCGGGAAATTTCTTTTCTAAATTGAGAGTCTGATGTTAAGAGTAAATTGTTTCAACATCTAACAAATATTAAGCTCTAGGTTGCTCGTTATTATAATCCTATTAAACAATTATTTACCGTATGTACATGTTTATCTTCCATGAGCAAAAGTAGGTGTAACATGTGATACTTCAGTTAATGTAACATGTGATACTTCAAGAAGTGTTACATGTGACTCTGCAGTAGGTGTAACATGTGACAGCAGGTGTAACATGTGACATTAGTGTAACATGTGACAGTAGGTGTAACATGTGACTCTGCAGCAGGTGTAACATGTGACATTAGTGTAACATGTGACAGTAGGTGTAACATGTGACTCTGCATTAAGTGTAACATGTGACTCTGCAGTAGGTGTAACATGTGACAGTAGGTGTACATGTGACAGTAGGTGTAACATGTGACTCTGCAGTAGGTGTAACATGTGACAGTAGGTGTAACATGTGACTCTGCAGTAAGTGTAACATGTGACTCTGCAATAAGTGTAACATGTGACTCTGCAGTGGGTGTAACATGTGACAGTAGGTGTACATGTGACAGTAGGTGTACATGTGACAGTAGGTGTTACATGTGACTCTGCAGTGGGTGTAACATGTGACTCTGCAGTAAGTGTAACATGTGACTCTGCAGTAAGTGTAACATGTGACTCTGCTGTAAGTGTAACATGTGATATTTCAGGCAGTTTTGAACAAGAGCTACACACTGATAGGCAGTATGGACCCGTATGTTCGGCTGAAAGTTGGACACAACACTTACGAAACTTTCACCCATGCTGGTGCGGACAAAGCACCGTGCTGGAACAAAGTTTATCACTGGTAAGTAGTTAACCAGGTAACCAGGTAACCAGGTAACCAGGTAACCAGGTAACCAGGTAACCAGGTAACCAGGTAACCAGGTAACCAGGTAACCAGGTAACCAGTTTACCACTGGTAAGTAGGTCAGTACCACTGGTAAGTAGGTCGGTACCACTGGTAAGTAGGTAACCAGGTAACCAGGTAACCAGGTAACCAGGTATCCAGGTAACCAGGTATCCAGGTAACCAGGTAACCAGGTATCCAGGTATCCAGGTAACCAGGTAACCAGGTAACTAGCTTATCACTGGTAAGTAGGCCGGTACCACTGGTAAGTAGGCCGGTAAAACAATGGTAAGCACAATTTATCTGTTCTCAGATAAGGTAAGTAGGTAACCAGGTAACCAGGTAACCAGGTAACCAGGTAACCAGGTAACCAGGTAACCAGGTAACCAGGTAACCAGGTAACCAGGTAACCAGGTAACCAGGTAACCAGCTTATCACTGGTAAGTAGGCCGGTACCACTGGTAAGTAGGCCGGTACCACTGGTAAGTACTAAGTAGGCTGGTAACACAATGGTAAGCACAATTTATCTGTTCTCAGAACTTGGCTGTATCTATGTTCGACATGCCACTGCAAACATTGCTACATTTTTGTCTGCCGAGCGTGAATATGTTCGTTCATCCATTAGTTCGGCAACTCTCAAAGGCAGAGATTTTCTATTTTTAGTTCTTTGGTTTCCAATACCTTCTTTTATCCTGAACCTCAAACAATGAAGCGACCTTTTAACGTGATTTCGTTTCAGTCCCCTGCCGAATACGCACAGTGTGCGCACAGTGAGTGTAGAAATATTTGACGAGAGAGCACTGACAGATGATCAGAGGATAGCCTACGCAAAGATAGCTGTTCCACAGTCTGTGTTCGAGGTTAACCTTACAAGATCGCCATTTGTTCTGGTGCATTTGTTTACACTGAAGTTATTAAAATATTGCGATTAGGAGTTGTGGTTCTGGTACTGAACCATTTGTGGCGTTGGTTCATGATATCATGTGTTCAGGAATTTAGAATTATCGCTTTAATCTGTTGAATAAATGGGACAAAGGTCATCAAGGTAACGCGCCGTACCCAGATGAAGTCAAATTTGATCGAAAGCTGGAACACGCGAAATCAATAATAGTTGTTTCGTCGCGCGCACGAGATTATTTTTTTGAACCGATATGAATTCTGGAAGTTAGCAATTAAATGTAGAATTATTACAGGGTCACACTTTGGACGAGTGGTTTCCCCTGAGTGGAAAACTTGGAGAAGCCAAAGAGGGCTCAATCAACCTTATCGTATCGTACACTGTAAGTTCAAATAATCCTAGTTTCATTTCATTTGTCATCACATCTACGTACAAGCCTACACACTGCAGCAACCAAATAAGACCTAGGCAATTTAGGCCAGAAATAAACATGATATCATCACGACACTACTCTCTCTCGTGTTTAAGGAGAACTTGAGCAGACGTATTTTTGTGACTTCTTGCCATGAAATGAACAGAGTGCTAGAAATGCGCGGACACTCATGTAGGCGACATCATTATCAATGTCACGGAATTTTTGGGCGTTCACCATACGTGGTTCACAGAAGTTCAGGACTAAGGGTATGCGTAGTTATATAATTAGAAATTTCTTAAGTCATCTGTGTTTTAAATTTCTTGCAGCTCTGTAAGTGCAAATACTCCTGATAGTCAATATATTTTGGTTTTGAATATCCCACTTTTGGTTTTACCTCCTTCAAGCTTTTGAACCTTCTTATCCTCAGACGATGCCGATGATAACGCTGCCGTATCAGAGGATCCACTATCCGTACGCGGGGGTTGCACCCCAACATTTCACCCCCAGGCCGCCTCCAGAAGTGAGCGAAGCAGACATCAGTACCATCAAGGTGAACCCTCCGCAAGCAACCCTATGTCAGCACTAAAAGTAGACCTGACCAAACTTGTGTTTCAGTTAAACTTTTGCCATTAACGCTCTCCAATACTGTGCGAGATATTAGCTGCCTCTAACTCTCTCCCCCTTATTTCAGGACATGTTCCCGGAAGTAGACAAGGAAGTTATCCGGACAGTCTTGGAAAGTAAACACGGAAACGTTGAAGCCGCTGTCGCAGCCATTCTAGACATTATGGATGGGACTGGCCAGTAGTGATGTAATTTCCGTGCTGTAGGCTGTACACATTCATGTTAATTTAGACTGAAGAACTGGAGAATTGCACGTGATGTCCTTATAAGGGCATTGCACGTGAGCCATATTGCACGTGACCTTTAACTTGTTTTTGTTCCAATTTTAAATTAGTGTCAGAACTTTATTTAACATTGTGTGTGAATTGTTGCTTTATAACTTGTGATAAGTAGAGTAAATACTTAAGATACCACCATGTACCTTTAGCCAAATGTAAATACCTTCGCAAATTTATAAAAAATGTATCAAATTTCCATTTTTTCAGAAACCGTTATGATACAATTTTTTTATGGACATTAATTTATTTAGAGTTAGCATACGTTATATTAGTTTTCATTTCAAAAATAATGTTTGAAAATAGAAATCAGAATTAAATTTACTTCTAATCACACGGTTTTTGGTAGAATTGCTTAATGTTGTGCTGAAAAAAAGAAGTAATAATTAAAAGATTGTGTTTTATCTGGGAATTTAAACTTTATGTTGATGAAATTTCATTTCCTAAAATCATTATTTGTTTTCTTCTCTATTTACTTGTTCTGCTCAATAATGGAAGTCACATCAAGGCTTATTCACATTCTTATGTAATCTGATACTATCAATATCAGTGCCGAACGTTACAGAAACCATGATAACTTAGCCATGCAGTTTAATAAGATATTGATACCTCTTCAACCATAAAATAAAACAAATAAATAAAATAGCGATCTCTCTTTTAGGAATGTCTGGAACAGCAGCTAAGGATCTGATAAAAGCTGGAGCAGGACTGGTGGGCCTTATAGGGACTGTCTACCTTGGTGGCCAGGTAATAATGTAACCAGGTAACCAGGTAACCAGGTAACCAGGTAACCAGGTAACCAGGTAAAGCTGGAGCAGGACTGGTGGGCCTTATAGGGACTGTCTACCTTGGTGGCCAGGTAATAATGTAACCAGGTAACCAGGTAACCAGGTAACCAGGTAACCAGGTAACCAGGTAACCAGGTAACCAGGTAACCAGGTAACCAGGTAAAGCGGGAGCAGGACTGGTGGGCCTTATAGGGACTGTCTACCTTGGTGGCCAGGTAATAATGTAACCAGGTAACCAGGTAACCAGGTAACCAGGTAACCAGGTAACCAGGTAACCAGGTAACCAGGTAACCAGCTGGAGCAGGACTGGTGGGCCTTATAGGGACTGTCTACCTTGGTGGCCAGGTAATAATGTAACCAGGTAACCAGGTAACCAGGTAACCAGGTAACCAGGTAACCAGGTAACCAGGTAACCAGGTAACCAGGTAACCAGGTAACCAGGTAACCAGCGGGAGCAGGACTGGTGGGCCTTATAGGGACTGTCTACCTTGGTGGCCAGGTAATAATGTAACCAGGTAACCAGGTAATCAGGTAACCAGGTAAAGCTGGAGCAGGACTGGTGGGCATTATAGGGACTGTCTACCTTGGTGGCCAGGTAATAATGTGGCGTCCGCACGTCTGTCAGATTAACAGTATATAAATATGAATTCTTTGCAAAAAACGTGTCATAAATTCTGGCCCGAGCATTATGCTATAGCGATATTTAATGTTAAACACAAAGTGTTAGCATGTTTCATCAGTACACATTCCCTGCAGTTATTCGAGTCCGTCAGACCATCCGGTAAAAATATAGCTGGGAGAGCCTGTGCAGTGAAAGACGAGAGAGATTCTAGAATTGCAGGTAAACTTATCCATATTATCGGTTATCCTTATCTATCGCATAGCCAAATTATTTTTATAGTTTTATTTTAGCTATCTGTTTCTAGTTAAGCCAATTATTATTCCATTCCCCCAGAGTCCTTAGCTGCTGGAGAAGAATCCTCTTTCAAATCCTCGCCTTTCACTCGGGACGACAAGGAGAGGCAAAGAATGGAGGGATCTCTTGCTAAGAACTCTTGAAAAGATCTTAATTTTTTAATGTTTTGTACATTTTTATGGTGTCTCAGTGGTTTTAAGGATTTGCGGTAATTTATTATGGTCAGTGTCGACTTGGTTTGACTGACCTTCCGTCTGAAATTGAGAGATCTACGGAAAAGTTCTTCTGTTAATTTGTCGGGAAAAAGACTACAAACTACAAACTGACCTTATCTTGGCAGTTTGATTAGGGAAGAACTAGCCTGCCATATTGGCGATATTTCGCAGTTTATCAGTTTTGATTACACACTTTTAATAGTCAATCACATACATTTTTTTCGTCTCGGACTCCTTTGTATGAAGAAATCGATTGATTTGATTTCAGTAAGTAAGAAAGAGCGTTCTTTATCAGGCTTGAACCTTTGTTTAATTTATCAATATTTATAAAACTATTCATGTGATCAGTTATTTAAAAGTTGAGATTACAACTTATTATCAATGTGTCTTTGTTGTTTATTTTAAATATTCCACCTATGAGAACAGTTCTGTTAGGAGATTACATATGTAGATACATACTATTATTATTAAACTGTTCACTTGGTGCAGTTTCTAGACGTCTCCAAACTATTTGCAGCTGACGACGATTAACACATGTTTATTGAAAGCTTCTACAAGTTAAACCATCGTATCTCTTTAAATATGTTGCTAATCCAACTCCATTCAGTATTTGCAGTTGTCAAAAATAACTTAAAGTCTGATGCTTATTACTAGCACATGCCACTGATCATGTGAGACGAAGTTTCGATGAGCAGAAGGTGGCCCCACAGTCACATTTTGTGGTAAAAATGTTACTAATATACTATAAAATGTCAGGGAAAAAAGGTATTAAAACCAAAATTATTGGTGTAATTACAACTGCGAGGCTTGACACGCATTTTAAGCAGTAAAACAATGTTATAATGCATCTTGTTATGTGGAGTGTCCTCTCCACAAAGCTCATTGTCCGAGGCAAGCAATAGTGCTATACTTGTCATGTTGTTATCAAGAATTGCGGTCTTCACTAAAATTGTTTTCATTGCGATCATGTCGTCTGTCATCCTCATAGAAGTTAAAATTTGATGTGCAAGCGCACTTGGTAGAACATGCGACCTGCATTACTTCATGTTTCAGTTGAACACTGTTTCGTGTAATTAGCTCTCCAATGTTAATCAGTGCAGTCCAGTATTTTGACGCTGTGCATCACATTTTTCTTCAAGTTTATTTACGTTGACAGGCTCGTGTAATCCTAACGCTTGAGTCGTGAATATGACTGTTATTTTTGCACTCTGTAATAATATTAGCTCTCTCCTCCTGTTACTGAGTCACTCTCCAACAACGCAAAATGTGCAAGTCCATAGATTGTCTCGAGCTATTGGCAGGCACAGCGTCGAGGCACACCAATCATTTGAATTGGATTATGCTGTAGCAAACTGCTCACATTACGACAAGCTGTTACTGAGTAGTGACTAGTGAGTGATAATTTTACCGTTCTGTGGAGTTTGCATCTTATTTTACAGTTTCATATCTTTAATGCAATGGCTACTAGTCAATAGTCATCATGAACTTTAAACGCAAGCTCTCCGCATGAACAGTCCACCTTTAATCAGCATTTGGCAATGGCAAAGCCCGTAAATTCCAGAATCTTTCACTTTTCGTAAGCATCAACTCGGCAGGCCACACAGTGGACCACTACAAAAGAATGTGGTTATCTTTTCAGAGGGAAATGTTGTGCAGATGGTCATTGTTTGTATTAAGAAATATAAAACTAATGAGCGTGACGAAGAATCTGATGCATCATTATTTTCTAACTTTAACTGTAATTTCCACTTGACATTGTATTGTTCGTCTATTTCGCGTGTACAAACTTTTATTATACTTTGAGACAAAGTTAAGATACAAGTTCATGTAGTATAAGGTGCAGGAGTAGCAGGAGCTAAACTTTGACTATAATCGGGGAACTGCTCATCATTGTTTGCCTATGAATTTAATACCGCTTATTTAATACCAAATTATGCCTGTGCATATCTTTTTCAACAGAATCACAAACCGATATAGATAGAAATGAATTGGAGATGAGATAGAAATAGAGATAGAAATAGAGATAGAAATAGAGATAGAAATAGAGATAGAAATAGAGATAGAAATAGAGATAGAGATAGAGATAAAAATAGAGATAGAAATAGAGATAGAAATAGAGATAGAAATAGAGATAGAAATAGAGATAGAAATAGAGATAGAAATAGAGATAGAAATAGAAATAGAAATAGAAATAGAAATAGAAATAGAGATAGAAATAGAGATAGAAATAGAGATAGAAATAGAGATAGAAATAGAAATAGAAATAGAAATAGATATAGAAATAGATATAGAAATAGAGATAGAAATAGAGATAGAAATAGAGATAGAGATAGAAATAGAAATAGAAATTAGAAATGAATTAGAGATGTTTCTAGCAATGCCTGTCAGTACCAAGAGAATAAATAGCATTTTCACATTTGTATGTCAAGTTTGACAGCTCATTGGATTGTTAACTGATTAAGTGCTTCCGAACATCACTCACGTGGTCTTGATTAGCGCTCGATTCCAATAAATTTCCGACGAGTTGTTTGTTTTCAGCCACTCTCAGCAGGGTATAGTGTTACTATCACTCAGATAATGTGAAAATGCTCCTTTGGTTTGTGGCCTAAGTTACTTAGACCAGGAGGTACTTAGTAAGTACCTCCTGGTCTTTATTGCCATGCTGACATTATTGGATTTGTTACGCGTGTCAGCTGTGTTTTGTTTATAGTCGTGATGTGTGTCAATCATTAGATTATCAATCAATATTATCTAGTCAATCTTCTTGCAGATTTAATAGTTATTTGAGACTAGGGTAAACTTGAAACGTTTGCCCTACAAATTTAACTGTGCCTATAATTTTTAACTTCAACATACCGGTCCAGAGAGTAAAATGATCCTGTCTAACTTGAAATGAGCCTTTAAGAGGTTGCAGCTACCGAAACCAACAAACAGAATTAAACTGATCTGAAGAACAGGGGGAGATATAGAAGCGAGCTCTTTTGAGCCTGTTATCAGCTGCCAAGTCGTCTTGGTAAATGTGCCGGCCAGCATGGGGAGACGAGATCTGCTGTCCAACACCATCTACCAGGTACCCCCCAACACCATCTACCAGGTACCCCCCCAACACCATCTACCAGGTACCCCCAACATCATCTACCAGGTCCCCCCCAACACCATCTACCAGGTACCCCCCAACACCATCTACCAGGTACCCCCCAACACCATCTACCAGGTACCCCCCAACACCATCTACCAGGTACCCCCAACACCATCTACCAGGTACCCCCCAACACCATCTACCAGGTACCCCCCCAACACCATCTACCAGGTTCCTCCAACACCATCTACCAGGTACCCCCAACACCATCTACCAGGTACCCCCCCCCCCCAACACCATCTACCAGGTACCCCCAACACCATCTACCAGGTACCCCCTCTCCCCCCTTAAGAAAACAATAATTTTCTCGCTGGAAAAGGTTTGATTTACTTTTGAATCACATTTTAACTCATTGTGCGAAGCTCTGTTCCTCACTCAACTAATGAGCTCTACCCTCAGAGGATGAAGCAGCTGGTAACTATAGTAACCATAGTAACCATAGTAACTACCCTCAGAGGATGAAGCAGCTGGTAACTATAGTAACTAGTAACCATAGTAACCATAGTAACTACCCTCAGAGGATGAAGCAGCTGGTAACCATAGTAACCATAGTAACTACCCTCAGAGGATGAAGCAGCTGCGGAACAGGTTGAAAAAGAGGAACCAGGAGGAGGAGAAGAGACAGGAGAGGGCGGACCGGGCCAAGACTGCCAGATGGGAGGAGCACCAGCGACAGGTAATGCTCAGGGGACCAGGGGTGCAAGACAGCACATTTTCGTTGTTGTCAGCAAGTTTTAGGTTCGATATTAACCGCGAGACAGATGTTGCAGTTCGAGAACTATTTGAAGAAATGTGCTCAAGCACCGAAGAGGCGGAGGAGACCCCCGAACAGAGCCTCAGTTCCGCCAAACACGATGGCAGGCTCCTCAATCTGCAGTGGAGGGGGAATCAACCTGGAGCAAGTTCACTTGGTAGAGGTGTGGTACCACTGATAAGCCATTATAATCCGTGTGCCGTTATTCTTATCTGTGGTGACTTTTTTATTGATTCTCACTGGTTCGCAGTGGTTCAAAAAATGTAAAATAACACAACACGGTGTGTTACACAACGTGTCGAAGAATAAAATGCCCAAAATGGATTAAAATTGAACTTTTTCGCAGTTCATGACATTGACATCCCTCGTGTTTCTGTTACTATGGTCACGTGATCAGGTTACCATGGTCACGTGACATCCCTCGTGTTTCAGACAACGGCAGAGAACAGATCTTACTCTTCAGGAGCAACATCTAGATCATTTAGGATAACCCCTGGTCTCTCTCCTCCCCCAAGCGGCACGGTGAGTTGAACAAGTTCACCAGCCTCAAACCACGTGGTTACTATAGTTACTAGTTACTATAGTAACCACCTTCTAGTTCACCAGCCTCAAACCACGTGGTTACTATAGTTACTAGTTACTATAGTAACCACCTTCAAGTACACCAGCCTCAAACCACGTGGTTACTATAGTTACTAGTTACTATAGTAACCACCTTCAAGTACACCAGCCTCAAACCACGTGGTTACTATAGTTACTAGTTACTATAGTAACCACCTTCAAGTACACCAGCCTCAAACCACGTGGTTACTATAGTTACTAGTTACTATAGTAACCACCTTCAAGTACATCAGCCTCAAACCACGCTGATAGCTGACCTTCTTGCCGCAAATATAAACATTCATCAGTATTCATACCATATTACACTACATCAGCATGAATCATATTACACTACATCAGCATGAATCATATTACACTACATCAGCATGAATCATATTACACTACATCAGCATGAATCATATTCACAATCAAACTTTTATTTTGATAATTGAGCTTTTAATCAGTTAGTCACTCACCGGTCAGTCTTTTAGATGTCAGCCTCATTACAAGACTACCTGACTACAGACCGCTCACAGTTCTCTAAAATAAGCATTGTTTAATAAGCATTACAAGCATTGAGCATGTCCTGCATGTAGCATGTTCTGTGTACATGTCTCAGCCCCCAGGATTCGATCAGTACAAGCACTAGTATCTGCTCTAGGCTATCCCACCCTACCTCTACATCCCTGCAACCCAATAAATCTACAGCACATCCTCGTTACCTTGGTTACACTTCTTCAGCATCTACAACTTCTCTAGCGGTAGATCAACCTCTTAATAAGGTTAGGATTCTTTCCTTTTATAGAATTAGACTAAATAGTCTTCCTTTTATTTCTAAGGTTTGTGTTTTAGCATGTGCTGTGTCAAAATGCAATTATTTGAAGCATTAACGCTGGCTGAAGCAGTAATGTTGTTGGCCCGACGGCTAGCAACCGCACGATTTTGCTTGCTTACTTAATTATTTACTAGTTCTTTAGAAAATTAAATGATTAATGAATTCACAAGGACTCGCCTGATCATAGACATGATGAGTAATCATCACGTTTTTAACTAAAAAAGTAAATAACTAATGTTACTGCTATGTGTCAACGATTTTTACATGATTACAGTCAAATATTAATTATAATAATAGTGATGCAATTTTAACTTTAAGATGAAAATCTGTAGTGGTCTCCATCCCAGGTAACTGAGACGGACGAGAATGAACAGGACTGGTGCCGGCCTGGTTGGCGGAGTGCCAACTCTTCTCCTGACTCGACAGGTATTAACTGTGCAGTGACACCTAGTGGTGGTATAGTTATACATAGGGGGGCCCCAAATTATCAGGGGTCAGATCATATCACTAATTAGTGACGTATAATTAGTGATGTGATCCATCAGTAGTGATGTGATCCATCAGAAGAGCCTCTTTCTACCGGAGCACATAGTGGAATTCACCAAGTTCGTCGCTCAGCTGTGCAGAACACGATTCCCTATAAAGAAGAAACACGAACATTAGTGTCTCAGTACGGGATATCACATTTCCTCCACAGCCCCTTCATTTTCACTTTTTCTTTACACTCATCAAACACCTTAATGGTAACGGATTTTCTATTTGGATTTCGGACTTTGACCTTTAGCTATGCTGATCTGACATTATCTCACTGTAATTTAGATCTATTTTTTGTAAACTTTTTGTAAACCTTGTAAACCTTGTAGAATTTAATTGACTCATAAATGTGCTAGATATAGGGTAGATTTCACATGTCAATTCTGTAAATCATTGCTGTATAACGGGTGATGACTAAAAAATGGGACTTTTTTCAAAGGTCTTTTTAGTGTCGATAAAACTATTTTTGGTTCAAACCAATGAAACAGCGTTGTGAAGCGGGCAATTTTGAACAAGTATGGTCAATGACAAGCGCCCATGAGCCCATTTTGATCGGTTCAGGAGGGCTTCTTTCTTCAAGCTAAAAAATTCGTCTGTACAGTTGGGCCTAAAATCGTGTTGGCGCAGTCTCTTCTTTTGTGCCCTAGGGCCCATGTATGCTTGTTAGCCATATTCCGGGCATGTACATGTGTTGCCAGGATACTAAAGAAGTCTTCTATGGGTTGAGATTGTCAAAATTTACTTTGGTCGATCACTTTTGGGACGAAATTAACCCTATGGCAAATAAAGATGTGGTTTTCATAGAAAAATACGATCTAGGGCCCATGTATGCTTGTTAGCCATATTCCGGGCATGTACATGTGTTGCCAGGATACTAAAGAAGTCTTCTATGGGTTGAGATTGTCAAAATTTACTTTGGTCGATAACTTTTGGGACGAAATTGGCCCTTATGGCAAATAAAGATGTGGTTTTCCCAGAAAAATACGATCTAGCCCCATCCTAACGAACCACCTTCCACCCTTTGGATATTTTCTTGTAGGAACAACACCTGGCAAGGCTTCAAGCACTTTGATTTTTACGAGGTACCATTATAGACCATGCTAAAGCCGATAGTTGACCTAGCCTCGATCTTTCGCACGGTAAAATTTTACCCCTCAGGTGGTTTTGAGCTCAAATATCTTCTTACTGGTTTTAGCTACGCTGATGGGTGTTGAACCCTCGTCTTAAGCATAAAATTCGGCATACTCTCTGCTAAATATTTTTTGGTATGGAAGCTTTAACTACCTGTGAGGCGACTTCTGCGAACAGTGCTTTACTGTAAAACTTTTATAGGACCCCTCCCCTAGTTCGAGACCATTATCGGGGACAAAGATCAACCAATTTGATCAAATGGGGGCGGAAACTGTTCGAGTATCGTTCAGAGTAACTGGTGGTTGTGGTAAAATATCAAAATTTTGTTCAGGTGGAATCTGAGGGCTAAAAAACATGTAGTCCCATTTTTTATTCATCACCCGTCAGTTAGTAACACCAGGACTTGTTGGAGGAAAGTGAGCATGCTGACTGACTAATGAGTTTGAGTAGCTAAATGTGTGGAATGTTGGAGGAAAGTGAGCATGCTGACTGACTAATGAGTTTGAGTAGCTAAATCTGTGGAATGTAGATCGTCTTCTTCTCTCTCATAACAACCTCAATTCATCAGGCAAAACAGATCTAGCAAGAGGTTTAGAGGAGCTAGATGACAGATCAAACGAGATGTCGTACCCAAGAAGCAACATATCTAACCACGCCTACAGCGCCATTCTGTCCCCTCCGCCCACTCTCCCTTCTACACCCTCAGATTCAGGAACCATCCTGTTCCAGACTCCCATCCCTCCACACGAAACACCCATTATACCCATCATTGCTCAACCCCCTACTCCAGAGCCGGTTAGTTTGTGTTCCAGACTCCCATCCCTCCACACGAAACACCCATTATACCCATCATTGCTCAACCCCCTACTCCAGAGCCGGTTAGTTTGTGTTCCAGACTCCCACACGAACACCCATTATACCCATCATTGCTCAACCCCCTACTCCAGAGCCGGTTAGTTTGTGTTCCAGACTCCCATCCCTCCACACGAAACACCCATTATACCCATCATTGCTCAACCCCCTACTCCAGAGCCGGTTAGTTTGTGTTCCAGACTCCCATCCCTCCACACGAAACACCCGTTATACCCATCATTGCTCAACCCCCTACTCCAGAGCCGGTTAGTTTGTGTTCCAGACTCCCATCCCTCCACACGAAACACCCATTATACCCATCATTGCTCAACCCCCTACTCCAGAGCCGGTTAGTTTGTGTTCCAGACTCCCATCCCTCCACACGAAACACCCATTATACCCATCATTGCTCAACCCCCTACTCCAGAGCCAGTTAGTTTGTGTTCCAGACTCCCACACGAAACACCCATTATACCTATCATTGCTCAACCCCCTACTCCAGAGCCGGTAATTGCTGGACGGTTGCCAACAGCAGCTCATAACAGTTTATTTAATTAGCTGTATGATATTAAGCAAGTTACCTGATAATATGTATATTGAATATCATTTCTTGCAGCCGGTTCTACCAGAAATATCCATCACGAAAATGGCAACTGCTCCGTCGGACCAGCAGCCTCCAAAAGTTGTCAAAGCACCAAAGAAGCCCAAGATCAAGAAGAAAGGAAAAAAGAAATCGTCACCAAAACAAGCAAAATCAAAAAGTCCTGAAACCAGCACGGAGATGGAAGTTAAAGTGGATCCCAAAAATAAAAAAGAGGTTTGTAACATTGATCTGAACAACATGGGGCAGAATAAATTGAGTATATATTCCATTTTTAATACCTTGTTAGTCGTCACCAGCAGGCTAGGTGACATTATTAATACCTTGTTAGTTGTTAGTCGTCACCAGCAGGCTAGGTGACATTTTTAATACCTTGTTAGTCGTCACCAGCAGGCTAGGTGACATTATTAATACCTTAATTTTGTTAGTCGTCACCAGCAGGCTAGGTGACATTTTTAATACCTTGTTAGTCGTCACCAGCAGGCTAGGTGACATTATTAATACCTTGTTAGTTGTTAGTCGTCACCAGCAGGCTAGGTGACATTTTTAATACCTTGTTAGTCGTCACCAGCAGGCTAGGTGACATTATTAATACCTTAATTTTGTTAGTCGTCACCAGCAGGCTAGGTGACATTTTTAATACCTTGTTAGTCGTCACCAGCAGGCTAGGTGACATTATTAATACCTTGTTAGTCGTCAACAGTAGGCTAGGTGACATTGTTAGCAGGCGCGCGCGTGCCCACGTGCAGGCTAGATGAAATTATCCTTGTTCAGGTTCAGAAGAAGATAAAGGATATCTTCACCAGTGTCAACACTCTGCCGGACGAGGAGTTGACGGAGGAGGCATTTGATGTTTTCCTCGACACCATCAAAAACCTGTCCGAATACTTGGATACGGATGACGTGAGTTTTAATTGTGAACTTTTGAATAGGCTCTGTAAGTAAGTAGTTTATATATTAGGACGCAATGAAACTACCGGACTGCGATGTATGGGGACTTGCCACCCCATGGCAACATTAAAATATATCGACTCTGTTACATCGTTTCCTGTTAGTATAAAACTCCGTTACAAAATTAACTAGGATCTGGCAATACTACACCTTAGATCAATAAAATATGATAGAATAATGTATAACTATTAACTAGACTTAAATAAAAGTCTGAAAGAATATAGAAAATAAACTAGTTTACCGCTTGAAAGTTTAACAAAAAACTGTGAAAGTAAATAAAATAAAACTGTACTGATACGATCATTATTTCTGTTAGTCTATCTCAGTTGAATATATTTAACGTTTTTTCAGCTTGACTCCCAGAATTTTGATATTGTTGATGATCTTTCGTCCGGATTCTCCTCCAGAGCAAATGACTACCTCGCCAATGACTCTTGTGGAACGACCCCTTCTCCAAGCAAGATGTATAGTGAAACTCCGTCTCCCGACTCTCAAACCAAAGTAAGACATTCAAGTTAGGTTTTAATTTGTACTCACGGACTACTTCAAATTGAAGTATAAAACTTGAAGTTCAAGGCGGAGTTTAAACTCTCAAGAATCTAACTAGTTTACTAGTAACTATATTGGTTATCTAGGGGGGGGTTGTTATTAGTTAGTTTGGTGGCTTGAGGTTTGTTGTCTTGAGAAGCCACAGTGCTCAAACCTTTTAAAGAATCTCAATATGATCTGATATAATTATGGTATTTGCCAATAATGAGTACCCACCAGGCAGATGCACTGACAGGCAAGGCGCTGACGACTGTGCAGATGAAAAGGTTACAAGCAGCTGAAAAAAGAAGACTCAGAATACTGGTAGTGAGGGAGAAACAGGAGGGCATTATCAGATACAGGAAGGTTACCATGGCAGAGCTCAGGCTGAGGAGACAGGTTAGTTTCAGTAACTTAGGTCTAACTCTAAGACTTTTGTTGTATCGTGTTTTTAATCCGATACCCTCTGTATTTAGCTGTATTTTCAAAATGATAAATTGTACAGAGAGCTCTGATGAGGGTGAGGATGAAGATTATTGACGAGGCTAGCGAGAGAGATAATGTTCATATGCAGAGAATAAGGCTGTTCGAGATGGCTCATCTTAATGAGAAGGAACGTCAAGCCAGACTCGAACAGTTCAAACAGGTTAGAATAATTTGTGCTTTATGAAAACCTGTTCTGTTACTGAATGTTTTGACTACTAATATGCTGATACACTTACAGAATAGTAGGTCCCCAACAGGAGAATAATTAGAGTTCTGGTTTAATTTATAATGGTTTACTGAACCCCTCATTGTTCAGGAGGAGGATCTAAGACTGCAGTTACTAGTTACTATAGTAACCAGCTTCTAGTTACTATAGTTACTAGTAACTATAGTAACCATGTGGTTTAATTTATAATGGTTTACTAAACCCCTCATTGTTCAGGAGGAGGATCTAAGACTGCTAGAAGAAGATGAGATGAAACGTATGAAGGAGCTGAGAGTGAAAGAGGAGTTGCATCAGCTGCTGGAGAGATCCCGGGAAAGACAAGCTGAGGAGGAGAGACTTGCCAAACTTAGCAGGGAGTGGGGAGGTGAGTTAGCAGGGAGTGGGGAGGTGAGTTAGCAGGGAGTGGGGAGGTGAGTTAGCAGGGAGTGGGGAGGTGAGTTAGCAGGGAGTGGGGAGGTGAGTTAGCAGGGAGTGGGGAGGTGAGTTAGCAGGGAGTGGGGAGGTGAGTTAGCAGGGAGTGGGGAGGTGAGTTAGCAGGGAGTGGGGAGGTGAGTTAGCAGGGAGTGGGGAGGTGAGTTAGCAGGGAGTGGGGAGGTGAGTTAGCAGGGAGTGGGGAGGTGAGTTAGCAGGGAGTGGGGAGGTGAGTTAGCAGGGAGTGGGGAGGTGAGTTAGCAGGGAGTGGGGAGGTGAGTTAGCAGGGAGTGGGGAGGTGAGTTAGCAGGGAGTGGGGAGGTGAGTTAGCAGGGAGTGGGGAGGTGAGTTAGCAGGGAGTGGGGAGGTGAGTTAGCAGGGAGTGGGGAGGTGAGTTAGCAGGGAGTGGGGAGGTGAGTTAGCAGGGAGTGGGGAGGTGAGTTAGCAGGGAGTGGGGAGGTGAGTTAGCAGGGAGTGGGGAGGTTAGTTAGCAGGGAGTGGGGAGGTGAGTTAGCAGGGAGTGTGGAGGTGAGTTAGCAGGGAGTGGGGAGGTGAGTTAGCAGGGAGTGGGGAGGTGAGTTAGCAGGGAGTGGGGAGGTGAGTTAGCAGGGAGTGGGGAGGTTAGTTAGCAGGGAGTGGGGAGGTGAGTTAGCAGGGAGTGTGGAGGTGAGTTAGCAGGGAGTGGGGAGGTGAGTTAGCAGGGAGTGGGGAGGTGAGTTAGCAGGGAGTGGGGGGTGAGTTAGCAGGGAGTGGGGGGTGAGTTAGCAGGGAGTGAGGAGGTGAGTTAGCAGGGAGTGGGGAGGTGAGTTAGCAGGGAGTGGGGAGGTGAGTTAGCAGGGAGAGGGGAGGTGAGTTAGTAGGGAGTGGGGAGGTGAGTTAGCAGGGAGTGGGGAGGTGAGTTAGCAGGGAGAGGGGAGGTGAGTTAGCAGGGAGTGGGGAGGTGAGTTAGCAGGGAGTGGGGAGGTGAGTTAGCAGGGAGTGGGGAGGTGAGTTAGCAGGGAGTGGGGAGGTGAGTTAGCAGGGAGTGTGGAGGTGAGTTAGCAGGGAGTGGGGAGGTGAGTTAGCAGGGAGTGGGGAGATGAGTTAGCAGGGAGTGGGGAGGTGAGTTAGCAGGGAGTGGGGAGGTGAGTTAGCAGGGAGTGGGGAGGTGAGTTAGCAGGGAGTGGGGAGGTGAGTTAGCAGGGAGTGGGGAGGTGAGTTAGCAGGGAGTGGGGAGGTGAGTTAGCAGGGAGTGGGGAGGTGAGTTAGCAGGGAGTGGGGAGGTGAGTTAGCAGGGAGTGGGGAGGTGAGTTAGCAGGGAGTGGGGAGGTGAGTTAGCAGGGAGTGGGGGGTGAGTTAGCAGGGAGTGGGGAGGTGAGTTAGCAGGGAGTGGGGAGGTGAGTTAGCAGGGAGTGGGGAGGTGAGTTAGCAGGGAGTGGGGAGGTGAGTTAGCAGGGAGTGGGGAGGTGAGTTAGCAGGGAGTGGGGAGGTGAGTTAGCAGGGAGTGGGGAGGTGAGTTAGCAGGGAGTGGGGAGGTGAGTTAGCAGGGAGTGGGGAGGTGAGTTAGCAGGGAGTGGGGGGGGGGGGGGGGGTGAGTTAGCAGGGAGTGGGGAGGTGAGTCAGCAGGGAGTGGGGAGGTGAGTTAGCAGGGAGTGGGAGATGAGTTAGCAGGGAGTGGGGAGGTGAGTTAGCAGGGAGTGGGGAGGTTAGTTAGCAGGGAGTGGGGAGGTGAGTTAGCAGGGAGTGGGGAGTTGAGTCAGCAGGGAGTGGGGAGGTGAGTTAGCAGGGAGTGGGGAGGTGAGTTAGCAGGGAGTGGGGAGGTGAGTTAGCAGGGAGTGGGGAGGTGAGTTAGCAGGGAGTGGGGAGGTGAGTTAGCAGGGAGTGGGGAGGTGAGTTAGCAGGGAGTGGGGAGGTGAGTTAGCAGGGAGTGGGGAGGTGAGTTAGCAGGGAGTGGGGAGGTGAGTTAGCAGGGAGTGGGGAGGTGAGTTAGCAGGGAGTGGGGAGGTGAGTTAGCAGGGAGTGGGGAGTTGAGTTAGCAGGGAGTGGGGAGGTGAGTTAGCAGGGAGTGGGGAGGTGAGTTAGCAGGGAGTGGGGAGGTTAGTTAGCAGGGAGTGGGGAGGTGAGTTAGCAGGGAGTGGGGAGGTGAGTTAGCAGGGAGTGAAGGGGTGAGTTAGCAGGGAGTGGGGAGGTGAGTTAGCAGGGAGTGGGGAGGTGAGTTAGCAGGGAGTGGGGAGGTGAGTTAGCAGGGGGTGGGGAGTTAGCAGGGAGTGGGGAGGTGAGTTAGCAGAGAGTGGGGAGGTGAGTTAGCAGGGAGTGAGGGGGGGGGGTGAGTTAGCAGGGAGTGGGGAGGTGAGTTAGCAGGGAGTGGGGAGGTGAGTTAGCAGGGAGTGGGGAGGTGAGTTAGCAGGGAGTGGGGAGGTGAGTTAGCAGGGAGTGGGGAGGTGAGTCAGCAGGGAGTGGGGAGGTGAGTTAGCAGGGAGTGGGGAGGTGAGTTAGCAGGGAGTGGGGAGGTGAGTTAGCAGGGAGTGGGGAGGTGAGTTAGCAGGGAGTGGGGAGGTGAGTTAGCAGGGAGTGGGGAGGTGAGTTAGCAGGGAGTGGGGAGGTGAGTTAGCAGGGAGTGGGGAGGTGAGTTAGCAGGGAGTGGGGAGGTGAGTTAGCAGGGAGTGGGGAGTTGAGTTAGCAGGGAGTGGGGAGGTGAGTTAGCAGGGAGTGGGGAGGTGAGTTAGCAGGGAGTGGGGAGGTTAGTTAGCAGGGAGTGGGGAGGTGAGTTAGCAGGGAGTGGGGAGGTGAGTTAGCAGGGAGTGGGGAGTTGAGTTAGCAGGGAGTGGGGAGGTGAGTTAGCAGGGAGTGGGGAGGTGAGTTAGCAGGGAGTGGGGAGGTTAGTTAGCAGGGAGTGGGGAGGTGAGTTAGCAGGGAGTGGGGAGGTGAGTTAGCAGGGAGTGAAGGGGTGAGTTAGCAGGGAGTGGGGGGGTGAGTTAGCAGGGAGTGGGGAGGTGAGTTAGCAGGGAGTGGGGAGGTGAGTTAGCAGGGAGTGGGGAGGTGAGTTAGCAGGGGGTGGGGAGGTGAGAGACAGTAATATATGCTCACATCGGTTGTTCAATATTTCTACTAACAAATTATCTATTTTCGATCGGATCTATACAAGATAAATATTTTTATTTTAACGAATCATCTCATCAGAATCGGAAGAGCAGATGGTAGAAACAGGATCGTCAGTTGAAGAGGAGAAAGAAGAGCCCACAGACTCTGAGGTTGGGAGAAGGAAGAGACTGCAAAGGAATTGGATGAGAGCAGCGAGACACGCCCAAAACAAGATAAGGTTTGAGAGTATGGTCCAGAAGAACAGTCAAGTTCTTTACAGGGCGTTGGTTAAGGAGCTAATAAGTCAGCGACAGAAGGAGCTTATCACTGACATCCCCGGCTTTTCTTACTTCCTCCTTCTTAAATACACTCTTGATCTGGACGATATCTCGGACATTATGACTGATTTATGATGAAATAACGTTAGTTTATAAGCTCAGATTGTTTAAGAGTTGGTTATGATGGTTTTAGTCATAGGATTGAAATATTCGTCCAAACGATAGAGTGAGCTTTGGTTAATTTGATATTTTGCTGGTAATAACATTGTGATTATAAGTTATGGTCTCTAGAGTAGTTATGGTATCCCTGAATAGCCCTGAATATCCCTGAATAGCCCTGAATATCCCTGAATATGCAAATTTCCCTGTAAATATTTCTATATTCTGCCGACCACAAGCTCAGCATGCAAATTGCAACAGTTATGTGGACTTCACTGTGATTCTAATACAAACACTTGTATACCAGATGAATTTTGAACGATAAAGCAACTTATATCAAAAACATAAAAGGGGAATTTGTGTTAAGAGCTTCACAATATTGCCAAGGTGTTGACATATTGAATGGAAGTGATCGGAGTTTCAGGATACAGAAATTCTGTAACAGAATGCTGGATATTGAAAGATGTCACCCACTCACCCGTGTGGTGATTTGCTACTCAAAGTGAGGTTGAGTTCACAGCTATTTAAGTAGGCGTGATTGTACTGGAATATATCCTGAGAAATCCTAGTATTTTGTCTTATTCCTTTATGATTTCGGTTTCCAATATTTCGTTTAACTGGGAAAGTTTCATGTTTAATTGTACTGAAGTTCTGATGTTGTTACATTGCAATTAAAATTCGCTGTTTTCCTTGCATCATATTGCCTAATTTAAGGTGGACTCTTTAGTGTTGCTATGGTAAAAACCTTATCTTTCATATTCACGATATTATCCACCGGCCCAGATTAAGTTACCTCAAGTAGCACTACAGTACATCAAGATGAGATTCATTTTTGCTTGTGTCCTAAAACCTAAATGCGGTTATGCGAAAAAGTACTACGTCATAGTATTAGTAGTACTACAGTCTACTCACCTACTTCAATAAAAAGTTGTCATATTCTGGACAAAAAGTTCGAAATGAAAAACTTTTTGAAAAAAATTCAACGGACTTTAACTTGGACGGACATTAATTGAACGGACTTTATTTGAACGGACATTAAGATGAACGCTAGGGCCTCCAGCGTTCAAGTAATGTCCGTCCAAATAAGGTCCGATAAGGTACGTCACAGTAGTACTACAGTCCACTCACCTACTAATCACAGTAGTACTACAGTCCACTCACCTACTAGTCACAGTAGTACTACAGTCCACTCACTCACTAGTCACAGTAGTACTACAGTCCACTCACCTACTAGTCATAGTAGTACTACAGTCCACTCACCTACTAGTCACAGTAGTACTACAGTCCACTCACCTACTAGTCACAGTAGTACTACAGTCCACTCACCTACTAGTCACAGTAGTACTACAGTCCACTCACCTACTTCAATGAAAAGCTCCCTTAATCCATACCATTATACGTCTTTTAACCATCATATTGGCGTTTAACTCCATAGTCCACTGCCGAGCTGATCATTAGCAGGGAGTGGGGAGGTGAGTTAGCTTACTGCTCTGATAGTGATAACTCCAAACACCAACCAAGACAGAAGATCATTGGTGCTTACTGCTCTGATAGTGATAACTCCAAACACGAACCAAGACAGAAGATTGTCGTTCTGTAGGTACACTTTTGTTCAGTCTGCAGCTGGAAAACATGAATTAGGGTGAAGGATGATCAATGAGTTGCTACAGTGATATGAAATAGCTTGATGATTAATCTCTTTTTACAGTAGAAGTTTTCATTTACCCCAATTATCGGTGCATATCAAGTTTCAGGCCATCTCAAGATCCTTAGTACACTTTTTATGTGGTAATTCTCAGCCTTCAATGGATGATAATTGCTCGATTTTTGGCTCATACTGCAACATGTAAATGGTGTCTGCAGTTGCTCCTGCAGTGTACATAGCGTGCTGCTGCAATTTCTACACGCTAATTCGAGTCATAGAGTGACCTGTTATAGTGTTCTGGTCCAAATTCTGGAGTGGGGAGGTGAGTTAGCAGGGAGTGGGGAGGTGAGTTAGCAGGGAGTGGGGAGGTGAGTTAGCAGGGAGTGGGGAGGTGAGTTAGCAGGGAGTGGGGAGGTGAGTTAGCAGGGAGTGGGGAGGTGAGTTAGCAGGGAGTGGGGAGGTGAGTTAGCAGGGAGTGGGGAGGTGAGTTAGCAGGGAGTGGGGAGGTGAGAGTCAGTAATATGTGCTCACATCGGTTGTCCAATATCTCTACTAACAAAGTATTTATTTTCGATCGGATCTACACAAGATAAATATTTTTATTTTAACGAATCATCTCATCAGAATCGGAAGAGCAGATGGTAGAAACAGGATCGTCAGTTGAAGAGGAGAAAGAAGAGCCCACAGATTCAGAGGTTGGGAGAAGGAAGAGACTGCAAAGGAATTGGATGAGAGCAGCGAGACGCGCCCAAAACAAGATAAGGTTTGAGAGTATGGTCCAGAAGAACAGTCAAGTTCTTTACAGGGCGTTGGTTAAGGAGCTAATAAGTCAGCGACAGAAGGAACTCATTACTGACATCCCCGGCTTTTCTTACTTCCTCCTTCTTAAATACACTCTTGATCTGGACGATATCTCGGACATTATGACTGATTTATGATGAAATAACGTTAGTTTATAAGCTCAGATTGTTTAAGAGTTGGTTATGATGGTTTTAGTCATGGGATTGAAATATTCGTCCAAACGATAGAGCGAGCTTTGGTTAATTTGATATTTTGCTGGTAATAACATTGTGATTACAAGTTTTGGTATCTAGACTAGTTATGGTATCCCTGAATAGCCCTGAATATCCCTGAATAGCCCTGAATAGCCCTGAATATCCCTGAATAGCCCTGAATAGCCCTGAATATCCCTGAATAGCCCTGAATAGCCCTGAATAGCCCTGAATAGCCCTGAATAGCCCTGAATAGCCCTGAATAGCCCTGAATAGCCCTGAATATCCCTGAATAGCCCTGAATAGCCCTGAATAGCCCTGAATAGCCCTGAATATCCCTGAATATCCCTGAATATCCCTGAATAGCCCTGAATATCCCTGAATAGCCCTGAATAGCCCTGAATAGCCCTGAATAGCCCTGAATAGCCCTGAATAGCCCTGAATAGCCCTGAATATCCCTGAATAGCCCTGAATAGCCCTGAATAGCCCTGAATAGCCCTGAATAGCCCTGAATATCCCTGAATATCTCTGAATATCCCTGAATAGCCCTGAATAGCCCTGAATATCCCTGAATAGCCCTGAATAGCCCTGAATAGCCCTGAATAGCCCTGAATAGCCCTGAATAGCCCTGAATATCCCTGAATAGCCCTGAATAGCCCTGAATAGCCCTGAATAGCCCTGAATATCCCTGAATATCCCTGAATATCCCTGAATATCCCTGAATATGCCTGAATATCCCTGAATAGCCCTGAATAGCCCTGAATAGCCCTGAATATCCCTGAATATCTCTGAATATCCCTGAATAGCCCTGAATAGCCCTGAATATCCCTGAATAGCCCTGAATAGCCCTGAATAGCCCTGAATAGCCCTGAATAGCCCTGAATAGCCCTGAATAGCCCTGAATATCCCTGAATAGCCCTGAATATCCCTGAATATCCCTGAATATCCCTGAATATGCATCTTTCCCTGTAAATATTTCTATATTCTGCCGACCAAAAGCTCAGCATGCAAATTGCAACAGTTATGTGGGGAGGTGAGTTAGGAGTGGGGACTCCACTGTGATTCTAATACAAACACTCGTATGCCAGTTGAATTTTGAACGATAAAGCAACTTATATCAAAAACATAAAAGGGGAATTTGTGTTAAGAGCTTCACAATATTGCCAAGGTGTTGACATATTGAATGGAAGTGATCGGAGTTTCAGGATACAGAAATTCTGTAACAGAATGCTGGATATTGAAAGATGTCACCCACTCACCCGTGTGGTGATTTGCTACTCAAAGTCAAAGTGAGGTTGAGTTCACAGCTATTTGAGTACAAGGTTGTTAAATACGTATTAGGAGGGAATACGTATTGGAATACGAATACGTATTAATCCTCGAAAATTGACGTATTACAAAAAGGTGTGTCGTGCGAACAAAAAAATTGTTTGCTTATCGGATTATCCATGAAATTTGATTACAAATTTAAGTTATCATGTATAACTGCACTCCTTCAATGCATGATCAATGATGAGGGTGGCGCGCAGCTGTAATGTTTAATTTTGTCAAATCAGCGTATTACGGCGTATTATGGCGTATTCGTGGACGTATTTAACAATCCATAGAAATTACCGTATTACGGCGTATTACGACGTATTCTTTATTAGAACCGAATACGTCGTATTCTTTCACGAAAATTTGACGTATTTAACAACCTTGTTTGAGTAGGCGTGATTGTACGGGAATATATCCTGAGAAATCCTAGTATTTTGTCTTATTCCTTTATGATTTCGGTTTCCAATATTTCGTTTAACTGGGAAAGTTTCATGTTTAATTGTATTGAAGTTCTGATGTTGTTACATTGCAATTCGCTGTTTTCCTTGCATCATATTGCCTAATTAAAGGTGAACTCTTTAGTGTTGCTATGGTAACAAACCTTATCTTTCATATTCACGATATTATCCACCGGCCCAGATTAAGTTACCTCAAGTAGCACTACAGAACCTCTAGAAGATATTCATTTTTGCTTGTGTCTTAAAACATAAATGCGGTTATGCAGAAAAGTACTACGTCACAGTAGTACTACAGTCCACTCACCTACTTCAATGAAAAGTTGTCATATTCTGGACAAAAAGTTCGAAATGAAAAACTTTTTGGAAACAATTCAACGGACTTTAACTTGAACGGACATTAATTGAACGGACTTCATTTGAACGGACATTAAGATGAACGCCTCCAGCGTTCAAGTAATGTCCGTCCAAATAAGGTCCGATAAGGTACGTCACAGTAGTACTACAGTCCACTCACCTACTTCAATGAAAAGCTCCCTTAATCCATACCACTATACGTCTTTTAACCATCATATTGGCGTTTAACTCCATAGTCCACTGTCGACCTGATCATTGGTGCTTACTGCTCTGGTAGTGATAACTCCAAACACGAACCAAGACAGAAGATTGTCGTTCTGCAGGTACACTTTTGTTCAGGCTGCAGCTGGAAAACATGAGTTAGGGTGAAGGATGATCAATGAGTTGCTACAGTGACATCCTCTAAATTAGAAGACGATACAGGAATATTGAGAACAGGTGTTAGAAGTCTGCAGGATAAAGAATTCGGCTTTTTATTGGTTGTTTATCTACTAAATATTATATCCTAGTTTGAGATAAAGATATAAAATAGCTTGATGATTAATCTCTTCGACAGTTCCTTTACAGTAGAAGTACTTATGGAAGCACTAATTTCTACTTGACAAGTTTTCATTTACCCCAATTATCGGTGCATATCAAGTTTCAGGCCATCTGAAGATCCTTAGTACAATTTTTATGTGGTAATTCTCAGCCTTCAATGGATGATAATTGCTCGATTTTTGGCTCATACTGCAACATGTAAGCGGTGTCTGCAGTTGCTGTTGCTCCTGCAGTGTACATAGTGTGCTGCTGCAATTTCTACACGCTAATTCGAGTCACAGAGTGACCTGTTATAGTGTTCTGGTCCAAATTTGTTAATTTTCTGACACTTTTCCCGCGTGGTATCAGCAACTTAACGCCTTACA